TTGGTACGATGACGGCTCATCCCTATATATATCATGTCTGTTACTCACTTTTATACCGCCGTGACAATCATACGCCTGTCTACGTTATAGTCTGTCTGTTAGTGTTCGCCGTCTACGTGACGGTGTTTCCACGCCCCCGTTTTTGGCACTCGTTCCTTTACACCTATAGATATAAACCCCACAGAACGCCAGGCCAAACCTCCCAATGCGGCGGATTATGATATACTGCAACTGCGAGGTTCGCTAATTTTGTCGATCAATATCGTTTGTTCTGGTCGTCGATAGATATACATGGGAGACAGAAGATTTTAGCGAATGCGGAATCAATTAACATTCCCGCTTCCGTTTCCCCTTCGCACTACTTGGCCAAGAAAGTACGAGATCCTTCGATCTCTTCGGGGTGCTTTGTGCTTCAGTCTGAGCTTCCATAATGACATTTCTGCTCAGACAAAAGTCAATATGTGCATTGAGCCCTTTGTTGTCAGTCTCCAACAGCTTTCCGCATATAGGGCAGTCCTGATGCCGAACACGATCCCCTTGTCTAGCGCTCATTGGCTTTGACGTGGTTGCCGAGAACGGTGAATCACTTGGCATAGTCCGTGAGGGTCCTGGAGCTGACACTGGTGGTCGTGTTCGTCGTTCATGATATGGAGGGTTTGAATTATGAGAGATGTAAGTCTGGTCCTCATCATCGGGAGCATCGAAACCTCGTCCTTCTACGTGTTCTTCTTCTTCATAGAACCCTGGCATTGAGTCACGATCTTCTCCAGCGTTATGTTCCTCGTCGTTGCAATCGTCCGCATTGCTCGCTAGTCTTGGTCTCTTTCTTGGCGATAAATTCGCAGGTTCAAAGAACTGGAACAGTCCAGAATCTGATTCTAACGATAGATATAATAAAGCATACCCGCTTAATGCCTCCTGCCGGCTCCGGAGCATGCAGGTCTTTCAGCTTGGTGACTCGCAAGCCAATTAGTCGGAGTGTGAGAGGCAACTCAGGGAGTAATAATTCTTTCCCGATCTGATTTATCTCGACGTGAGCCTTATAGATGGGGTTCTCGGTCCTTCACTCACTGCAAAAAGGTCTTCCTTCTTCGAGCTGACCCAACGGTCAAATGACTTTGCTCGTGTAAAGACTATGAAACGTGAGCAAGAAATGATATGTCTAAATGTGACGCAATGACTTACCTTGGAATGTGTCCAACTTGAACTTGAGGGTCACCGTTTTCCCAGTCCAGCCCTCTCTGACCATGTCGTCCCCGAGTTCCCCCGCCACCTCATCCAATTTTCTCAGGATCTGTGTCTTGTTACTTAGAGCGCGAAAGGTCCTAAATAGTTGTCACGGCGCAGATCTGACGAAAGGGACATGACGCTTGCCTTTCTGCACCAATGCTTTTCCTCTCTTCTCGTTGAATAGGTTGTACAACATTGGATGCGACGCCGAGATATGTTCTCAGTAGGAATACGAGGCCAAACTGCTTGTCCATTAATTGCAGCGTCGCTCTATGTTTGAATATATCACCACATGTCTATGCAAAATCAGTGCATGTTCAATGCAGAATTATGAGTACTAACCTTAATGCCTAGAGCCTCAAGAAGACGCTCGTTGACACGTCCTACCCCGGGCACCTTGCGGATTGAGAGATCGTACATAAAAGCTTTGATAGAAGTGCAGTCGAACGGCAGATGATACTGGCCATTCGGCTTGTTCTGTGGCAGAATTCAGCGCTGATACCTAGTTTCTCAACGTTCTTAAAACCTTGTCTGAGCATATCTAGAAAGCACAAAAGTTCGATCAGAAAAAAAACCAAAATAAGTTCTTGAACGACCTTTGCTAGCATCTGGGGACCGTAAGCTATGGCATCGTTGAAAAGAAAAAACAATGCGCACCTTGTTCGGAGCGATCCCAGCGCTTACTGTCAACGATGTCTCCCTGAAGACTGTGTCACGGATTTCTTGTACGCAGGTATTCGCATCTACCATGTGTTCCTCGCAATATTTTGTGATGCTGAGTAAACAGACTATTAGCACCGACACGCTCAGATATAGTTGTCATGACACACTTCAAGTACCCTTCATCGCATCCGGCCGCGAGCATAGTAGGATCATATCTCTCGAAAATGTCCATGACTGTATCAGACATTTCTGAATAGCGTTCGAAATTAGATTTCAGGAGAATGAGGTCGGGGCAGAGCTTCTTGGCGACGAATGCTAAAAGGACTGCAGTGAGAATGATATAATGAGATACAGCAAAATTAGACGGACTCGCCATCCCGGAGCGCACGCCGAATTTACGCGCCTCGTAGGAAGCGGTAGAGAGCACCCCGCCTCCAACCTAAGGAGATATAGCTCACGATACAATGCGGTACTAATATGACATTGGAAGCTCACGGCAAATGGCTTTCCTTGCAGCGATGGGTCATCAAGTAGCTCAACGCTACAGTAAAATGCATCCATGTCAACATGTACCACGATTTGACTCAAATCGCGTTGCGATTCGAGTTTTTCGAGCTATAACGTGGCTTGTCTCGATAGTCTCCCTGAGCTTTAATTGCTGCTCACGAGGTGGTCAATGTTTTTCTCAATTGGACCTGGTAAGGCATCGAATCCAACTTTCACTTGAGGTGGATTGATTCACGCACGTATATCGACGCCCTGCAGGGCTTCGTCACGTTGCTTCAAAATTCTGGCAATGCGTTCCGATAATTCCTTGTCTTTGAGCTTTTCATTCTGAAGTTCTTTCTGAGTGATGTGCCAGGGGATGACTCGAACGACGTGGACTTACCTCATAGAACTTGGAGCCCTTCGAAACCTCGGCAATTATGCGATTGATCGCAGTCTGATCATGAGTGAGGCTACGAGCTGTCAAATGTCTTTTGAAGGTGCAAGTATTATTTGGAGGTGACAAACCCGGCTTTCATGGAGGAGGGACCAGCTAATCGTTTGAGTAGACTGACGGAATCTTGAGATGGTTTATGCGGTTTTTCTGGCTCCATAACACGTCGAGTTAGAGAAATAGACAACAAGTTCGCGTTCGCCGTGTGGTTCTGTTCAGTGTTAGGTGCCACTGTAAGGTTCAGTTATTGTTGTGGCTGTGTAGCTCCTGAGAAGCATTACGCGATAAACAATCATTCACAGGTCGGCGCTGCCAACACGGCGGTGTTCTCTTGACTTGAGCTAGGCTTGCCGAGTAGAACGATTGATGCATATATGCCTCATGACCAGTTTGAGACGATCAAGGGAACGACTACATGTAGCCCTACTCAATCTTATTTCGTGACGGATTCAGAAGCAACACGTTCGGCACGCTCATAGCGGCGCTTGAAATCAGCTAAGCGAGAGCGCAGAGGTTTCGAGTCTCGACTACTTACTGCGCAGACGTCGCTACTACCATGGCAGATAGTTTCCCGCACGCCATAACGTTCCTCGAAGCACTTCTGCCCCGTCGACTGATCGTACACGGGTAGCACACTTTCTGGGGTGTTGTGATGACCGTGCGCACTTTCTTGCTAGTCCATCAGCTGAGATGTCGAGCACTAAGTACTTTTCGGTTGCTGAACGGACTCTAAGTTAGTAACCTTGATAAACGTTCGACGTTCATTGACTGGCAGAACACTGCTTTTTATTCCAGTGTAACGAAATTCTTTCATATTTATATCTCACGTTATATCGTGGTATCTTCTGCATCAGTCCTCTGGCGCGTGAATCAATACAATCACCATCTACCACAGTGCCCTGCCATTTTCTCCCGCATCGAATTTACGTGGCCTGCAGTGATATCTGCTCATTTTTTGTGGTGAGTACCGTGATCACCGCTACTCACGTTAACTCACTCCCCACGACCTGAAGGTTTTCACTGGCTGCAAGGTATTGTTCGTTGTTATCGACAGCAGACAATTTCTCTACTCGGCTCAAATTACCTCGATGACTAGTATATCTAAACGACACATCCAAACATTTATCTCCTGGTTGAGGGTGATTGCCAGGACCACCGTAGCTCGGTCATGCGCAGATATATTTTCTGCCCTGCTGCGACTGATTCGATACTGTTATGTCTTCATCAGTCGATCAGGAAAAGAGAGAGCCTGTCAAGAACGGGGTTTAGCATTCAGCTCTCAGGCAAACGAACAAGACATACCAATGGCTTCTGCGACTCGCAGTGCCGATTCTATATGACGTTGAAGGGCGCCAATTTGGAACGGACATTCACCCTCCAACTCCAGTACTTGATGAAGGATCAAACGTTTGGCTCGCAAATTTGAAGCTCTGTTGATTGATCATCGATCAAGAACATTGAATAGGATGATAAAATGATACCATTGAATGCATCGTACTTGCCCGTACCCCAATACCGGCCACCTATTGGACCTTTAATTTAGATTAGCAATCCTTCGAACCTTGACCGAGATATATAAAAATTCCCGGCCATCCTTGATATTATACAACGATATCATGCATTTAAGCTGAAATAATTTAGGATGTTGTGTTCCTTGCGAAATAAAGTCGAGTTGTGCAAAGGCGTAGTGTGAAGGGACGAGTGCCAAAGAACGGCAGCGTACTCATCCATGATTATCAGTTCGAGATCAAACGACTATATCTTCCTTTTGTTTTGTATACATACAAGAGACTAATGATGCTTCAGATAAATATTACAACGAGACTTCGAACTGAAAATGGATTCTCCCGCTATACACTACTGCTGGTTGACACATGCAGGCGCTCCTGGAAAGCGATTGAAGTCATGCCTGTTACTGTATCGAAATCGTTCACAAGCTTGGCATGATGTTCTCGAACGCCAAGGACCAGGCGTGGTCCTAGCACGAGCATCTGCACAAAACGGAATATCATAAAAAGCCCCATATAAATCCGTGTCCCCAGGGAAGATCCATCCTATATGAATGATGAACCGTGATCACGTCCAGAGGTCAATGACAGATCGGCATACCGTTAAAATTGTCGAAAAATAACGACCAAGACCGAGGCATGAAACACCAACGACACTACATCAGGAAAACCCTCCTGGGCTAAATTCGTGTAATATTGAAAGTTAGTCTAATTTTTCTTAATCACTCGTGTTTAGAACCAAAGTTGACAACAACGTAGCTGCAAGATCAAATTGTTTCGCAACAGAAGAGAATTAGTAAGGATTATCTGAATATCGAAAAAGTGTGTCTATCAATGTATGAATTGACCCAAAACGTATTACAGTCCTCAAGAACGGTCTCGCTTGTCCATTCTCGTGGAGCCGAGTCTCCAAACTTCGGTATAAGATGGATGCTACGCACGATATCACCCACCGGCACGATACTAGCTACCCTGTCACCACCTCGCATCAATCTCGATAGTTTATAAAGTCCGTTGTTTCGATCTGGAGCGGATGGGAAGGGAGTAAACCATTCAATGTATGCAAGGTGAGGAGGAATGTTGACAGTGGGCGGAAAGAGTAATTGTAAAGACTTTGGGGGCAGGGAGAATATAACACGAACTTGGCCGACACCGAAACCTAATGAGTCAGTGAGCAGCGAGTCAATCAAACGGCACCGAATCACGCACCTTCGAGATCATTTGTAACTGAGTCTTCACCAAGGCATATGAAAACAGTGTCAGAGCGCCGATGAATGAGACGAGAGCCTAACTTTTGTTGAGGTTTTGCATGGACGCTGTCCAAGGTAACATGTTCCTTGTTTAAACCACCAGTGTCAATTGAGCACCACTTGATCTTGTGAAAGACGGGTAGACGGTGGAAAGGAAAATGAATGTCACCCGCCAATTGATCAAGTGCTCGATCCCGGAGCAGGACAGGATGATTGTCTCGACTTTTGTGCACAATGTAGCGTGCGAGGGCCTCGCGAAAATGAGTCGCACCGTAATCTTTGACCAATTTTTGAATACTGACAGCCTTCGCGGTAGGATGTTTTGTCATCACTTGTTCGCGACGGAATGTCATATCTGGAGGACGTGAATGGTACGGCTCGAACTGGTGGCCATCAGCAAGACACCAACTAACATATTTCTGGTGCCTTAAAACTTTTTCCTTTCGTTCGAGCCAGCGCGTCATCTGAACGAACTCATCAGCAAAACCGCCTGGGTCTTACGAGGCCTAACAAGGCCATACGAGGTGGCTGTAGGCCTGGCCGATTGCACAAGGCTCGCAGCGCCATGAGCGGAAATACTCCGGTCGAGAAATGCAACGTGAGGCTCGTACGAAGGAGAGGCTATTATAGTCGTGCAAGGCTTGCAAGGGTTATCACGGCTTGAGAGGCTCATCAAGACTTGAGGTGCATGCATGGGGTCACACGGTCACACGAGCCAGGTAGTATAGTGGAAGGCCACGCAGGCCAATCTATTAGCTCCAGCATAGTAATACTAAAATACAACGAAGTACGTTAAACGACGAGTGCGAGCAAAATGATAGAGCATAGTAAGTGCGCTAAGGAAGACAGCAGGTTGGACAATGAATCCGCGAAGAGTCCTAGTGCTGCCGTGGTCCGGTTCGGTCCGGTTCAGGGGGTCCAGGACGAGAACCGAGAACCGAACCATGGTCCGGTTCTGCAAAATCTTCGAACCCAGAACCGGACCATCGAGAACCGTTCTTTGCGGTCCGGTCCGGTTTTTTTCTGGTCCGAACTCGAACCGAACCGAATTTTTTTCTATAGTGAGCACAAAAAAAACATTGACAAAAAGCTAGTCTACACATTGAGTAGCTAGTCTAACATAGCCGCAAACTCTTCTGCCTCTGTAGCTGCTGAAACATGACCATTGCGGTAACCTGCCTTCAATAATTGGAGCATGGAGAATGTAGCTGGGGCCAGTGCATTGTGGCGAAGTGTTGATGTGATCCCCCCGCTAGAGAAAGCACGTTCTGAGGGAACCGCACTGCCCTGAATTGGTAGATAATCGCGCGCAATACAAGATAGTGTTGGATACTGAAGTGAGTGTAGCTAATGAATAGAGTGAGCTCAGAATGTGATAATACAAAAAAAAAATGTACCCCCCACCACGCCACAATATTGTCTGTCTCTTCCAATGGCGAAGTGAGATATGATGAGAGTTCTTGAAGCGGGTCACGGGTGCGATTGTCTGCTGCTTGATGGGGAGAAGGGTTATTGCCCTCGTCCTCGTCCTCTTCATCAGTGTCCAGAGGCGAGAAAAAGCGCATGGCGGCGGCTTTCTTCGGTGCTGGAGGATCAGTGGCACTGGATAACGTGCGCTTCCTTGTGCTTGAGGACGCATGCACATTGTCAGCATCCCGAACACGAGCGGAGGGTTTTGATGTGCGAGTAGAACATCGGGAACCAGCCGTAGTTAGCACTGGTGTGCGTCCAGATTGGAGCAGAGCGGTGAAGGCATTTTTCAGTGGGACATTTTTCGGTGGGACCTGCGGCAATGGTGCGTGATCGTCGGGATCATTGAAAAATACAATATCTGAGGCATCCTTGAGGGAGCCATCAGAATTCAGTGCGCACGAGTCATGAGACATGTTGAGGGAGATAACTCACAGATTCATCGTTGGGACCCCATTTTGTACATGGGACAGGAAGATAACACCCGCGCACCCAAGAACGATGATATTCCAGGAGATCAGAAAGCCAGTGGAGAATCATAACCATCGAGGAAGATGTATAACAGAGATAGCTGCAACATAGTAAAACATATGTCAGTGGGTGGGAAATGCAGTCTGAATAGTTGGTACTTACATTCAAAAAGGCTAAAAGGCAGCCTGACCAACCGATCGAGTGCAAATCCCGAAGGTCAGCTTGACGTTGAGGCAAATGATGTCGAAGTGTCGAAGCCACGGTTCGGAACGGTTCGGGAATGCCGAACCAAAACGGAACAGTTCGGGATGACCAAGAACCAAGAACCATTTACCGGTCCGGTTCTGGCTGATGTGAGAACCATGGACCGGACCAAGGAGAACTGGACCAAAAGTCCGGTTCGAACCGTGGTTCTGGACCGGACCGCGGCAGCACTAGCGAAGACAGATGGGCAACTAGAAGCCGTTCGTCCGTTTCTTCATCAGGAAAAGCAAATATTGGTGTAGTCCCAGTGACAGCTACATATTGCTAATAGTCACTGTAGTGATATGTAGTTAAATACGGGGCTATGTAGAGCTACAGGAGGCGCTGGGAGTAGTTGTATTCACTGTGGTAGCCAATAGTCATATTCTAAATCAATCTAAGTACTCGTAGTGGACATACAAAAAGTCTCAAGGTCAATGAATGGATTTAAGTAAAATTCACTTGCCAACTCATACACATTCGCGCTCGTCCACGTAGGATTGACCAATTGACCCATCTTGGGTATGAGGTGACATGGACGAATAATCTCGTCAACATGAATCACGGCCGAATTCCGTCGCAAGTGACGAGTTGAACGAGATATTAGACGCAGACCAGACGACTCGTCTGGCTCTCTGAACAGGGTAAACCATTCAACGTATGCAAGGGGTCGCGGGTACACGCCAAATTGACGAGGCAGCCTGAACAACACACGGACCTGCGCAACTCGGACAGCAGCTATAATTTAGATATTGTCATTGTAATACTTCGTAAAATGGAAGCCATTGACATACCATTCAGCATGAGTAGTGCCTTCGATGCTTGGACGCCATCACTGCTAACCAGTGCCATGTCGAATCGATTGGGGGAACCTGGCTTCCGTCCAGAAGACGAAGGAAGCACTTCAGGTGTCGCCCTGACCCGTAGGCACTTGGCAACTCGGACACACAAGGGTCGGGGGGAAGGATGACAACTACTTGATGAAAAGTGTCAAAACGATCTTGGGGACCAGGCACAATGCTATGATTGTGTGGCAAATGCTTCTGTAAAAATAATGTGAGAGCGGGCAGGAAATTGAACGGCACCATGCATGGTTTCGAGATGTTGAACAGATCGACTGAGGATGTGGGGCAGTCTTCGCCAGAACATGAATGATATCCTGCGAAACAACAGGCACCACATCAAAGCCCTCGTTTTCAGCATCAGAGTCGGAATCATACTCAGATTCCTGTTCTAGTCCAGCGAGCGGCACAGCTCAGCCACCCATTCGAGGTAAGTGGTTCGGCAGAAGACTGCCTCCTGGCGTTGAAGCCATAACACCATCTGTTCCTCGTAGTCGCGCTTGTTACTTGCGTGGTAAGCCTCTTTAGCAAAGTTGATGTGGAGGCGCTCGGGAAGTTCGGTGTTGAATCCATCTGCAGCTCCGAATAGTTTGATTGATTGTACATAGTGAGACAATTGATGTAGCTTTGGGATGTTGAAGTGTTCATGCACTGTGAGCTCCTGTAACACATCCTTGTGAGTGTGAAAAATGGCGAGGGCATTCTCCAGACCGTCCAGAGATTCACTCGTATGTGTATGAAGTCGTGCGTAATAGCAAAAATCCAGTAAGGCCCGTGTGACAATGACAACTCGACTGTGAATCAAAGCAGCTCAATTCGTCAAAACCGAGCAAAAAGGCAGAATATCATAGTAAGTACCTTGGGACTGCACCAGTAATTAGTGCCATGAAAACACGCTGCATCTCCTTGTGCTCAGTTCCGGTCCATTGCTTGACTGCTCAATATACCTTTTTTAAAATGACGGAGACCAGGATAGTCTGGAATGGCCTTGAAGCGAGCATCAATTTCGGTTTCTCCCACAATGTCGAGGCACCATTTGACAAGATGGTCTTTGAAGACCCCTTTGTGGAGTTGGTGGAGGAGATCTGGCGTGAATGCCAAAAAAATGTTGGTGTGTGGTAAGTTGGCCCAGAAAGGTTTATACACCGGCCTCAGTCCATACTCATCAAATTCTACTGGGTGCTGACCACTCCTCCATCTCTCTAGTATCTCCTTTGTCAGCTTCGGGTCTCGGATCAGTGAATTTAGCGGATCACCACGCTCATCGGCTGCCACCAAGCACTTAGGGCATCGGTTTTCTTTGCAGCAAGCAACGAGACACTGCTCAGGAAAATCCTGCAACGTAGGCCACAAGTATGGGATACACTCAGTCGAATGAACGAGTCAGCGCAAACCATGTCTACACCATCCTGACTGGCTGCAATGAGCAGCTCCAGCAGCAGCGACAGACAGTGGTGGAACAATTGGTATCCAGTGAGGGATTGCGCATCAGACGTGAAACAATCGAGTTTCGTCGCAGGTAAGTACCCTGATGAGGATGGTTGTGCGTGCGGATGTTTGACGTCGTTTCTCTTTGGCAATGTTGCCAATTGACAGATAAACAGGCCAAGCGGACTTATCACCTCGAAACTGCGATAGCATTGTCTTGTCGGAGGTGAGGATTATTGGAGCTATGGTCGCGCCCTCAGGCAGTCCTTTCTGATGTGAAGGTAAGCACCTTTGTCTCGTATCAAATTGATGTGCTACTCACCTGCTTGTCCCACCACCAATCAGCTGTCCACATATCATCAATGATCCATTCGGTGCCCACTTCGTCCTCGTATGCTCGTGATGGTGCGTACACCATATATTCCTTGAATAAAGGATTTTCGATAAGTTCCTTGATGCATTCCACAGGGTCACGGGTCCAAAGTTCAAGGTCCTCATGCAGCGACTGTCCTGTTCTCATCCGTCCAATTTCCTTTGACACTAACCTTCTTGCAATTCCAGCCCAGTCCATGTGGCAGCGCATCGACTCTCTGTAGGAATGACCTGATTGTTGTGGAACGAAGGTTTGGTGCGGTTTAGTGTCTATCACTATGGTGAGTACACTGTGTCTTCATTCATTGATATGAAGCTCACTATTGGTAACTTCAGAAATTCATCATGTTTTAGTCTGCCCAAGGCTTTTGACCAACCATTCAGCAAGTCCCCATTCTTCCCTGCCAGAACTAACATTAATTTTCTTTGCAGATACGAGAAATGCGACTCATACTCATTACCAAAGGGTGCCCACTTATCTTCACCTTCACTCTCCTTATATTGCTGATGCCTTTCAAAACTAGTTTGGCCCTCTCGCAACGTCCAACCAGCTTCAGGATATGGTTCGAAATACCACCTGCCGTCTTCTTCGTCCGTCACATCTTCAACAGTGACTTGTCGACTTTTAGATGCTATAGGGTTGTCTTCCTCAAAATCAATGGAGCATGAGCGGCGAAGTGGGGAAAATGAGTCGTTGTAAGCTGGTGCACCGTCTTCGTCATCTGTATCTCTAACCATAGACTCCCATTTTCTTTGACATGCGGGGTGGGTAGCTATATGCTTCTTCACACTCCCACTTGAACAGAAAGGCTTGTTACAGTAACCGCAGTTGTGCGGCATGGTTGGTAATGGCTGGTAAGTTGATTGATTTTTTTTCAGGTTCATTTTGACTGCATAACATAATTTGACAGGTGCACGGCCCCAGATCGCAGTCCAGTTATAGAGACTAGTTTGAGGGCGCCACCAGGTATGTCCATTTCTTCAGTCCGAGATCGCAGTCTGTTATGGAGACTAGCTTATGGTTTCAACTGAAATTTTTTAGGTTTCGGTCTCAGTGATTATGGCACGGCACGGCTCTACACCAGTCTAGTAATACCATGAGCAGGCAAGAAGTAACTCTAAAAGTTGTGCCCGCTTCGCCTCCTCACAATGTTTTGCTTCAGCATCCCAGTGCTCTGCAACAAGTCTTTGCAAGCTTCACTTGTATGATGGTGAGCCTCCCTTGGCCTAGTCCCATTTCGAATTGATGCAATTTCTTTGCTTTCTCGCAGTAACGAAATTTGGCATCCCAATGCTCTATGATCAGTCTTCGTATGTATGACTGAGACACTGAGATGGGACCAGGTGTTTGACGGAAGGGGGGGAGCGGATACATGGCCTCTTCAATAGGCACTTCGCGCTCGCCTGCATGAGGCTCCTCGTTATCCTCAACCTTCGGCCTGAAAAATAGTGAGTGTTTGGTATCAGTGAGGAGGTGTAGATTACCTTTTGATGCTGCTAGGGCATTGATAGCAAGCCTCCGAGTCTGTGTCAGTGGACGCCGCTGACATTAATCTGTAATATCTGTCAGAGTGGGTGAGTGTTCAAAAGTATGCTCTGCACCGTTTCTTGGCTGAAGTGGAGGTATCCATGGCAGTGAAAATTATTGCGACAGTATGTCCCTACCTTTTATCCATTCTATTTAACACAGCTTTCAGCATGGTGTTATGCTCAATCAACAAACCCTGGAATCAACAAAGACAAGGTTCTAATTGTAAGTGTTTATGTCTCACGCAACATTATAAAAGCTACTGAACCTACAGGTTGTTGACTCGTTCGCACCTTGTGTTTTGAGGACAAATAATCATGCCGCCCCCTCGCAAAGCCACCTCCAAGCCCCAAAAGACAAGTGTTCTGTCGTCACCGCAGGGTAATCAACCACTTGTGCACACCTCAAGAGGCCGAACATGCCGACCAACATAAAAAGAAAACTATCGAGGTGAGTTTCCACAACTATGATATGATGCTTTCACTCACTTTCTCTACAGTATCTGAAACACAGAGCACAGTCCATCATCAGGCCACAAAGGAGAAAAAGGCAGAAAAACAGAAAAAACGGGCACTCAAGGCGACCTATCAAGAGAACCCTGACGACTTCGAGAATGAACCCTTGGAGCTACACAGTGACACTGACCGTGATGAAGATACTATGGTTTGCTCATCTGTCTTGTTTCGCACCACTTGAATAGTAGCTGATTTTTTTTGTTTTAAGTTCTCGGACCATGCTCTGCAGACAAAGCTGTCGTCCAACACAAAGGTCTTGGCATTCAGTATGGGGAAAATGCCCCCGGTATCACACATCACTAGCGGCAATGCACGTCAGTTGAAGGGTAAGTAATTTTGCTCATCAATTTATGGTACGCTAATACACTTCTGTTTGACCTGTAGTACCAACACTTGATTCCAACAACACTAACGACGTTGAGGAGTCTTCTGGTGATGACTCAGACAAGAACAACTATCCTCAATCCGATGCTGGCACTAGCCAGACTGATGAAGAGGATGGTAACACTATTGAGGAGCAAATGCCTGCTACTCGGGCAAGCAAACGACTGCTCGACACTGAAGAGGCTGCCACTGGTAGCGATGAAGATGAAGAAACTTTCAGATGGCTCCCGTTATCCGAGTTGTGTAAAAGTTGCCGATTTCGATGATGTCTCCAAAGACATCCTTGTAACCGCAATTTCTCTCTTCCGCTGTCTAATTGTCACAAAGGCGCCATTTCCAGATTCCATTGCTGACGAGACGATGCTGGGAAAAGATGCCTGGCATGAGGCTTGCCAATTGAAAGGTGTCAACATTAAATTGACGCCTTTAGCAATTAAGATGGTAAGCCGTCTGTTATCTATGCATTCTTGGACTGACTTAGATTATATCTTACCTTTGGAAAGCTCTTGAAACGCACATCACATGTGTGTGGTGAACTCAAAACAAAGATGCGGTCACTTACTCAAACTTTTTTTGGCTTTTGGTCGAGTGAATCGAGGGACGTTATAAGGCAAAACTGTGATCTAGCGGAAGCCTTGAAAGATGGTTCATCATTCGTTTTCAAGGTATGTAGTGCAATGGTCTACTTTCATGTACTGACAGTGCTATTAGGACTGGACAGCGAAGACGGGGATATACAAGACCAAGCTACTCCAAGACAGTATCAATGTCATGTGGTTTGCAAACCGAAGCGACGAGGGCATCAGTCTACAACCAGTTTTTTAACCCCATGCCTATCAAGCTTATTGCGCTCATGCTTACAACTGTAAGTCATCTCTTGTGTTCATATTATCATTGACATGCCTACTAATTGTTGTTAGATCGAATGCTGTATTGACGAGTGGATGCAGGGCGTGAAGGAAGACATCAGGTTCACAGCCATCGCATATGGATCTGTCTACCACAATCATTTGAACTCACTGCAGCGTTTTGACAAGCGCACGGCACCTTACAAGCTCTTTGAAAGGATTTGTGACAATTTGCATGATGTGGCTCGGTGAGTTTCACTCGAATTTTGCAAGTGCCAGTCTAATTTGCGAAGTTTCCATGCAGGTGTAGTAGATACACCCACTACATTCTCAGACGCATCCAGAATCAGTGACGAGGCAATTGAAGATGCCATTCAAGAACACCAGCTTCAGGAGGAGAGTGGGCGGCGAGGCTAGTGAGAGCGGGAGCCAAGGGTCATAGCAGTACCGCCATTAGTATCAACTGATCTGAATTTATTGATTTGTTGCTATTTCATGTGCTATAATCTGAGTCACTACTATGGTGCGCTATGGTGCGCTATATAGTTGCTTGGAGTCCCACTCCTATGAACTACAATCTACTACTGATTTACTACAGTTGCACCATGTGGTGCTACATAGTGCTACATAGCGCTATGTAGCACTACATAGTCACTTCAGTTGCTATGTAGAAGGCATGTAGCAACCGAGCTACATTGACTATGTAGTCAGGTGGTTTTTTCCTGATGGAGGGTTTCATCCTCTTAAACACTCTTGAATGCTTGAGATCTTCACGAGCTCGGCATTTGAAATGTTGGGCCTGGAGATCCAAGTGATGTTTGTAATGCTGACAAGTGCTATGGTGTCGACCCAGTCTTGTGTTGTCAGAAAATTCACAAGGACAGGGTGATCCACACCTCAAGCGATGGTGGTCCATAATTGAAATACAAAAAGTAAGTAGAATAAGTATGCAGATGGTGGATCTGATGTTCATTTCGACTTAATCATGGCCAAGATTCGAAGTAGGTGGTACTGGAGAACCATCACAAGAGATGAAGTCTGTCATGGCTTCATATGTAATTCTTACAGCTAACAGCTCCACCAGCCTGAGCCGCAGCGCGGGCCTCCTGAACTTGCATGTTCAAACAACATCCCATCGTGGGATGATTCAGATCTAAAGTACAATTAATACATTTCATAGACAGAATCATGGAGGCGGGTTCATCTTAATCAGGTGGAGCGTGATGTTTAGAATGTCTTGTGCCAATGCCAAAAGGCTGGTACAACTATTGTATCAATTGAAGAAATCCTCATGGACGAGTACAATGTGATGATACATCATACTGAAGGGTATCTGAAGATGGCATACTTGAGTACAAGGTGAGGATAAATGCTGATGGTGGGACTAAGTAACAATGAGTATCAAGGTGACTTAGCGGCAGGCATCTAGTACCTGTTGCTATTATATTATGGCAAGCTCTGGCCCCAGGACAAGTACAGCGGCAGTGCGAGCACGCGTGCAGGAACATGTGTTCCTCGATGTTCCAGAATTGAATGCTTCATCTGTCATGCGCTTGGCTCCTGCATCGAATGCTTCAGCTGCCTTGCACTTGACACCCCTTCTACTAGTTGCCACCGTACTATACCAACTTCTGTACCGATCAGTAGGCCATCGACATGCTTGCAAGGGCAAGCTTGTGAAGCATCTCATCCCATCCAAAAGGGAGAGTGACAGGTGCGTGCATCAGAGCCGAAACATCGACATTTGGGCTAACCTGTTGCAATAAATGCGCATACCAGTCCCTCATTCGGGACAGTCCCTTTTCTATCATGAGCGTGACATTGCCCATTGAAGTGTTTGGAAATAATTCCTATTGTAAGTATGGTCAGTTATAAATCGCTAAGTGCCAGGAGAGACTTACGCCACGTGTCGTGAGGTCTGGATTCTGCATGTCTATGTTGATTTGCCCGTCACAGTCTTGCACCCAGACCTGAAGATGTACGCTTGACATCGCATGCCAGATGTGCCGTTCAACCGTAATCTCGGTGGGTTTATTGAGTGATCTTGGCCCGGTGCGGTTGGAAAGGAAGGTGGTGTAGGAACGAACTTTCTCCTCTTTTTGTAGCTTTTTCCACACATGACTCGAGCGTGCGGGTGCGCTGTAGGGGATCCGTTCCTGGACTTCAGCCATGAAGAGCAATCCAACATCCGGGAATGCCTTGACCCTGTCTCTGAGGCACTGTATTAGGTCAGCTCTTGACTGCGATACGGCAACCTCGGCCATGACAGGAGTGATTAGAATGGGAGGGGTCGGTGAGGGCAGTGACCATGTGGAGGATATCGGGGATGCATTTCACTGAGTCCCCGTCGATCGTTAAGTTAGTGTGGGTGTCCAAGGACAATAGATCCCTGGTGATGTATTCCTGCAGAATCTGGTCTAGGTGTTCCAATCCTTTGCTGATAACCTTGATAATGGCCTTGTGTACGGGGGAATGCATCTCAACAACAAGGGTACGAGTATCGCAGCTGTATTCTAACCTAGAGAAATTCTGTGTTACGAATTGTAAGATATTATCGGAATAAATTTACCTTGGTTTTGCACCGCAGTCTTCAATCTTGCGAGATATATAATCGTAATCTGCTTGACTGATATCCCGAAATACTTGGCAACATAATGAGTAAGTAAATGAATGTTGAAACATACATACATACCTTGCAGTCTGTCTCACAATTCGATTGTGAGACAAAGCCAAGAACCTTGTGTTGTCCAGCAACAGGAGGCTTGGTCAAGCTTAGATCGACCTCAAGGGGAGGGGCTTGAGATGCAGAAGTGTCCTTGGTCACTGGTGTTCTCCCCCGGCTCACTGGTAACCTGTTTGAAGGCTGATTGTACGGTTCGAAAGCCTTTGTAGACTTGCCCTGCCTGTCGTTTTTTCTGAGTAGAGGGCTATAAGATTGTGACGGATGCCTGATAGTGATTGCGTTGGTCATCGACATGACGATTAAGATTGAGCTGAAGTGGGGACTTCAATTAGCAGGAAAAGGTGTGATTACCTAATTTATCTCCATTTGTTCACAAACAAAAAGCCAGCTGCAAGCGACTCCAAATTATGACACACTGGCAGGCGCCACATCGCCCAAGAACCGTGACGGCGTGGAGTTTGGAGTCATTGAATACTAGGTTTTGGGGTATTCAATTGATCCAAATTGGATCGATCTGATCAGCAAACTGGTGCCAGTGAGGCTAAGATATGACTATATATTGCAGCTTCTTTGGTCAGGAGTTTGCGTGATGTAAGTCATCTGAGTCACCCCGAAGTTCCCTTTGACTTCCATTTGATGGTTGCAGTCCAGACCGGTTGCGAGTATAAATTTGGATATCAAGGGTTAGTTAGGTCACTGGGACACTGCTTCAAATACATGTGCTAGGAGAGCAGTTTGCTCTTGAAGTACCATAACAATATCTTTTGCTAACCCAGTGAGTCTCTCTTTATCCCCATCGTCGGCGGTATGCTGCTTCTTTGCAGGCGGAAGTTTTACTTGCGAGGAGTTTGTGATATCACGAGCGAATTTCCCAGGCTGGCGGCTCTGACTCAGAGCCCTTTCCAGGCTGAGGCAACCATTAGTACTGTGCGACATGGGATGTGAGACTCACTTGCGGCTTGTCAGATTTGTGGTCGGGCCTTGCATCTCTTGACAAGGTGCGTTTCAAAATTGTCTGTGGAATATTGATAGGAGAATTTTGATGCTGGTAGTAAAAGAACGCCCGTCAGTTAGTACTTTGTCAGAAAGTATTAGGAAGCGGAAATATTACCTCCTGTCCAATATCTCCTCTCGTGTTGTGCATTGGTGATTGCGACCTTTTGGTGCCCGCTTTCTCTTGAGCATCTGAGTCGAGAGCTAGTTGTGCTTTTGCTCAATAGTAGGCTCGGCTGAATATGTAGTTTCCTTCTGAGGAGTCAGAGTCAGGATCACTGGCGGCTGCCAATGCTCCTTGATCTGTGGGGTAGCACCGTGACCATATTTCAGAATCAGAATATGGCGAGTCCCTGACTATGAGGATTTGTGAAGTGCCATCTGCATCATGACTAGAGCTGTTACCAGTAGTAGTATTGGGATCATAAGACATTGTGACTTGGAAAGATATATTGTTGTAATTAATGGCTACCGTACATCCTCAGGCTAGTAATACTTCTTACCACCCTGATGATATCATTTGTGGAGATATTCTGTAGACTTTTCCGAACATAGTAAGCTCCAAGTCTATGTCAACGATCAAATTTTCAAACTTGGATTCAATAGAGTGACGTTAAGGCCAATCAATGAGCCCCAGACTTGGACTCAGATCAGCCAACCAGCGGTGTCTTAAAACTCCAAAAATGTCAGTGAATATTGATGTTGAATACTCCACTAGTATGCTTCATTTGCCACACGAGATCAAAAGGACAGGTCTTTCAGCTTGCAGCGGGCATCCATCCTGCAAATGATGTGCACTCATATTTATTAGTGGCCACCAGAGTTCATGACTGGTAGGTACAAGTCCTGGGATATGCTGGATTCAGTTGTGACTTACAGGACAGTAACAGGATTGAAGGATTAATGTATCGGACCAGTTGTCCTCGCCAGTGAGGTTGCTTCTGCAAATATCAAATCTCTCTGTATTCGTGGTACAGTGCAGCTCGCTACAGCTGCAGAGGTCATACAAGTATGCAGTGGTATTACTGACCTTGCCCTCTGGAGTCTGCCAGAGGGGGATCATGTAGTGCCGGATTGCCTATTGGATGGATTGAAAACACTACCTTTGTCACGGCTGTCTATCCACTTGTCAATTGTCTTCCGCAGAACTGATACACCGTTCCTACCATCCATCTCCCTATTTAGCAAAATCACCCACCTTGACTTGTTGGAAGGTTGGGTGCTTTGGGGCTTTCCAATCGGCATACATTGCCTTACACAACTTACGCATATTTCCCTTTGATTGTTCACTGACCGGACAGCACCAGCCTTGCTGCAAACAATCCTTGCGGATTGCATTCACTTGAAAGTATTGGTGTTGTGCGTAACAGAGGAAGTTGGCAGGGTAGAGAAATGGTTGCAGGAGCATGGTCTCGATGATCGTCATATTGTTGTGACAGCCAAGAGCTCCCGTGATACCTGGGATTGCAGAGTGGCAAGTGATGGGATGAGCTCATGGCAGTATGGAGATTGCATTACAAAGTGTTGAGACGTGATACATGAATGTACAGATTAGACACGGAGAATATATGCAATAAGATTTAGCTGAGCGGTGAAACGAACCGATGTAGGATCGGATCCGAGGTCGGTAGTGATCCCCACTCATTCTTGGCTTCTATGGGTGTCAAACGGCATGTGTAGGCATGGAATCGAGCACAAAGCGGGGCGAATGTTTTAGGCAAGCGCATGAGCATCAGGGAAAAAATGTACTGGGCGAGCAACCAATATTTACAAGGCTGCTGTAAGCGACTATACACTGTACAGTGCCTAGTAATTACACTCTGAGTCTGATCTGTATGATCATTGATGGTTAGTGGAGGATTAGAATTCCTGCATGAACATTTTTACCTTCCAAAACTTGCATTGAAATCTACAAACGCTCTGGCTGCGGCAGCGCATTTATTGTGTCAATGACATGGACATAGAAGTCCATTATCATCACAGGACACAGCTTGTAAAATATATGAAGGGCTTTTTGAGAGATGATGCACATATCATCCAGCGTCCTGACTCCCATCGATTTCAAAGGGGTGAGGAATAACTCTGGCCATTGCCACGCCGGCTCATCACTGTTGAGCTGCCCCATAAATGCTTCCAAAGTGGGATATGTAATTGATGGGTCGGTTTCAATCTCCACATCAATCAGTAGGGTGCTTGAAGTAGTAGTAGTTACTGACATGGGGTCGTGATTCAAGTTAGAGGCAAATGATGACTCAGACTCAGACTTTAATGTGCTGTTGTACCCACCATGACGTCTTTATGACAGAGCCGAGGGTACTAGCACAAGTCCAAGTCCAATGCTACTAGTTCCGATCCAAGGGCGCAATTTAGCAAGTGGATCCATCTTCCCAATACTCGTCATCTGTGTCAAAACTGTGGTATGAAGTAGGTGACGATGATGCAGGGGTCTCGGCACTGGCTCGATGACTGGTAGGTCCCTCGTCAGCAAGCCTCTAACCATGACAGTACTAGCCACTCATCGTATTTATTGGCAAATGGTGTTTACCCAAGAGGTCAACCATATCCTCACTATACAGATGACATCCACCAAGGAAGAGAGACTGTTATGACAAGCGGCAGGTAGCTGGTCTCCAAAGGGTCCTACAACATGCAACATGACCTCCAGATTTTCCAAGCCATCTAGGGGACAGGCGTTAGTCAGATGTCAACATGATTCACGAAACTCACATCTGACTTCCTTGAGTTCTTGTTTGGTTACTGCTGTAGATTTGCTACTTATGGCATGTATTTGAGCTCATCTTTTTCCCCCTCCGAGACGGGCTCAATATACAGGCAAAACGGGCGAGAGGGGCGACATGATACTGGACTGAAAATCAGAAGTGCTCTTGGCCAGGCGCTCCACTGTGAGGTATCCCGTATTTGGCTTGAGGATGTCGGTGTCCACTGTGAATGATGTCAGGTAAGAAAGTGACACAATAGAAGCAGACTCTTCAGCTTACTTTGGGGCAGCCAGAACAGCACGAGATCTACGCGATTAGGCAGTAGGGTAGCGCAGCCATGGATAAATTTGCTAGCAGTGGTCCATGAGTAACGTGGAGCCACCTTGGGAGTGAGAATCATACCTGAACTTGGGAACAGCTTCGACAAGGTAGGACTGGACGAGATCAGTAACCCATTTCAGAGGCTCTTGTCCAAACTGAGTCTGAAGCTTGACTTCCAAAATGCCATACCTTGAAGAATGTGAACATGTTATGAAACTGCTCAATAAGGGTAACGCACTTGAAAAGCTCCTTATCCGCCGTTGGCAACTGGTCAAAAGGATGGTCGATGCCAATGTCGGTTCGCCACCAGTTATCGCCAGCATGCGCTTGTCTGTCCCAGTTGTCTTCACAAACCATAGTAAGTTCCGTATCAAGCGATATCCATACACGGGGATCCCCGGGGAGCTGGAATGCAGTTCGGTTGTAAAACATCCTCATGACTAGTATATTTGTGAGCAAGGGAGTCAGACATTAGGCCTGCTTACATACCCGGCTGAAGCTGCTTTGTAAGAATACAATACTGGACCTCGCTTGCAAGCTGAATCATAGAATTGACTTCAGCTTGTGTCTTCTTGCCTTTGTCAACTAGAGCCTGAAGCTCCGCGTCCATGGTGTATTCTCTGCGTAGAAAAGTGTTCACAAGATGTTCTTTGATCGGGAAACGCACCTTGACAGACTTTTCACCTGTCCAGTCTTCTCCGTGTGTCTTGCACTCTACGAAAATCTGAGGGACGACGTTGAGTGAGACCTTCACAAGCCAAGCCAGACACACTGATGGTTTTCACGTCTGTGTCGCCATACCACCAGAGATGAATAGCTTTGGCACCCTCTGTCTTCTCTAGTCGACCAAGGTAAAGTTCAAGATCTTCATTATCGAAGTATATTGAAGTAATGGCTGCAACAGGCATTAACATAACACTCTCTGTGTCAAAATCAAACATACCAGCATCCTTCTGTTCGAATTCCTTCTGGGCATTGAACACTATAAGGAGAGATCAATCAAAAAAAATACTGAAACGCACTATCACTTACCAAGAATGGGTAGATGTCGCAAAATAGACATTGTGAGAATCACAACATCCAACAATAGGGTTGGCATAATTATCAAGGCCACACATGGTAAGGCACTTGTCCACGATACTAGTATCCACAAGTCTCAGTTGTGTGCATACAGTGAAATCATGGTGAACATACTATAATTTGAGTCCTGAAGGTGGTTGTTGTAGACAAGTGGAGAACAGAACAGCCTTGCAAAAAGTCGTTTGCGGCAGGTGAGTGTTCATTTCTTGACAATAGCCATTGCAAGGAATATCAACAAAAGATTTTGACTTGTAGCGAGTTCACTCACGTCTGAGCCTAGAAGTCTGGGCTGCCCATTAACAAACCAATCTCCCATGATACCTCCAACATCAACTCATTGAGCCAAAACATTGAGCAACATTGTCTGTGATATATATAAAATTAACAAATGGTCCTGAAGATAAATATGTGACCAACCAGACTCACCCATGAGCACGCGCCCTCACCAAATGGCAACCAAGTTGAAGGAGTCGATGATCACGTGACTGTGTTGGTCAGATTGGCGACTTGTACAATTTCGCGGTTTATGAATTGAAATTGCCCTCGTCTTGCTCTATTTTCAACAGTTCGGATATTTCCAAGGCTGCTGCTCACCTGGCTGTGATCTTGGCATGCTTCAAGAGCAAAGGAGATACCGCTTTCTTACCAGTATCTCACAGCTGGGAGGTACACCTGTGCGCACGTGCACACCATGGCTGAGCAATATCAGGAAAGGCGCCTGGGACACATCTCTTTTACACTGTTCCTTGTGCCAACAACGCGTGAGCTCGTAAAACGTAATTGATTGTGTATAGGCGTCATCTCTAAAAGGAAAGGTTGTTGTTAAGTATTTGTTTCTGGAGATGGAACACACTTGGCATTGACCTTACTTCTTAAGGTGACATTGTTTACATTCGCAAATTTTGGTAAAGCTACAAGATCCGGTATGGAGATGATTGTACATTTCATTTGATTCCATTCTGATACTCCAAACACAGTGGAGGAATTTACATCATTTAGTCAACAGCGACTCCAACTATCGTAATACTTGCCTGATAATCCGGTCTTTGAAAGCTCGTCATGGTTTGGTGGATGATACACGAATATCCTTCATTACATCCTCTACCATGTCTCAGTCTTCTGACTATGATGATCCACAGCATGAGAACCATAGTGCACTAAAGTGGCACATTGCCACTTTAGAGGAGCAAAATGCTGAGCTCCGGGGAGAATGCAGCAATAAATGGTGAGGTACTACCACCTTTGATTGCTGTATGTATCTGACGGCACTTGTGTCATTGCAGCTGTGGTGATCCTTATCTTCTTGCTGGGCGAGCCATTTGGCGGCTTGTGAGCCTAAATTACAGAGTTGAGGATCTCATTGGAGAATACGACCGAAGGACCACTCTATGTGGTGAAGACGATGTACAACACACGGACAAGTATATATGATCTTACTTCAGTTGGACAGTTTGATCTGACTTGTAAAATTTAAGGGAGGACCGTATCTATGATTCGTTTGAGCAGTTACAGTGTTGGGTCCCATGCGTCCGCGACCTCATCTACTCCCAGAGTGATGGATATCAACTCAACAGCACCTATCAGAAAGTAAGTCACGCATTGTCCAAATATATCAGATTGATGATGCACTCGATTCAGCTCAATAGAGGCGCAGATTCGGCCCGTGGCGATAATGCTGCTTCCTTGAAGCTAGCAGTTGCTTCTTGGCTGAACGAGAAACAGCCTACCCCCAACCCAGCGATCTCCTCACAGGACAAGTCTGGTTGTGGATTCTATCATGATGCTACTGCAGAACTTATTTGTCCTGTTGACTTTAACTGGGCAGATAAGAGGTACGACTTTTACTATGTAACTGGCTGGTATACTGCTGATTATGACTGTAGAACACAGGACGAGATACGAAACTATGACCATAACTTCCAAGTTACTGCACACTCTTGGCCAACATTCATGTACCAGGATGGCAGGTATGATCGTGAGGACCCAACAAGAGGGCTTTTCAAAGGTGCTTTACTTGTCCGAGTAAGTTTTAGTGCTTCCCTGACCTTCAGGGTATACTGACACTCAAATGTCAATTTAGACGTTCAAACACATCTTCACATCCCCTAGCTCTGCCAGTGAGACCCAACCCAATGAAGAAACATTCCACCAGGAACCTTTATACAAGCGGTCGAGGACCTCAGGAGAAAGACGCACCAGACATGATGATGGGTTCCGTAAATTCAAACTCAGACATGAGAGGGAAACTGTTTTCGGCATTGAAAACAGAAATGCCAAAAGCAACAATAAAAACGTCTCGAAAACGCTACTGTGAACGTGCTACGTTTGTCTTCTAACTAGACTCTAAAAACTACGTTTTCGCATGCTGGACTCCCGGCCTTGCTGGCTAAATACGTGTCTGGTTCAAGCACCCCATCAATATCTGATAGGGTAGATTTCCAACATCTTTTATGCGTGGAAACAGGAAGACTTGCCAGTGAATGCTCGCTCTTCAGCGATGTTATGTGATTTAGTACGCCCTGCGGTACTACGACCGTCACAAGGGTAGACACGCACAGGTCAACCATAAGTTGCCGAAATCTTGCGGTGTTTTGACTTCCAACGTGTTTCGCGTGAGTCACGGCTTTGCAGTCTCGTGTTCAACGTCTACTTTGACTCACCCGAAGGCTGACGTGGGTTGACTCACGTTTCTACTTTCATGCAAAAATGCTTACTTGGGTCAGTTAATGAAGGCAGGAACGGATATTCCATCACGATCATCTCGGCTTTTGATGAAGGCGCTGGCCCATGGTGGTATATCTAGCACGAAATAGTTGTCATACGTCGACCAAGTTCGCACCCTCCCACATCCATCCATTTTCAGGAAACATGACTCTAGTCTCAAATGATCCCTCTTGGTGGCCAGCCATCGATTCTGGTTTCTTTCTCAGCTATGTTATAGGTTCGTGTAGAACTAGTCTGATGATGACGGTGATGTCTCGATCTCACCTTGGCTGTGGTTTCGCAGTTGCTGTCTCTGCCGTAGCAATGTACGATTGGGGTAAGCAAGATGGATCTCAAGAACAGCTCATAATCTTATGGTCTCTCCAGTACTCACATTTGGACAAGAGGTGGGTAATGCTATCATTGGAGTGGACATCTTGCTAAGAACAGCTTTAAAGGTTGAACTGGTCTGGGTGAGTCGAATCCTGTTAGAACAAAATGACCATTAATTCGCGACAGAGCCAACGCTGGTCCCTTATGACCTTTTTATATCTCAGTGTATGTAGTTCGTAATATGAGTTTAACTGACACGTGCTGACTAGATGACATCCTAGGTGCGCTATCTTGGATTACTATTTGCCATGTATGTCTGGACAGCTAGCAAGCAAGTGGTGTTGTGCTAATGTGCAATTCTCACAATTAGCATCGGCATCCTGTGTATGTTTTCTCACGTGCACTAACTTTTTTCTTTCTGACTGGTGGCATTTAGTATATGTTCCGACAATCTTGTTGACAGATGTAGTGAGTATTGTCCACCGATGACAAGCATTTTACTCCAATTATACCATTCCAATGCAGGGGTGAGTAAGATTCTCTATTAACTTGTTGGTTCGAGCCAATGACTATCACAGCTGTGAGTTTGTTTCAAACGTGATTTTCCGAGGCTGATGACCCACTGGATTCGTTAGGTCAGGTCATGCATGTCGCACTAGATTATATCAGTATGGTCGGAGGTGTAATGCTGGGTGGTGAGCCATTCGTCTCCAAGACTCCAGTTTTATTCACTCGACTGAAACATCATGCAAGTCATTATGATCGCTCGCTTACATGCCATGTATCAGCGATCTAAAAAGGTGCTGGTATTTCTCGTCGTCATCTTCCTGGTTATCAGTATCTACAACGGAGTAATGACCACACTCTCAGCGAGGCTTATTTCAGGGGGTAAGCTAATGATGGATTACAGACTTGATGCGTCAGGCTAATTCACGAATGCTAGAGGAGCTCATTCTCTCCGATACCTATCAGTGTAGCCTCACCTATAAGGGAGATGGCGTATTTGTGTGTCTCATCATCTGGACGCTCAGTACTGTGTGGGAGGTTCTTGTACTTTGTCTCGCAGTCCGGATTGCTGTCAAACACTTCCGTGAACTGCGACGATATTCGGCAGCAGGGCTCATTGGGGACTGTTTCACGGTGTTAATGCAAACTCACCTGATTTACTTTGCGATGTAAGCCCGTGATGTGATTGTGGTTCCTTTTGCTGCTGACCTTTCTAGCTTTTTCGCTATTTCTTGTTTCCAGCTCATTAATTTGCTTTCGATCATTTCAGCGGTATGCCGATCTCTTTCTCCACCACTTACATCCACGATTCATAATTTCTACAGGACGCATCTTCCCTGGAATTTTGGATGCATCTTTGTATTTGTCAAATTTCCCAGCTCGTGTACATGTTTGTGCTAGGGCCACGCCTGATCCTTAGCGTTCGAGAATATAACGCTAAGCTCGTAGACGACTTAGATCCAGCAACCGGCATGACGTCGATTTCTTTCTGGCATATCTCAACCAGCAATGTGTAGCATGGGAAAGGTTCAGTCTGATTAACAGTTATCGGGTACTCTGCAGCAGGCGGGATAATGTGCTGTCTTCTTCGTGTTTCATTGTGGTACTGTATATTTTATCTAGTGTTCGAAAGTACATTTGAAAGACAAATAGGCCAGACAAATCGCCGATCAATTTAAACATCTCACTGCATTGCTACACTACCTGCCTACAGACGGGTAACAACACCCTGCAGACACCCCATGACCCATAGCACCCAACATGAAGCGCGGCGTTTCCGCCTCGTACAAGCTACAAACATCGATCGAAGGTCAACCGAGCGTTGCCAGATCTCCAGTCTAATTCAGCAATACGATCCACTCAGCCCAAAGAACTGACAATCCCCGTTTGTATAATGATTTGAGTGACCAAATGGCAACACCCAAGTCATCATACAGTTGAAGAATGGCGATTCCTTGGCTGAGTATCTCATTATTACGAATTTGACGGGAGACGCAGCGAGCCTTGGTTGATCCTCCAACCGACGCATATAACGTGTATCGAGGCGGAAACGCCGCGCTTCAAGTTGAGGGACAGGGGCACTGTCTCTCAGAGTGTCTCCAGGGTTTACTGAAGACTTGGATGCCCGGACGTGCTCGAGGCGTCTGTAAAAGCATGGGCTCGCGGAAGGAGTTCGTGTTCGTTGAGGACAAGGTTGGTTTACCAGTAAACTGACTATGAGGTGAAGGAAAGAGATGAAAGGTGATGTCCATGCAGAGGAAATGACCATGCCTTATATACCATAGTCGAGTCCATAAGTTATGTAAGGTAGTTGTGGATAGTGGAACAAGTTGAAGCCATTGTTACTTGTGTTGCGCTGAAACTTACGGTAAGCCATCAAGACCACACACCACACGCTGTCACAAGAGATCATCGTGACACAGTTTCACTTTCTCTCCTCGACATCTCCCGTATGGAACTTCGAATGTCATAAGCTAGACTCGTAACATATGTTTTTGACGACTTTCCTATTTTAGCAACTGCTAAGTTGATGTTCCTTGCGAATTCCAAACCTATGAAGTACCTCTTGCCTAAAATATGGCGTACAGAATCATTATTGTGTCTAAGCCACCGAGAAAGTTAGTTTTATTGTTGTAGTATGTACAAGAGTGTGAGTACTCCAAGCTGTTGGACAGCAAAAATAGAACAACAATATATGAAGAATAAATTGGCCAAAAAGGTCACAGCTACACTATCAAACGCTATGAAGTGAAACCCCCGTGAAACAAGAATAAGAAATCCGCGCAACGTGTCTTGTTTATGCAAGACGTATCATTCCAGGTCTTCTTCATCCTCGGTAGTAGTCTCTGTGTCACGCCCTTCACGAGAGTTAGATCGAGACGACAGAGACCTTGGACGAGAATTTGGACGAGAACGAGCACGGTTTTCAGCGTGCCGTGCAATCCGCTGCTGCTCACTAGCTTCCTCCGGCGTGAGCGGGTAGCTTGGGATGCACTTGAGCTCGAAAGTACAAGGCAAGACGTCTCCACAAGCATCTCTGACGAATTCATCATTACGGACAAGACCCCCCCACCTCGAATTACTGCAGAGCCAATCAAGGCGTCTCAGCTGCTCACCAAGGTGACCGCCAGGGACGTTGCTGTCTGTTGAGCGGTTATGCTGATACGCTTGCCAAATCTCCCGTCGACGACGGGTTGAAACACCTTCGTACTCCTTTTTTGCGACGTCTCCATGAAAATAAGCGGAAACGGCTTCGATTACTTCGCCACAAGTCACACCAATTTTTGGGCGTCTGGCTTTGACGGAGATCATCCACGGGAATGACCGTGAGATGATGCGGATGTATGACAGACGTGGGAACGTAGCGGGTGCCTCACGCCCTTTGATCCATGAACGCTTTGGCCCGGTTGTGCGAAAACAAGTACTCGTTGGGAAAGTCATGTTCCAGCGGAGGTAGTCTTCATGCGAATCTGTGGGTGGAGATAGGAGGGGATTGATGCTAATCGTCGCAGATACCGCCCTTACGAGAAAAGGCTCGAGAACGGGCCCGTCTAATAAAAATGATGCCGGTTCAGAAGACATCTATCTAGCCTGAATATGGTGTACATACAATGTGGCCCTTCGGCAAAATGGTCGATATGGTCCGCACTGCTCGTCCATCGAAAATTCGCGCGAGCAGTGTCAGGCTGTTGTGGTGGAGCAGGGGGCGGTGCAGTTGGGTGTACCCATGGTGTGTGACCAGCATACATGTTTGATGGTGGCATACCAGGTGGCCCACCAGGCAGGGGCATCCCCCACACTCCTGCAGGAGTAGGAAATGCCCCTGGTAGAGGATATCCGGGGGTGAAAGCCCCTAGTTGGGGACCCCAATTGGGAGGACCTGGAGGTAGCGGTTGTTGGAATGTGTATCCTGTCCCTGGTGCTGATGCTGGCCAAGGTGTGCCTGGAGGAGGTTGGGTAGGTACATACGGTGAAGGGTTGCCGTTTGGATACCCAGTGTAATCAGCCGAGAATCCATTTCCAGGTGGTGCCCCATATACATTTGGAAGATTGGCAGGAGGTGGGAAGTAGGAGCTTTGAGGCATGATAGGAGTAGAATGCGCGCTGGGTATGGGGGGTATGGGAGGGATAAATGGCGTGGTATTATACGGTGTCGAGGGGTAATACGGATATTGCCCTGGCGTGCGGGGCTGTTGAGCCCACGCAGGTGGGTTGTGATTTTGAGGCGCTGGAGGAATGACGGGCGGCGCCAGACTTTCAGGCGAGGGAAGAGGGGGTATGAAGGGAGTATTAACTGCCTCAGGCGAGTCATATAGCATTTTTGGGCTGTTGTTCTAGATATAAGTGTGATTGTTGGGAGTGTCACGCCGTCACTGACAGAAACCAATCAATACATTAATTCAGGATTTAAACATAAAAGTATAGAATTTGCCTCACAGGAAATGGAAGGAACCTAGGTTACACTTATTAATACAGAAGTAACTCAGGACGTATGGCACAGGCTCGGCTTGAAGTCGTTGGGGGAGAGATTTGAAGAGATTGTGCCGATATCTATGGTCTGAGTGCCCAAGAAGGCCTGAGAAGGGAGCATCACATCAACCATATCTCGAGATAATTGCCAGTACCTGTTTACCTGCGGGTAAAGTTAGAGAGCGTGCTCAATGTAATGATGAATCTAGAAATCGAGTGCAGTGGTTTGATTTCAGGAACCGGGTACTTTTCCTGAACTGATTCAATTCCACAGCCTTTCAAGATATGGACAGCTAGCACAGTGCTATCTGTCGCTATAGAGTTCCAAGAATGCAAGCAAACTGTGCGGAATGACCTTTAGGAAAAAGAGGCAGTGGGAGACGAGAAAGGGATTTAGACAGGCTGACCACTGCTCAAACCCTGTAATCAGTGGCTGTGCTTACTTTTACATAATTGCGGTACTTTGTCACTGGGCATTAGAACTAATATGATGGCATGCCGCAGTCAAGCGCCTTCAGGTGCAAATGTAAGTTTGCGCGCTCCTGCTGAGCGTCTTCACTGTGCTCGTGATGTAAAAATTTCCAATTATCATCCCTGGAATTGATCACGAGGACTCCCTTGAACCATATCGCAAGTTGCAACCTAGTCATCCGAACCGCGTATCGAGTCGCACGGGTATGTATAGCGTGAGGCAATGACAGCCGACGTGACAGATCAACACGACACGAGGTTCCTTGGTTTTCATTTCCATTAGTCAACCTAGGAATCATTCCTTGAATTGGACAGAAGACGGGTTTTTGGGCCCAAACTACTGATTTTAACAGCCGGTGCGGAATACGTACTATCATTAATGCAACGGGCCCCTTATGACGCACTTCATTCCAGGAGAAACCGGAAGGTATACTAGTGCTCCGAGATCACTAGCTACATATCAAAGATAGTCGTCCCGCCCAACCATCAAGGTTCTATAAAGTTTCAGCGGCACCAAGTTCTTAAGTATCCAGTCTAACGGTCAGCGCTGGCTGCTAAGCATCCAAGCGCCTGCGTAAGGGTCTACTCTCTCAACACTGTCACAGTTGAACCTTTTGGGCCCCCCTTCTGTCTCTGGGCTCGGAGGTCACCCCAGAAACTCGCTGTAGTTCGGGCTTGGCATGGGTAATACCGGTGATCATTGGGGTGCTTATTGGTCCTTCGTAAAACCACGCCAGTTTCAATTCCTAGTTCCCATGCTGAAATGAATGTCACTCCTATCACGATGATCCCGGAGGCAAAGCTCCAACCCAGTGATCATCGGATCAATACTTTCGGACGAAAATCGCCTGATAATTCGTTCACCGCTCAGTCGTGCGTAGTGCGGGGGTGAGGTCTTCCTAGATATGACAAGAGTTGGCATAGAGTATGCAACGTATGATACATGGAGCACAGTGAGAAATGTGACGGTCCGAGGCCATCACGAGGTGAGGTTTAGTACAAATATGTTGGGGGCCTTGAAACCAAGGCGCTGAATCGAGTAGCTGTCCTTCTTTGACAGACCATCAAAGTAGTATTTGTCTCGAAGCCAATCTACAGAAATAGCATGAGACATTGCAAAATAGAAAAGCCACACAAATGACTCACCGACCCGCTTGTACCGATTTGGCGCAGGGGTATTGTAATACATGTTCCAAGCTGCACCGGAGGCATTATTGTGCGTAGCGGCCCTCTTGACCTGTTCCTGCAATCTTGGAGGGAGAACGTTAAATTCTGCATCGGTCACATAATTCTCTGTGTACCTGAGTCGGTAAGGATAGACTCAGGCGCTAAGATTGATAGATAGGTGCTCACTCTTTCCAAATCGTGCTGCAGACATCGCCCATAGTAACTCCACGCTCATTATGTACTACCGTGCACCACGGGCTGGATTCCGTAATGATGATGAGATCTTGAACGCGGGGAAGCGTTGCAGGCTCGTCCTTGGCAGAAAAAGGGATATCACGATCCCGGTCATTGGGGTTGAAGCCGCCCGTAGAACCTTATGTTTATATAAAAAATTAGCTTCGTTGATACTGATTCCGAGGTGACATACCAGTGACAAGGTTGAACATGAGGTGGAAGCCATGGTTTGTACCAGCCATGATCGGGTGTAGTTGCAGCTCGGTATTGAGCAAATAAAGATCAGTTTGGGAGAGGACTGGACCATCTGTTTTGGGGCGTCAATATGTATGCAGGAAACAAAGCTGAACGATAGCACTTACAGCCTACTCCTGCAGACCATTTGCTTACGGTTGAATCACCCATCGATGCGAGTCTCGTGTGAAATGATGGCGCTAATAGATATTGATGGGGATCTACGACAGGATGATGTAGGATCTGAAAGAGATGTAGAACACAGAAGAAACGGGTATTTGGGCTATGAAAAGTACTGGTACAAGCAGCAATCAGGCAGCGCTTTAAATGGGGCTGCTCGACGGCTAATTCAAGCTATGCTTTGCTATTATTTACTTATTTGAATTACACGAGGCTATGTTCCTAATTAAGTGTTATCCCGCTGATTAGATTAGATTAATATCTGACTAAGTGCTCCCTTTGAAGGTTCTTTGAACTCGAACATTCTCGCTTGATTATACCTGATTGATACCATCAACTTCAGAAATGGCTCCCAAAGGTGGCAACGCAAAAAAGGAGAGTGGTCGAGCCAAGAAGGCAGAGAACGAGGCAAAGAAACAAGAGGCTACAGCTGCTGACAAGGTGCGTCTATTAGCGCCGCCGACACCCTTTGTATGGGATCCATTCATTGGTGTTGACAGGCAAAAAAGGAGGCTGAGAAATGGGAGGATGGCGCCAAGGGAAGCAAAGCTAAGGAGGAAAAGGAAGCAAAGCGTCTGGCCGAGCTCGCCCGTAAAGCCGAGAACGCGCGACTGCTTGCAGAGGAGGAAGCTGCCCCTCCCGTAAAAGCCAAGGCCGCACCCAAAAAGAAGAAAGATGTCAAACCAGCTGGTCCAGGAGCAATCGCAGCTGGAGGCAGCCTGAGTGAAGCAACACCAGCAGCAGAGACAAATCCCAAGGATGAACCGCCTAAGGAGATCGAAAGCTATGCTGCAACTGGCATCGATAATGCATTGGATCTACTGGAGGTAGTGACCGCAAAGATGGACAAGGCCAGTGTAGGGCAACAGGCTGCAGGTATCGAAAGGCACCCAGAGGCAAGATTGTTTACCTTCTTCCTAAGGCTATACTAACAACTTACACACTTTCCACCTAATAGCGGCGGTTCAAGGTGAGAACTCACTTGATGGTATGTTTCTGATACGCGATTTATAATTCACCTAGGCTGCGTTTGAAGCCTACAAGGAACGCGAGCTGCCAAAACTGAAAGACGAGGTACGGCTGCATCCCCGGTAAGCGAAGCACGAGGCTAATCCTATTTTCCCAACCACAGCATCCCGGGCTGCGCCTGCAGCAATATCAGGTCAGTGCCGCCGTCAGCACAAATTTCAAGACGTCTGACATTTGAATCATACAGGATCTGTTGCACAAGCAGTTCCAGAAATCACCGGATAATCCGTGAGTCATCAGGCTTATACAGTCTCTTTAGTGCGACAGCTGATCCACGTGGATTTATTGTTACAGCTTTAACCAGGTTACCATCGCTTACGACGCCACGAAAGACGAGAAACTGCAGTCTCTCAAGGAGAAACAGGATGCTGTACAAAAACGACTGCGCACATAACGATCGTTCTGTGTGATAATCCTTGGGGTCTTGGCATCAGAAGTCGGGATGTATGATAATAGCGCTGGTGAAGTTCGATTTACTATCTCTAGAAGAGATTTGATAACAAACATCTGGACGTGTCCATACGTATTCTTGCAATCCGTTAACACTGCGTGTATTGTTCGTGCGATTGGGCTGTGAAATCTAGACTCGGATAGGTCGATCAACCGAATTTTCTTTGAGAAATGACTAAAGGACAAAAGTCACTTCACATTAATGGAGAACACAGAGGAACTACAAGGACTGCCCGCAACACCGCATTTACTGTATGATAAGCTGTGTTCATGCTGCGATTGTTGCTGCGCTAATCAATCATGACTGTTTGTCCGGGCCAAAGGCAGTGCAGCCAAATTGCGATTATGTAACCACAAGATTTTTTTGAGCACATATAAAGTTCGACGGCGTTCGACACAACTTCCCACCTCAAGGTCCTCAGCACTAGCCACGACATGCCAGATATTTCGATCCTGACCCAGCGCGCAAACTCTTTTGCATCGCCCAAGTCTATTCAGCCCACAAACTCACTTGTGATAACACAAGTTCCTCGAACATTTTTCCAACCTTCGATAATCAATGCTTTGCGCGACCACTTTGCTACGTATGGCGAGATTAACCAATGGGTGCCGATAGCATCATTTTCTCGTATCATCCTCGTATATTACTCAGAGGAATCTGCCGAGCTCGCAAAGAACGCTTGTGATCCTCTTGTTTTGACTCTCCCACACAGGTACGTGAATCTGACTTAGTCGAAGCACTCATCGTGTTTCTCATTTTTTTTTTGCACAGAATACCTACGATTCTGAGAGTATATCGTTCCGAACCTAACCCCATATTTTCGCCGTCATCACCAACGGCAGACGAAAATTTATTACGTCCTCCGCCGATCGAAAAGAACTTTCTTATCTCACCACCTGGGTCCCCGCCCATTGGCTGGGAACAAATTCGTGAAGAACCACCGAATGCTACACCTCTCGCAAATGATCTTATAGCTGCACTTCACAAGTTGAAATTGCAGGAGAGGCGGTCTAGTCGAGAAGTGCTTCTGGAGCCTGAAGATGGCGTGGGAGTGGGAGTATACGTCGAGGACTGCGATATGAATGACGATGACGATGCGGAGGGGGCTGACTGGGAGTATGGCTGTCCATCCCCGGCCAGGCTACGATGGAAACCTGTAGCAACCGCTATGCCGCCAGCGCGAGTGCGATAAAAATTGTAAGTCCATGTTTCACCTTTCCTTCTGGATGATACACATCAGACCTGTTCCGAGACCTACATGCGGACATCTTGATATTGCCTTTTTTTTCTGACCCTTCTTGCCTCACTCAAGTGATGGTTTAAATCTGGTGCTAATATTTTTTCCATAGTGTCGCATTGCAAATTGTTGTACTATTATCTATCCCGTTGGCACACTGTATATCACCATGTGAGCATCTTTCCTTGTGCCCTTCTCTTGATGAAATACTTCAGACCTGTTCTGATCCTTGTGGAGATAACTTCTATTGCCAAATAATTTTCTGATCTGTGTTCACCACGCCGCTTTGAACTTTGGCTGACATATCGCTTCTAGGTTGTCGGCACCCTTATAGCATCATCTCATTTGTAATGGACTTGTATCACAGTTATAACCACATGCCTGGACTCTTACTGCAGCCACCAAATATACGATTACGAATGTACTTATTTCATTCCAACTGGAAGATTATGCTTTCTGTTGTCAGTTATTTCCTATTGCTGACGCCGCGGAACTTATTGTGACAAGGGCGCGAGAATAACACATCCCCCTGATGAAGGACATAACCGCGCGATCCATCATGTACTTGAAATTAATTCGCCAGTATCTCTAAGCCAAGACCAATCTTCGTACAGCGGATATGCTGATGAAATATGTAAGGAGAGGGTTTGAAATCAGCACGGAACCGTTCTGATTGAGCAAGTTGCTATGGCTGTGAAGATTCAGACAATACTTAACTTGGAGTAGTTATTGTCCTCACAAGTTGAGAAGTACGACAAACAATGACTAGTGACTCGAAAGTGCTGTATTGAGACATCGGACCAAACACAGATTTTGCAAGATACGACTATAACATGCAGGTGAGTTAAGATATGTGCATCCACAGAAGTTTCCTCTTCACTTGTTGTGCTTGCAGGTGTCTGCGGCACAACTGCGCGGTAGGATTATGTCAGCGGATATCGCTGGCCTCAGTGGTCCTAAAAAGGTAAGTAAGCATGGTTCAATCTATCTAGTTGGTCAGATCTTCAGACCGCCGCCTTGCCGCCGCCCGCGCATCACCTTTACACCACATATGAAAGCTTAGCGGTTAGCTTTCAGTATCAGCTACAGTATATGGAATTTCAGGTAAGCCAGCATGCTTACAGGACGAAATGACACCTGGCATCACTGTGAAATTATATTCTATTCAGGCCTGTCCGTCTGATATCATCAGGATATTATATCAATAAGTATGGGTAATATTAAGGTGAACGTCATGCTGTTGCGGTGGTGTCCGAAGTTGATGTCATGAACTTTAGTTTCCAGTGCTTCAACACTCTTCAACATAGCTTGTCAAACAAATTTTCGACTTATGTTTCCCGTTGATGTACGCGTCTCTTTTCCATCTATCGTCGCATTCACCATGATTTCTAACCACGCCCATGAGCAGTTATGATACGCTAGATTTGCGACGAACCTCTCTTTACCAGCAACAAACAGGGCAAGTAGGGCGGTATCTGCTCGTCACGGATATACTAGCGCCAAATTCGAGGGAACATTGATCTACCAACCAAGCAACACTTTCCCTCCATATCAGGTGCGAAGCGCACAATCCATTAAGTTCTTATGATTTTATCATGAGTCGACATATTTTATGATCTCATCTTGTTTATTTGTTTGCACGGCTAATAGTAATTGGATGCGCTCAACCGGCAGGCCTAAAGGTGGCCTCATCTCACAGTCGAAAGGCACAGGCAAGAAACAGGAGACTGCATCTCGAAAGCACAGTGACCCCGTTCTCGCGAAGTCGCCTCTGGACATTCGAATTTCTACGACACCACCACTACAGCTGCCTGCAAAAGTTGATCTCTAATACACAACCTGAAAACCTGCTTTGTAGTGGCGGGGATCGATAGCCCGTCATTGATGCCGCTTCATTGTCATCCTTGAATCGAACCATTTGTCATTTCTATCACTGCCGTGGATCTAAAGCCTGCGGTTGTGGTAAATTCATTTCTTCAGTTTCCATGTTCTGAATTGGTTACCCGCCGACTATGGGATTCTGCCTATGCCAGCACTGAGGTCCGTGGGCTGCAACCATTTTGATAGAACTGCGAGCCTGCGCTTCCAAAACACGATTTATGGGATATATAAGCAAGTCGTTGACTCTTTAACCCATCATTCGGGATCCCCTTGACGCATACTAAATCACCTAGCACAAGACATGCATTTTTCATTCCTCGCTATTGTTGTTACTTTGACAACATCTATATCTGCCAGTGCATCTTCATGCACAGGACAATTCGGGCTTTGCGGCCCGGATTTCGAGCCCTGTTGCTCAGGCTTCACTTGCCAGATGGGTGTGAGTATGATCCATCCGCTTTAGATCCGTGATTCAGCTCTATGACTTACCCCTTGCGCCTTGTATCAATAGACTCGGGACGTCAACTTCAGAGTGCTCTACTGCTACTAACACTCTTGATTGGCTTGGAAGAGTAAGCATGTTCGTAACAGTGAGTCGTCGACTCCTCTTTCTGCCTTCACATTGGCCCAGTAATCAATTGATCACGCGATATGCAGGTGATCGATATGCTTATTGCTGCACGAGTTTCTGGGCTACTCCGAACAGATCTAGAACAGCAATAAGATCAGAAAAAATTCCCCGCAGATCGATAAAAACACATCCACGCTACTCGACTTGCGTACGATTTTCCACTACTGCACAAGAAAACTGGAATATTCAACACGTTACAAATATACCTAAGTTATACTTACGGTTGAAAAGTGTTGATATGCAGGGCGGGGTTTGATGCGGTGTTGACGAGACACTGAGCATGGATGAGGTTTGACGAGGCATTGACGTGACATGCAAGTGGCCCTGTACGCAGATGTTGCACATGCATATGTGTTATGCCATCATATTATGATTATGAGGCTGACACTGCTGTCGTAGACATTCCGCATATGTAGACTGCATTGGCATCTTGAGCAGAAAACTAGTAATGACTTTCGTATGTCACTGGCAGGGCGCAACTCATGCCAGGCTTGGCTTGCCACTTGGTTAGTCTTGGTCTGCTACTCTACCTCCGAGTCTCGCCTGCCAGGGTCCCCGACTCCCCGCTAAAGAGGTTTTAATTCACGCTATGCTGCGGCGGAGTCTGGCGATCAGTTGTGTTGGGTTGAAACAACCTTATTTCACGTTGAACTTGATCACAGGCGACTCGCAACCCTTCAAGCTTCAAGGTCCTATCTACGAGTGTAAGTTTCTTCCAATCACCATTCTCATCACGCTAAATTTCACCGATCCCCCATACAAAAGGAATTTGTCAGCCTTCTGTCATATCTGGCTACGGGAGAGTCTTCTCGCTCAACGTTACTAGAATATAAGCAACTTGCCCATCCACCAGTCCCGATGATCTAGTTTCTAGACGGCTTCCACTCAGCGAGCCACTCCTTCATGTACCTCAATGCTGCTTCCTGCACAGCTGCAATGGTTGGGTCTGCAATGCTATTTTTAGTGAGCATATCCGAGGTATGGAATCCATCGCTCTCATAGATCGGCATGCGAGGATTTTTTGGCTTATTCAGCCCAGTAGCAGAGACAGTGGCCTCGCGCCAAGGATCACGCAAGCCATTTGCGAAGAAGAGACGCTGGACGCTCACGTCCCAACCACCGTACTTCGCGTTTATCTCTTTCGTGGCAGGCTCAGGCGGATGGGTGAATGCTTGAGGAAACATGTTCACGCATTGGCGCTGAAAATTCATGTTGAAGAACGCTCATGTTTCAAATCCAATAGACGTACTTTGTCGTAAATGGGTTGGAGAATGCGGCTCACAATTGCGGGCTGGCCTTTAGGAGGGCCAACCTGGTAGAACCCCATTTGATTGCACCTAGAATAATTGTCAGTGTGGATGTTGGAACTAATGAGAACACATACACCATCCAATACCACGACCTCCATGAATTATTCACGGTGACATTAGTCCAGAAGATCTGGCTGGTGTCATACGACCCAAGACAGGCTCTAGCTTCACAATCAGCCAATACAGATGACTAGGTTCAAGGATACGTACTCGGCATCCGACTCGATTCCACAGGCTTTGCTATCAAGTTTAGCCACGTCAATCAGAAATCAAAGGGACCGCCTACAATAGTTGTAGAATGTAGTGTTCCAGAAGTTTCCCCAAGAGTATATCGCGTTTTTAAGTCCCCATCCTTCAGGTCCGGCAATGACACCGTCCTTGACCTCGAGTGCATCACAGAGCTTGACGAACAATTTTGTATTCCAAGTGAACAGGCTAGATTGAACTGTTGGCCCACGCAGAGTCAGACGAGTCGAGAAGGGAGGAAAACAATTTGGGAAAAAGAATATCGCAAAAGGAATATTTGGGGTAACCATATAGAAAAGGAGGAACTATGCGCGCTGGTGAAGGCAATATAAACTACGGATGTTGTGTGGATCAGAAGCCCTTCAGAACACTGTATTCGTTCCATACAAAATTCAAAACTGAACGAAGGATAAGGGCGACTCACGTGCACTGGCGAAATCATCTACATGTACAACATCCCCCAGGCCGAATGTCTCCTTGAGGATCTGGATTCCAGCTGTGTCGTTAGCCATATACAACCCATCCAGGTAGGCAATTACTGCCTCTATATCAGAGGAACAGTTATGTGGCATGTACTCGTAAATTGGGGTGAAAAACTTATAAAAGTCGCTGTGTGGGTCGAATGAAACCCCATTTCAATACAGATACATTCAGTCGGAGAAAGATCACATTAATGGGGCACGAGTGGCGAGTTCAATAAAGTGACATACGTGATTACTTCAACGACTGCAGAAGATGCATACGCGGCCCAGAAAAGTCCTGGTTTGCTTTACGCAAATCATCAACTGAAACCAACATCCACTGACGGTAAGTTACTCACTTGACTATCGTCCAACTCGCGAGGGCCCCTGAGTAACTTCCTCCGATTAATATCCATGGCGCCTGACCTGGTTTCACAGCATCGCCTCCAGGCATCGGAAGGTCAGCGGTATTTGCGAAATACTCGAGATCATCAATGGCCTGCTGAATGGTAAGGACAGCGAGAGATTGTGAGGTGAGGTTGTCGTATGGATTGGAATAGCCAAAAAACCGGTGTTCGATGAGGATGGCTGTACCATTCTGTTGTTGAGCGATGAGACCATTGATACTATGATTGGTAATGAACACCGTGGCGTCTGAAAATCAAGTGCTTTGTAGAAAGTCGCAATCAGCAATGGTAAACTAACCATCCGCAGCACCTTCTCCAGGCGTCATCAAGATGATGGGGCCACCTTCAATGCATCAGGTTGATGTTATTCAAAGCTGTACCTCAATCCTCACGACATACCGGGCCGGTAAAACTCCCAGTTCATCCAGTATCGCTGCTGGAAGGTCCCGAGGCGTGGATTTTTGTGGTCGATGAGCTGATTAAAGTAATAGACGGTGGTAATGGGTGGGAGCACTGTGCCATTCGGCGAAGTGATGATACGATCCGGCACTGGGAGCTTTGGGAGAGAAGACATGCCGCGAAGTATGACATTGGGGATAGCTGCTGACGCGGGACCTGCGAGCAGGAGCGACGCAAGGCCCCATATAATGTTAACCATTGATGACAGGGATGGCACTCAAGACATGATAGTGGTCGAGGAAAAACCTTTTATAGCCACGGCGAGGTACCACCCTTCTGACGTTCTGATTGGGACATGTGCTACTTGCTTCGCAAGCGAGACTCGGCAGCAGATGGATCCCAGGATTGCATTGAACGTAGCTGGCAGCATATTGCTCAGCGGCCTTCAAATGCACGCATCAAACTGAACTTGGCGAAAGACGTCTGGATTTGCTCATCGCATTCAGAACCTGAACATTTGACCCGCGCGACTGCCAAGATTAGAAGCTCACTAACGACTCACTGGCACTGACCATTCCATTTAAATCCCATAGCAATCCGACTCAGAGGCCGGCTCCGAGGCTGAACCATGGGATCATCTTACGAGAAGTTGTGAGTATCTGATTCTCGCAGCATCGCCACGATGCGTTGGTGGGAGAAGACACCAGCATGCCAGCTAAGTGAGCTCAGGCTTTTGCGGAACCGCTCTGTCTAGTGAACAGTAGATGTTCAAGGAGGCGAGTAAGAGGTGAGTCCATTTTGCACTCGCCGGCCTCGCTGTGGTGGTGATATACATACTTAAGAGTACTGTGTTGCATATTAAACTGTTCGAAGTTTGAACCAAGTTTTCAACTTCGCATCCAAATGCGAGCAAGCGACCACTTTGCCTGAATGGATTTTACGCTAAGGTCTCGCGATGATTAGGCAAGCGGGGCCCCCTAGTTTGAAGGGTGAGCCGGAAAAAAATTATTGCGAACCGAGAGACGGACGTACAGCGGGATAAAGTAAACTAGACTTGAGGCGATGTATGAATTGAGATTCCGCTGGCACTGAACACTGTCACGTGCATCAAATTTGCATTGAAGACCTGCATCACAGACTTGCACCAGACCCAAGAAGAAAAGATCAAGAAGGCCTGCGCAGTAATGCCAACAACACTAACCGTGGTGTTCATAAGGTCTCATTTGACACTGGGTACACACTGGCACCAAAACTAAGAGTCTTTCGGCTTGTTATCTTAGTCCAGCCTTGCAAATTCGCTGCGGAAAGTTGGTTCATCACTAACAACGAACACGAAGGGCATAGACATCTTCCTTAATGGCATAAAGGATATGCCAGACGAAGTCATTCAGAACGCTGTCTTTGCGGCGCAAGCTGAGCGCGAATATGCACGTTTGCTCGCCATCACATCGGCTCGGGTCCTAGAGACAATCGAACGACGCGTGAAGCTTCAGAGAAACGTAGTGAAGCACAATTCCAAAATGTATGCTTGGTGGAAGCTTTTTCGAGGCACGTACCCTCGAAGATGACGCTATCGCTGCATATCTCCCGGAATTCACTGTTGCAGACCTGAAACTTGATCATCTGCTGATGCACGTGAGCTGAATCTACCCATGCGCAGACAATGCAACTCCTGAGCTTCATGTGAACTCATGCTTAGAATCTATTATTGCGGAAGTGGACAATGTCTACGCCTGGCCCAGTCATACTGAGGTACGAATTATTTTGGCCACGATATTAACTCGCTGGGCAGTGTATGCGCTTGTTTAAATGTCTGTTCGTAACGTTGCCGACGAAGGCAGGGCTCTTCCGCTGGCTTGCATGTTGAAGGGTCGCTTAGATTGATTATAATGAGCTAAAATGTTTATTGGCGTTGGATTGTAGTTTGTCCAGTCACGGTGGCCCGATCAATTGATTAGTCGGCATGGATTACCAAATAAGGAAATTTAAAAATGGACAAACTTATTGTTCTTGGACGCGGCATTGTTCTCTAGAGCAGCAACCCACCGACCTTATTCTTCTAAAATAACAAAAGGCCACGCTCGCCATGCTTTTTTGTGAGAGAGCTTCGCGGTTTATTTCTTTACTTCTTCCTTTCATCCCTCTACACGTTTCCTAGTTCGACATGTTGTCGAGCATATTTGCTGTCACTTTCGCCTTTGGCGCGTCTGTTGGTGAGTGCGGAATTACCTAACATCGAGCCCGACACGTCTGACGCTGGCCATTGCTCAGTCGCGCAATCTTCGTCTTCTGTTGTATGCGTTGCGGGTCAATGCCTGCAAGGTTATTCCAATACAACTCGTGAGTCTCTAAAGTTACTAAAACATACATAGTCGTACTAATGACTGTGATAAGTCGGAGCAACTCTTTCAGCGTCTGGAATATCGACCGAAGTCCTTCTCCTTCCTGGACAATATACATCCACGACCAACCCAGAGCTTCTTCATGAGCTGTTAACGTCTTCTTCTGCTAAACTTTCTCCGTCCACTGGCTTCGGAAATTCGAGCGCTGGATCTTCGGTTTCTCTTCCCCTAAATATTGCACTTCAGCCAGGGATTGTGATCTACCCGCAAGGTTTGTATTCAGGACAAGGTTCATATTCGGGCCTCCCAACGTCTTCCGTCAGAAATACATCCATCCCATTTACTGCTTCCTCATTTGCACTCTCAGGCAACGTCTGGGCAGCTGTATCAGCCGGAAGCAATAGCCGCGTCATCCTGTGGAACTCTGTTCCTGATGTCAGCCAGCTCCCTGCGAGCGCCTCAGGGTCCCTATCGTTACTCAACCTGCAATCATCAACATGCTCGCCGGCCTGTTCCGGGAATGGCATTTGCTCCGCTTCTGGGACGTGTCAGTGTCCGAGCGGATTCACTGGCTCATCTTGCGAGTCGTGCTCGTCTGGTTTCTTCGGACCGGAGTGCCAGGCCTGTCCGTCAGGGTGTACATCATGTGATGATGGAATATCGGGGACGGGGCGTTGCTTGGTGCCAATAGTGTCCAACCTGCCATCGAGCTGCAACTGTATCAACGGACAATGTGGTGCTAACGGACAATGTACCTGCATTAACGGCTGGACCTCAGCGTCAAATGGAACTCAATGCGCTGCATGCGCGGCCGGTTTCTTTTTAGATACAAATGGGAACTGTGAAAGTGAGTTATGACACGTTCTTTTTCCGTCTCCCCAATCTCATCTTTGGTTTCAGTTTGCCAATTGGGTTGTCAACAGTGTGCCGATGGCACCGGGGACTGCATTACTTGCGCATCGGGTTTTACTCAAGATGGGAACGACCGCACAAAATGCGACGCCATTCCGCAAACTACGTCAAATGGCACGGCTTGTCCTGATGGAAGTTACGGCGCTGGGTCTACTTGCGCGGTTTGTTCGCCGCTTTGCACGACTTGTACCGGGCCAAATTCGAACAATTGTGTCATTTGCGGACCTAATACGTACAAGTTTAATGGGTCATGCGTGACGACCAACACCGGGGGTGTTTGCTCAGGCTCCAATATGATTGCTAACAATAACAAGCACGAGTGCGACAGTAAGTATATCCCACTTTATACGTTTAACATGTACTCAATATGCGATTCTCAGCTTGTGGGCCGAAGTGCACGACTTGCCAGATATCCAATTTCAATGCGGCATCTACCGTCAATCAAGCTCAGTGTACTGGGTGTCTTCCTGGTTTTGTCTTGTCACAAGGGCAGTGTGTGACGAGTTGTCCATCTGGTACTTTCCTTTCTCCTCAAGATAATCTGACGTGCACAGGTGCGGGCTTTCTCATCTCAATTCATTGCTAAATTAGACTGATGGCATCATTTATCCAGCTTGTTCTTCATCTTGTACTACCTGTGCGGGAAGCGCTAGCACCTGCTTGACATGCGCGAACAACTTGCTGGCTTCAAATGGGCAATGTGTCAGCTCTTGTCCCTCCAACACGTTTAGTTCTTCTGGGGCATGCATTTCCTGCCACCCAGACTGTGCAACATGTTCAGGTGCATCCTTTAGCCAGTGCACAAGTTGCAACAAAGCACTTCCTGTCCTTACAAATGGGCGTTGCCTCGCAACTTGCAGCCAGAACCAGTATTTCGACACAACCTCTTCGACATGCCAGTCTTGCGATTCCAGCTGTGCTAGCTGTTCTGGCGCCGGTCCAAATAGCTGCCTCGCTTGCTCAAGTTCCAGTCAAGTTTTGCGTGGGGGTGCTTGCACTTCGGCTAACTGCACGAGCGGTACAAGTGTTGTCTCAGGTCTTGGGGCATGTCTTTCAGAACTTGTAGTATCCTCACCTTCTAGTACGAGCTCAGGCGCTCTTCCTTCGGGGCTATCAACTCCTATCACAACCACAACCCAACGATTGCAGTGGTGGGAGATTTTGCTCATGGCGCTTGGATGTGCTTTTATCTTTGTGGCCTTTTTGTACTGCTGGCGCCGCCGAGCTCGCAAGCAGCGAGCAAAGGCTACAGCGGCATTTGCTTCTGCCAAGGCGCTTCATAAGCAAAACTGGAGATGGCGACTTGCCCGCTTTGGAGAGAGGCTTTTTGGGCACAACCGTAGCCCGCGGCCTGAGTCGGAGGAAATTGCTTTATGGAAACTGCGCGCTGCAGAGGAGGCACGGCACCATAAGGAAATGGAGAAGCTCAGAGGTGCACAGGAGTACTCTGGCACAGGATCGAGCCGGTCGCCTTCGCCTCTCCCTTCGCTTCATCCCTACCAGCGTCGCGGATCACACGATTACTCCGATGCTGATAGGCTGTCGGCGGGTTCCATATATTCCCAGGTGACGGGGATGGCTCGTTCCGGACCTGAACCTCGGCAGCCTGTCAAGTCGAACCTTTTGGCTTCTCGGTTCTCGTCGACGACACTTGGATCTTCGGCACCCAAGAAACCAAACGTGCTAAAACGTCAGCCATCGCCTTCTAAACCGCCAACCGCCGCTGAGTTGTACGCCGCGTCCGTAAGGCAGTCTCCGGAACCGGATTCGTATTGGATGGCACCTACAAATACGGGCGGATCTCATAACAACCCTTTCCGTAAATAAGCTATGTTTTCTCATTCTTTGAGGATTAGGACTCCTACCACGATCTCTACAAGTTTATAGCATTGTAAACATTTTTTCCGTCACTATACTGTAGCTTACGACCATGAAGTTAGATAACGCGAGTGTAATGTAGCATTTTTAGGTAATTTAGCTGTCTCTACAAATTGCATGCACTGGTTGAGCTTTACATAACTTTGCGTTCATCCAGGTCGTTACTTTCCCAGTGCCTGCGTTGCATCGAATGACCGCGTGAAACTCGACACCCAAACACAGGATTGCGGGAGTTAACTATATCCATCACATTGAATCGCCAAGTGCGTCCTAAACTTCCAATGTGGTACCACGGTGACGTTTGACGCCACGTGTATCTGCACGGCTTCAAAGACACCAAATTTATTGATATATGTCATTAAGTAACGTTGAACTTTAACGCTCAGTACTGCACATGACAGCGGCGATGACTTATAAGCGGCCCGACCGCAAAGTGGGGATTCCGCTTCCCCACATCTCTCCTGCGCTTGCTTCTTCTGTGACTGGCGTCTCATGGATGGAATGCCCGAATGCTCCTGGGATGCTGGTTCTACTTCGCTTGCCTCCTTTGGCGATATCCCTGGCAATTTGTGTAGTCCTACAGATGATTGGCCATGTCCTTTCCGAAATTTGAACCATGACGATGCCTGGGATCACCTGGCAGCAGTTTCCAACCTCCATAGCGTCAAATTTGACCCGACTGGACGGTGGCGCGCAGATGCCCTCAACTTTCAACCTTGCACTGAAACCTCTTCGCAAGACCGTTATGCAGTTCAACAGATACATATTCAGGGACGCGTCTGGACCCTGTCTGCGGTTTTTGATGGTAGGTGCAGTTTTTGAGAATGTGCTTGTCATCGTGCCGTTACCAGGAATTATTCACAGGTCATCTCGGCAGCCATACCGTCGAGCATGTGGCTCATCACATGCCTATCATTGTGCGGGAACACTTGGAGTTGATATCTCAGAAACATGGTGACCGTGCTGTGCCACCGCCTTTAATTGCGGACATGTTTGCAATGGCCATTCGCGCTTTTGATGACGCCATTGCTAATGACGTCCTGGAACTTTTCCCGGGCGGTTTGGCATCTCTATCTCGTTTGTCGGACTTGCAGATCCAGGAGGTTCTCGATGATCAACTTTCGGGAGGGCAAAATTACACGAAGGCAAGGCTGTGCTTGTATGGTACTACTGCGCTCGTAGCTCTTGTTGACCCTGATCATCGAAATCTATGGCTCGCCAACCTAGGAGATTGCCAAGGACGTGCGTAGAGCGTGACGATGACGTGTATCGTGACAACTCACTTTTTGACTCAAGTGATGGTCTCAGAGACTGATCAGAAAGCGTGGAATATCGAAGTTTTGACGCGAATTCATAATGGAGAAAATCCACTCGAGGTCCAGCGCGTCGTGAATGAGCACCCCGGTGAGCCGGAGTGTATTTTGGATGGTCGTGTGCTAGGAGCTATTGCACCCTTTCGATGCATGTTACATTCATATTTTCGGATTCTACTATTCACTGACGTACTCGATTGAACAGGTCTAGGAGATACACCCTTCAAACAACCACCCGAATTCACTCGGCGTATTCTCTATAACTTATACCCTGGTCAGCACGACACATCTCCTTGGGAAGAATTCCTCATGAGGAATCATACGCCTCCATATATTTCGTCTACGCCGGAAGTCACGCATTATCCCCTCGATCCATCCCCCCGAGCACCGCGCAGATATCTTATTCTCTGCTCAGACGGGTTCACGGACATATGTGGCGCAAATCAACACGCGATTGTTGATCGGTGGGCCCGTGCAGCCGCATGTAGCAGCTCAAGAGAACTAGATGAAAAAAGTCTGGCCCTCCGACTGCTTTGGCAAGCGCTTGGCAATGATCCGACGAGCGTATCTCGTGTTCTGACTTTGAACATGGACTCACCTTGGTTAGACGATGTGTCTATTGTTGTACAGTGTTTATAATGTATATCATGACAGAACATACTTATTCTACGTTAACATGCTTGCTAACCCACATATGGAATTGTTGTGATCAAGTAGTGTATTTGCAATTTGTTTGGTTTTTTGGGACCGTTGACAAATAAAGACAATTAACGTACGTTTGCTTCACTGATTACCGGGCTGCCATACAGGACGCGGGGACCATATGCCTCCATCATTGTATTGCCTTAGGGAAACTGATGGCAAAGCCACTTCAATCCTCTGCGTCTACTGATTCCTCCGACCTCTTCGGTCCTGACGATCCAGAATTCCTTGAGGCTCTCAGGAACGCGGTGCTACCCGGAGATCAAATCAAAGCTCCCTCACCTGACACAGAGTTACTGAGTCGCAAGCGTCCTCGTGATGCTGAAAGCGACGAGCAAGTCGAGACGACCTCATATGGTACCTTGACACATGGACTCGGTGACACCGAAGATGATCCCAAGATCTATGGCGCATCTCGCTTTGGACATTTCGGAGAATACATGCATCGGAAACGCTGCTAAACTCCAGATACAGAATACAGCCCTTGATTCAAGCATAGGCATTGGTACCACGAGAAAAATCTTTAGCGGTCTTTCAATATACGTGCGTATCTCCGCTGTCATCCCAGGAATGCAGGGCCTTGACTTCGATCGCAGATTAACGGGTGGACGAATCCTTCAGTTCAAGATCTGCGTCAATTGATAGTGACGCATGGGGGTGTGTTTCAACCTTACTTGGATAAGAAATCATCAGTGTCTGCACCTTCTTTACCACTTCAGTCATTTCAGCGATTTATGACCCCTTATACAGAACCCATATTATCACTTGCTCACTGACGGCTGCGAAGATCAAAGAATGGAAGCACATGAAGATTGTGAGGCCTGACTGGTTGGTGGATAGTGTCGCTGCAGGAACCTTGATTCCCTGGAGGAGTTACATCTTCAAACCTGGCGCCAGGGTCGAGCAATCTCAAGGGACGCACACGCCTCAAAGTTATCTGTCTACAGATTCACGTACAGCAGCACGTCCTGATTTGCGTAAACATGAACAGTTACTATCAACTAATCAGGTCCCTGCGACAACGCCTGATTCCGGCATGGCAGGTTCTGCTGCCCCTGAGGCTGATGACCCCGCATCTTCAGCATCTTATTCACCCCGACCGCTGTATGTTACGGATCCTAGCACACGCAAAGATGCTGCACGCGTCCCTGGATACGCCGCTCATACATCAAACCCGCTAGCAGAGCGTGTGATGGCTAATCCTGAATGGAGAGCTGCGCATACCTCTGTGGCGCCAGACTTCATAGAAGGTTTTTACAAACACTCACGACTGCACTACCTCTCTACATGGAAGGCTGAACTGAAAAACTTGGTTCAACAAGCTCATGAAGAAGTTGAAAATGGGTTGACGCATGAGTCTATAGGCGACCTTCAGGACATAACTAAGAGTAGTGGTGCCAACATGAGCGGGGCACCGCTTGCGGCGATGTCTCCATCAAAAAGGAAAGGGAAAGAAAAAGCTCCAGGCTTGAAGCGTGTTATCATGCACTGCGACTTTGATTGCTTTTTCGTTTCCGTCGGCCTTCTTAGTCACCCTGAGTTGCGTGGCAAACCAGTTGTCGTTTGTCACTCGCAAGGGAGCACAGGCGGTGCATCGAGTACAAGTGAAATAGCGAGCTCAAGCTACGAAGCCAGGTCATTTGGAATCAAGAACGGAATGAGGTATGCTACACATTTCATGTATTGGTTCGCGAGTCACAGCTATCTTCAGCCTTCAGCAAGGACGTAGATTATGCCCTGATCTTGTGACCATGCCCTACGAATTCGAGAAGTATGTATTTGTCTTTTCATTGATCGTACTCACCCAACACTGTGAGATCAGATATAAGCAGCTGTCGTTGCGTTTCTACACCATTTTAATGCGCCATGCAGATGATATCCAGGCAGTCTCTGTCGATGAAGCCTTGATTGAGGTCACCACAAGCGTTTCCCGGTGTGCTATCCGGCCGTCTTCGCTAGCATTCGTGGATGATCCTGCAAGGTCCCTTGCAGAACAGATCCGGTCAGAGGTCAAAGAAGGAACAGGTTGCGAAGGTTCTTCATATCAATGTGTCCGACTTCACTTACTGACACAAGTCATAGTTAGCATTGGTATCGCGGAGAACATACAACTTGCTCGCATTGCGACGCGCAAGGCCAAGCCTGCAGGATCATTCCACTTAAAACTAGAAGATGTACCACAAGTTCTTGCGCCGTTAGATATCGACGACCTTCACGGCTTCGGACATTCTACGCGCCAAAAAGCGAACGAGAAGCTCGGAGCCACAAATCTCGGTGAACTCGCTAAGAAAAGCAAAGCCGCACTGTGCGATGCGCTTGGCAAGACTACTGGCGAAACTCTCTACAATGCGATTCGTGGCATCGATGAACGAAAACTCGAGTCTGATAAACCGAGGAAGTCTGTTTCGTGTGATATTAACGTGAGTTGTTGATAATCAGTTTGGTCTGAGTAGTTGCTGAGCCCTGACTTTGAGCTAGTATGGAATACGTTTTGAAAACGACGGCCAAGCTAAGGCGTTCATCTACCAGATGGCTGAGGAAGTTTCCCGGAGATTGAATGTTATCGACATGTGTGGACGTTCTTTGACTCTGAAGATCATGAAACGCGATCCAAGTGCACCCGTCGAGGCACCTAAGGTATCGGGGAATGTGGACCGTATCACAACCAGGTACTGATGAATATTTACTGTTTAGTTTATGGGACACGGCATCTGTGAGACGTTCAGCAAGCAAACTCTGTTAAACAACTCAAACGGCGGAGCTACAAGTGATCCAAAGGATATCGGTGACCACGCATGGGCGCTGCTAGATTCTTGGGGATTTGATCCGAAAGAGCTGCGCGGAATAGGCATCCAGATACAGAAGCTAGGCACGCCGTCGGCATCTGATACCATCGACCCTGGGCAAGTGAAACTGCCCTTTCACGCCAGAAGCTCCAAGACGATTGTACAGGGGAACACTGAACAAGATGTCCTGCAAGTGCCTAGGATTATCACTGAACCTCCTTCGCAAGATGATCCACTCCATAATGGGAACGAGGCCGGTCCTTCACGTCCATTGCCTGCATTGGATCTCCCCTCTTTCTCCCAGGTCGACAAGGACGTTTTCGACGCGTTACCAGACGATGTCAAGAAGGAACTAGAAGTGGAATATCAGCGAAGATCGCGTTCACCAATGCCGGTGGAACCACCCTCTCGTGACATCCGACCAAAAATCTTAGTCAAAGGTGTCAACGTCAAAAGAATCACTCAACAACTTGCACCGAAAAGCAGAACGAGCGTATCTCGCCGTAAAAACACGCTTTTTCAAAAACGTGACGTCCCATCGTACATGCGTGTATCTGACGCAGAGCTTCGCAAACTTGATATCGACCCAGATGTGTTTGCTGCCTTGCCTGTGGATTTGCAGCGCGAGCAAGTGATAATGGCTCGACATGCGAGAAGCGGAAATCTCTTTCAAGAACGCAAGATCATCAAGGCATCTAGTCGCGCGCCATCTGCACCTTATCGCAAGAAACCCCCTCCTCAAGCTAAGCACCCAGAGCCTCCTCTTTTAAAGCAGCAGGGCAAGGAGCCAGGGGAGAAATTGTACTTCGTAGAAACTGGAGATGTTCAGACCGTCATCGAGTCATGGGTCAAAGGATTCACAGAATATCCTCCGAAGCAAAAGGACGTCGACTACTTCAGCAAATTTTTGGTGCGGAGTGTAGAATCGGCTGATACAGGCATAGAAAAAACCATTGCTGTGATGAAATGGTGGCTTATCCTCTTGAGGAGGAATTGGGAGGTGTATGAATGCGCGAGCGGCGCTGAGGAGAGTCATGATGGAAGCTCGACTGCGGAGAGCATCGGGAGAGCTTGGTGGAAAGCATTCTGGGAAGTGAAGGCCAAAGTTGATACTGCTGCCAGAAGACGCTTTGGTGGCTCATTATCTCTCAAATGATGGTTTGATCTAATACGGACTCGGAGTAATTTATGCCTCTTCAGTGACCTCCTTAGTCCCAGAAGCTAAGAAGAATTGGACAGGGTGCCCATTTCTCTTGGCCTTGCAGGCTGTCACAAATGAAAAGTTAATCAGTCCAGCACCCTCAAATACAGCTTTGATGACTGCCTCCTCAAATCCACCCGTGTGCGCGATGATATTAATGTGTGCTTCTTCGGTGGGTAACAACGCCTGTGCAGATTCTGCAGAAGATGGTTTCATTATATCTGTGACCAAGAGCGAACCTCCTGGTTTCAGGTATGATGCAAGAGCCTTTGTGACATCTTCGATAGAAGGGATATGGTGATACGCCGATGCACACTAGTAATCGTCAAGGTGAGAAAATGGGGCGCTGCAGATGGAGACGTACCACAACCACATCAAACTTCATTCCATCCAGCTGATTTGGGCCAGCGACGGTAAGGTCACAGCACACAGCCCTCATCTCCTCGGGTGGTATGCCCTGATTAAAAACACTCTGATTGTACTGGTCAACCATGACCTGGCTGATGTCCGCGCCCACGATGCATTTAGCATGCGCAGCGAGATTTCGGGAGATCAAACCTGGAGTACGTGGTCAAATTCACAAGAGCGCTATAGAACCTTTCATATACATGACTAACCTGTGCCACAAGCATAGTCTAGAACCAATGTCGAGTCTTCATTGAATGTATACGCGTTGATCATAGCTACTCCGAGTCGTCGAGCTAGCTCATGCGCATCGGGATGATCATTGTACCGATGGCCATGCTCATCGAAATAATTCTTGTTAAATTCCTTGAACCCGTGTTGACCTTCGTGAATTTGGGGCGAGCCATGGGGATTGGGAGAGACATGATTATGGCTATGAGTGCAGTGGTGTTGAGCATCGACATCCGAGTCATGGCCGTGCTCGGCCATCGTCACTAGAATAAGCACTTCAAGTTATTTTGAATTTGTGATGAGCTTTGGTAACGTAGAACTGCAGGATAATTCCTATTAGTAGGACCGAATTCTAGTGTATGATACTGTCCAGCACTTATACTGCTACGATAAAATGTAGTAACCAGTTCAAGTTAGTATCGACGCTGCGGATGACCAATACTCTGGTCGTCAGCGCTTAGTATATGTACTGGACAGTCATACTAGGCTCGAGACAAATTTCATTTATAAAACAAACTACTTTCTTACATCAAACGGCTCAATCATTGCATCAACCTCCATCGACAAACTCGAATGCATGACTTAAAATTGAGGTAAGCAAAACATAGCAATTGGTGCAGGCACAAAACTGAACAGAAAATCAAGAGGCATAGGACACGAAACTGAAAAGAAAGGGTGACTATATCGCTGAGTGCATCCATAACTCGGGCCAGGCAAATCCTGTTGTGAAAAGTGGTATACGCTCAAGCTTAACACTTGAAAAGGTTGGGAAGACGGTAAATCAGCAATGATTTGGGTATCATAGCCTAATGCAAAATCAAAGCCATTCATACATCATAGGCATTGTTTTGTCAGTTCGAGGCATCGATGAGCGTGCGAAGCGTCTGAATCTCGCGATGAAGGAGGTTGATCACACCCTCCATGTTATTCATCTTTTTCTTCACACTTCCCAGCTCCACGGTTGCGGGATTGGGGGCTGAGATCGCAAGCTGGGGCACTGACACATAGCTCATGACTTTGGATTTGTTAGTGAAATTCGTGGTAATCGAATGATGCACCTACCGACTCTATGCGGCCTTCGCTGCACCACTGATGTGCCCATGCGACGAGTGGTCATTTTCCGTGCCTTTACCCTCTCCGATAATCGGTAATGAGGACCACCTCGCACATCCGACTTTCCTCGCTGCCTGGTTGGTTGCTTGATATCCAACTCACACTTTTTTTTCAGTTGCTTGCATGCAGTGCAGACTAACAGGAGGCCGGTCTTGCCTGTGGCTCTCATGCATATCTTGCCTTCCCTGGCACAACGATGACAGGGATCAGTGGCGCTGAGGGTTCTAGATCGTGTTGTCAAGGCACTGGCCTGAGAATTTCCGATAAGTTAGTGTGTAACCAGAAGTGAAACGTTTCAGCCTTACCGAACTGCCAACTGCCTTCGAGGATAGACCTGTCGGTGCTTTGGTCTGAATCCTGTATTAGTGAGATAGCCGGACTATTGTTAGTAACCTACTTTCGCTTCCGGGTGTTGCACATACATCACTCCCTTCGACACGCCTCCTCCCATCTTGTTAACGGTATTGGACTTGTTGTTTGCACAGATTCGTTTGTGCGATCCATCCTTCACACCTCCTGTAAGCAGGGTTGACGGCTCAGACTCATTGATCCCCCGTTTCTTAGACACCCTGTGATTGGACCGATCCATGGACTGGTCTGTCGGGAGTGCTCCCTCCTCCTCGACATTCTCTTTCGCATGAGCCTGAGACTTAGGGCCAAAGACACGCAGCTGGCGTTCGCTGACTGCGCTGGAAGCCACAGAAGCATTACCAGATAGGAGAGAAACATCATCGGCAGTTGCGATGGGTGGGTCAGCAAGCAGTAAGGGACCCTCAGGGAGGGCCTGCAACATCTGCTGGTCCGCACGAACGTACCACGTCTTGTGGACCAGTGGGTGGTTTTCGATTCTTGGGTCATCCTCTTTGATATTTTGCCAATTGGGTATGCCAACCCACTGCTTGTTCTTGCAGATGGTGGTCATCTCTACTGCCGCCGATAGGAATATGGGGTCGAACATTGTTGCTGCTGGTATGAGCGTTTGTACACGAACGAACTGGGAGACGCTTTGTTAAATACACATAAAAAAACCTGAGTTCAAACTTACCAATATGTGGCTAATCTTTCCTCGGTATTCTACGTGCTTTGGGTCGCCAGGTTGAAGCTGGCGAGCGAAGTCCAAAAGCCCTCGAATCGTGTCAGATTCCATTACTAATGCCCTATTCTGCGGTGAAGTCATGAGCTTCGTAATGAACTGTTGCGCAGATGTTGCAGAGGACATCGTCTAAATCTTATGATGGAAAGATAAGAATAGGATTGCGAAGTCAGAAATGGCACGAAACTTCAACGCAAACAATACACGGGTCACGTGACATACAAATACTACCAACTCATTGTTACTATTGGGTTGTACCGTACGTTCCAAAAATGAGGTAAGTACATGTGTGTTGCTTGCTATCAATGTCTCTGCGAATCTCCATATTATCCATACAAAGATGACCAGGAAACTCATTGACTGCAACAAACATTTTCCTCGCACACCTATCAAGCTGGTGAGTACGGGATGCCTTTGTGTTTGAGAGTATATTTCTTACCTTAATTTCACGGTCTCACAGACCACAATTGCTTTCATCAACTTGGGTAGCCGTCACAGTGATACGCCCCAAATTCTCAGCCTGACCACCCGTGAGGTCGTTCATAGCCTCCAGTGACAAATTGAACCCATCCCGTGCCTCATCACCGACATCAATGGCGGTAACGTATATGGTATTGGTCACCGACGAGCTAGTATATGTGATTTCCCAGCATGACCCACAATATGGCGAATTCCAGCCCGTGATCTGGGGTGCACCTCCGATGGAAGGGAAGTTGGGAATGGAGTTGAAAGTGGTGTAGCCACGCGACTCCAAACCATTGGAGCCGTCTGAGCAGGCCACCGTGTTAAGTGAGTTGGATCCCATGTCATAGGTGGTATCATAAGAGAGGCTGTAAGATGTAGCGATGGCGCACGTAGCGAGTGCAGCGACGGTGGAAGTGATCAAGACCTTCATCATGGATGCAACAGCAAAGTTTTCTATAGAAGCTTGACTTGCTGAACGGCAAGGATTATTGGGGTTGGGAAGCAGTAAACTAAATGATTTACATACCGTGTAAGAGCCCTTTTTAGATTAAGTCGCACCGGCAGAGTCGGGTTGAAATGTCATCATTTCAATCAGAATTCATTACACGTTCCTCTCGTTTGATGTCTGTACTAGCCTAGCGAAACGGACGGACTAGCCGAGCGCGGCAATTCTTCACCGTTGCATTGCATATATTTGCAAGTACTTCTCAAAAAGAAAGGAAATGAACATGAGCATGGGATCATTCCATTGCAAAAGGCAGATTCCCCGTACCTGCACTATGTTCGATCCTTTTCCGAGGTAGACAGTCTCCATGAATAGGTGAGCTTTGGGTAATACCATTTCGGACGAGGCGATAATGAGCGTATATGACCGACTGACGGGATAAAGAACAGGGCAAACAGTCTTCCGCTGAAGCGAGCCATGTCAAATCTGTCCAAAGCCTATTACAATCACATGCGAATGGGCATTAGCGGCGAGAGTCTAACCATTTTATATTAGCATCTCGGACACCGCAGCCCGTCTATGCAAGTAAGACCATACCACATGTCCCCAACCAATTTACGGCAGACAAATTGGTTCTCATAAGCCAGTAACAAGGGAAAGCAACGCCACACGCACGGTGCACCGTATGCGTGATCATTAAGTTTAAACCCCCGATATCCCAACATCTTCCATCTATTGCTAGTTTCCACGTGGACGCGTTCCTGGAAAGAAGTCATAGCAATTGCTGTATTGGAGTCGGTCACGAGTTTTGCATGAACGCTGAGGATGAGACTTGATCCTGGCACAGATAACTGCACCATCTCAAAGATGAGAGCGAAACCGAGATAAATATGAGTGTTCAGGGAATATATGTCCTATAGAAATAATGAATCATGGTCTCATGTAGAGGTAGGTGACAGACTGGCATACCGCTGAGAGCGCTGGAGACAATAAACCGATGCGGAAACAAGCCACGGCAACACGTGCAGAACGTGAGCGGAAAAGACAGCCACCTTCAAGTTATGGGCTCACCTCGCAAAGTAACCGACGTAAGTTTGCATTAACACCGTGAAACAGTCCCCAATAACACCTATTGTTGAGTGTTGGCGCAGTTCACGGAAGTGCTTCACTGCAATCCAATCTGCAAGACACCCTCACTGCATCTGTCGTCGAAAAAGTTGGAAGACTGACTGTATGCAACCCGTCACAAGAGATAAACAGAGTCTACGCGAGGAGACATACTTAACATGGACGTCCTGATTGTGAGAAAGGGGTAATGATCGCAACACCGATGGTTTAGACGTCGAACGTACACAGAATATACAATTCCAACATACCGTACCTACAATACGTTCACGTCAGTGCAGCTTGCTAACCACGCTTAGAAACACAAGCTACATACAATGAGATACATGACGGTCATCAGGGACCTACGTTGCCTCTGCCGCGAATCAGTTGTGGCGTTTTCACATCGTTCCCTTGACGTGGGAGTCCGCTCACCCAGATCAGTTCGACCTATAGAGTTGTTGTCAGCGAGATGGCTGCTCCTGTAATGGTGTCGACCTGCCTCTTGTCCGAACATAAGGCCTAAAATTTCCATAATGTCAGTGACCTTTTCATACTCAGTCTTGCTCACCCCAGTCGAGCATTACCGCAGCACAAGCGGCAACTGCAACTGCGGCCAAGGTTAATCCATTCATCACGGTCATCATGTGGATGGTGCTGAACAAACCTATAAAATGGCTGCCAATAATATTCGCATTGATGAATGGTCACCAACTGGGATCATTCGTAAAGGATGCGAGTGAGCGAGCGAGAGACCTTGGTGGATGTATAAGGATCGCATTTTTGCTTAATATACCACCATCCCACACTTAGATATCGCCGAAGTGAGACTTGAGGGAAGGGTCACTAGACCATACTTGCGCTAGGATATAGCCACTCCCGCATTTGACACATGCATGAATATGAATTGGGTAGTATGTTGCTTAGTCCGTGATGAATCAACTGTGCCCAGGCTGTCTACTATGAATCATCTTCTGCAGCTGAGTAAGCAACGGGTCAGACGTGTCAGACCCAGTAGTGGCTCACCTTGCATTTTTCGGGCCAACCACAACAGCTGCCTTCATGGATCCAGAACGTCTTTTTTGCAATGATTTATTCTCTATATTGGCCCTCTCTTGCTTCGCGATGACACTCGCGCACCCCTGGAGTTCGCATTCATTGACCCCTGCGCGGCGCGCGCGCCATGGCATATATCACCGATACAATAGTTTTTTCTCGACTTTGGTAAATGCTGGGACCCCGTTGTCCTGGTTTTTCGATGTCGTTAGATAACGAGGGTCAAGCCACCTACTTTCAAGTTCGTTCTTGCTGCCACAGCCCGAATTGGGCCTCCTCGTCGCTCTGACAGGTTGATTCCGCAAAGCGTACCACCTGATTGCGGAAATGCCGTGGGAAGAGTAGCAACTTGGGAATACATTTTTTCAGGAACATCCTGCAGTTTATGCAACACCCAACGCGGAACGTAAATGACGTAGCGGGAAATGTATTGGTGGCGAAATAAGTATGGACTGCGAGGAAGCTAAGATGACGTGTGTCAGCGGAATGTCAACTGACAAACCCCAAATTCTGAAGGGAAAGGATGGACTCGGATGGAAGGCCCAGGACCACGTAACTCTGTCGCAGGGGGCAATATTCTCACTCAAATGTTTGTGATGTTCGTGGTGATCTCGTTGAAAATGAGTGGGGAGTTATCATTAGACGAAACAAAGTGGGGATTATGTGTGGACTCCTCTGCGTGTCTTGATATTAATGAAACAAAGGGATATTCTATGACTGCCCAAAAAGTCCGGTGCAAGCCAACCGGAGACTGCGTGAGCGGCGTTGCCGATAGTATAATGACGGCAACTAGATGTCGAATCCGAGCCCTCGCATGCATTCAACATGCTTCTTGAGTACCTCAGCACATTTGCCTTCTTCGTTGCCATTCTGGAGAAAACAAGCATCGCGAGAGGATTTCGTTTCTGGGCAGGCGCAACATCTGTTCATCCCGGAAGTAGCCCCCAGTCGGTCGGAATGTCAAAAAAAAAAAGCCCACACTCACGGTTTAAGACCCTGCGGGTTGAGAGGGTTCATCTTAGGGTTTGTGGGATCATATTTTTCTTTCGGAGCGGGTGCAGGTGACCACCAAGATGAAATCTGAAGAAGATGGACACAAAGAGATTAAGCAGCAAGAAGGGAAGAAAAAGAGACTCACAGCTTGGAACATGCTGCTGAGGTAGCCTATACCCTATACGTTGACCTATGATGTAGTGGCCTATGTTCGAGTAACGGTTACTTCCGGAGCTTTCACAGGTACAGGGCGGCGGCTTCCCTATGACAATCAAGGGGTCGACCGTTTTTCAACTCCGCTCTCCGTCGTTACTTCCGGATAGGCACCTTATTTTTCCAAAGAAGGTGACCGGTAACCGCCGACACGGCGACCCTTTGCCATTTAAGCCTTGGCAAGCCGTAGGGCATCCCGTTTCGCCAAGTCCAGACCCTGTCAAGATCATCATCTGAAACGTTTATGCGAGCGCTGAGCTGGCAATAAAAATCCGCAATGACGACTTTGTTTGACACTCATCAGTCTGAAGATGCCACTCTCAGTGGTACACAATCATCGTCTCTTTTGCGTCCTGCTCATCCTATCAACTCTTTCAGCTAACGTTATTGCACAAACATGTATGAACTACGGTGAAACCTCTCCATCTAATGCCTCGAGCTGTCTTTGTCCTCCGGGCTTTGGAGGTGCTACTTGTGCACAACCAGGATGTGGTGGTACCATATTCGATGGTTCCAATCGCTCTTTAGCTCAACCATATGCGTCCTCGTCTGGCTTTGCAAACTTAACTGCGTCCGATTGCACCTGCGAAAGCGGATGGGGAGGAGTGGGCTGTAATGTTTGCTCTACCTCTTCAGCGTGTCAGGTCGCGTATGCTGCGGTCAATGGTAATGCAAGTGCAACCTTGGGGCTTGGCGGTTCACATGGTTTGAATGACACCATGGTTTGCAATACTGCCCCTACTGTATGGGCAGCTGGCGAACTTAGCTGTCAAGTAAATGTCAGTGCAACATCATTGAATTCGAGCGTCTAGTGTTCCCGAGCTGACTTTTTCAAATATAGAATCCCACATTAGAGGCACTGTATCCTCTCGGATCTACTCTGAACATTCTCCGTACTTTGAACAGCTCTCTATCACCATTGCACAACACCAGTGGAACGTTGTTGTCGCCCTCCACTACTAGCTCCTCTATCTATGCTCAACTTCTGTATGCTGGCGTCGAGCAGTTCTTTTGCACTGCTTCGCCTTGTACCCAGACATCATCCAACTCCACCACCAGTTCCGGTAATACTACCTCGAGCACCTGGACATGTCAAAATCTTTCATGTAGCTGTATCAAAAATGCCACATTCTGCGGTGGTGTGCCGGCCTCAAACCTCACTACTACCATCAACAGACTCGCCGGAACATTGATAGTTGCGTGCGATAGCACCAATACCTGCCATTTTCAACAGGATGTCATCAATTCGGTATTCGGAAGTCAGGGATTATCCATGGAAGGCTGCGTCTTTGGTGAATGTGTAACTCAGGCCGTCATCGACACCACAAACACTACCGCTGCAGCTGCATCGGGTGGAACCCAATTAAGCGGGGGAGTTATCGCAGGCCTCGTTGTTGTTGGGGCAATAATTGCGCTTGGGTTAGCCGTCGTCGCGTGGGGCTGGTATGCACAACAAGCAGCGAAAAAGTTACCTTTTAATGGAGGTCAAAGCGGCGGAATAAGTGTTCAGTGGTCCGACATTTCATATATCGTGCAATCGCCCAAAAACTCACCGTCCTCCCTGATTGCCAAATCTACTATCCGAGGGGGAAAGGTCATCCTCGATAGTGTTAGCGGCAGTATCGAATCAGGTCAGCTCATGGCAATCCTTGGTCCCAGCGGAGCAGGCAAAACCACTCTTGTTGAACTCATCGCTGGGAAAACAAAATCAGGCCAATATACAGGATCTATCGTGTTCCCTCCTTGTGCCCCTGGACATCATCCGAGGGTAGCTTTCGTCCCGCAGACTGACATCCTTCCTTCAATGTTGACTGTCCGCGAAGCCCTTACATTCGCCGCATCCCTTCGCCTCCCCGAAGCTCTTCCCACATCCTCAAAGGCAGCGGTTGTCTCCACTGTCATTTCCAAACTAGGTTTGGATGGCATCGCCGAAACCAGAATTGGCGCAACTGACGGGACTGGTAGAGGTATCAGTGGCGGAGAAGCTCGTCGCGTTAGCATCGGGCTCGAACTTGTTAGTTGCCCGGATGTGCTCGTTTGCGACGAGCCCACCAGCGGACTAGACTCGGTCAGCGCCTTCAGGATTGTCAATGTGCTGAAAGAACTCGCACGTGAAGGTGGAGCTGCTATAAGCCAACAAGGCTCACATGGACACCGAAAGGGCGTGGCGGTGATCTGCAGTGTGCATCAGCCGAGTTCGCGGCTTTACCACACCTTTGACTCTGTTCACCTCCTTTCCAATGGGCGTGCACTGTACTCGGGGCCAGGCGGATTAGCACCAGCCCAATATTTCATGCGCATGCGAGAAGAGGGAGGAGCTGGGGCCGATATCCTGCCTTACGAAGAGGGTTATAACGTTGCAGATTACCTACTCGACATCGCGAGCGAATCTCCTGATATCTGCAGCATGCTACCGGGCAACAATGCGGTTGGAGAAATGAAGTTCAGTGACGGCAGCGAGAAGGCCGATGGAAGGAAAGACGTCGAAGCCCTCGTCTCTACGAAAAATTCGGCACAGGGTATGTATGCGGCAACCTTTTTCACACAGTTACAAGTTCTTTGCGGGCGCGAATGGAAGGTTTTGAGAAGGTGCACACACTTTTAATCGTTCGTTTCGATGACCTCTAACCTAGCCGACTTTGGCAGAGACAAGACCTTATTTTTCACGCACATGTGCGTCGCTTGCGTGCTCGGAACATTTTGTGGTATGTATGGATGATTATACTGCTGACTATACTAATTGTATGGTAGGTGGTCTCTATTATCAGACTGGTTTAACTATCGCCGGATTTCAGGCTAGAGTCGGATCCCTTTTCTTCATGGTAAGTTATGGTTTGATTGTGCAGACTCCATATGAAACCGCTTTCAGGGGTCTCTCATTGCATTCTCATCCCTTAGCGCACTCTATAATATCGTTGAGATACGACCTCTATTCCTTCGTGAGAGGTCAAACTTGTATTACAGGTTTGTCAATTTCTTCTCGATAAAGTTTCTTTCCTCAGATGCGCTTTAGCCCGACGGCTTGGCTCCTTTCACGTCTGATATTCGACGTGATACCCCTTCGCATCATACCCACCATCGCTGTCTGCACCATGTAAGTCACTTCACTCCCATCGTCCATACTTGTGGTCTGATCTATGATCTCAGTACATACTGGATGGCTGGGCTTACACATGACGCAGTTCATTTCTTCAAGTTTATACTCGCCATCGTCCTGTATACACTAGTCATGACACTCTTTGTATGTTTTTTGCCATTGCACCATATCTCCCCTGATTACTGGTTGGCCATGCAGAACTTCCTTTTAGGAACGCTATTCCGCAATGGCGGGATTGCGATCCTGCTTTCTGCTCTTTCTGCACTCTACCAGATGACCTTTGCTGGTTTCTTTGTCCACCTCTCTTCAATACCACCTGTCTTGCGTTGGCTACAATGGCTTTGCCCACTCAAGGTGCGTGTAAATGACATCTCACGTTTCATGAATGTTCATCGAATCCACCAGTATACCCTCGAAGCTATTTCGGTAAACGAAGTAGGTTCAGGACTTATGATCAAGGATACCTTGCAAGGCGTACCTGTCAATGTATCGGCGACTCTCATTATGAAGCTAGTGAGTATTGTTTCTGTATCTTTCCTTTCGCATCACTGACTGATCACTGCGCACAAGCTGTTCGGTTTTGGCTTGAACAATTATTATAGAGATATTCTTGTGCTCTTTGCTTTTATAGCGGGGCTTGGTGTTGCTGTTATCGCTGTGGTTTGGTTGAGGATGAGGGAGAGGCGGTGATGGTCGCCTTTGTGAACAAGTTGCTTGCGTGTTATTTATATATATATGTTAGGGCCGTTGACTTGACTTTGCTACTTAGTTCGTCGCTAATAGAATAGGTTTTCCTTGACATTATCTGACTTCATGAGAGCTTGGCTGGAGTGGGAACTGGAGGATATCTGATACACTGTTAAAAGGATTCGTCTAACGGCCAGTCCAAACTTCAGCAAGAACGTATGTTTTGTGCGAGCTATCCCTTCAACCAAACAATTTTGCCATACGGCGTCCAGGATTGCCCCACCTTCATTCCTGAGTTAACGAGGAATGCAACCTCATATATACCCTCGCCCCTCCCTTCCAGCGTCCAGCGTTCGCCTTCTGTCTCTGGCACGCTGATGATGAGTCGGGGTTTTCCTCCAGCGACGTCTGTCTTAGGTGTGTCAAGTACCCAAGTTGCTCTTCGCGATGTGTTCGACACGGGTGATTTACCAGTGACCGACGTTATATTCGCTATCATGTCCGACAGATCGTCGTCCTCCACCAAAATTCGGACGTATGCAACCCCGAGTACTCCTGACGGATGTTCTGCATTCGAAGGGGGATCCAGTGGGACCTTGAAAGACCCCGATCTGAGACAGTGCCAGATAAGTATCGAACGAGGCACATACCCTCCATTCCCTTGGTGTGACATCTCCGCAGAAGAATGGAACAACTCCTCGGTCACCATCCTGGGATGGTGCAGAGATTCGCCACTTTAATATCTTACCGTCGCTGCGCTCTCGTCCTCCATCAACTTCTGGATCATACCGAATTCCACTCTTATCCTTCTTGGCTCGGGCGTTTATAAGTTTTGATATTGAGGTGCTGGAAGACCCGAGGAACGCGTAGTCAATCCAACCAGGTTCTTTCCATGCCCAGGGATTGGCATCCCGTTTCTGGCGCTCAGGTGATCCTGGCGGGTAATGTGATGCGGGGTGCGTGAAGGAAATTAGCTCAAGGTATGCGCCGTCTTGCAGCATCTGTGCCCGAAATGTCAGTGAATAGAATTCTGTTACATACTTCACGTTAGGCAATCATACCACGAGCGCATTTTCTGTCAGTCCCCCAGCGTGCGTACCGCCTGGGAGGACACTACACGTCGAATTCGCCCTGAGATATTTTCAAACCTTGAAAGGTGACGCACTGGAAGCCAAGATCACGGAATTGCCGTGATACCTCATCTACTGAACCAGGAGGCGTGAGATGTACAATGTGATCCAGAGTCTTGGTTGAGGGTGTTGGCATGGTTGTGTTCACAAGATCAGGGCGGCCACCAGCTTAGCAAGTATGGAACAAAAAGTGACGAAAATTATGAGTTCGTGACACTAGGTATTACATATTGATATCGTCAATAGAACTGTTTCGTAAATAATGTGGCGACGGTCCAAGAAGTCCTTGTCAAGTCCGAATCGTAAACAGTGTCAGTTTTGGAAACATCGTAGTCCAAAGCAGTGTCCAAGCACGCTACAATGTTCGAGTGTGGTTTCAATCGGTGGTATCAGGAAGACGTTACCGAAACTCATGCAAGGTCCGCAAAGCCAACACTAGAGTTTCCAACATCAAAGGCGGTGTACACGTTTCTCAGGAAGACATCACCAAGGACCCATACATCTGAAGATATGTCAGCATTGTGAGTGCTAAACAATTCAAGACAGACCTCCAAGACTGTCACTGCCTGCTATACCACCAAGACAGGTATCTCCTGAAGAACCGTACGTGCCAAAATTGAAGGTCTCTGTGGAAATTGCAAATGACTTTCCGCCAAGGGTGATGGTCACATTTGGCATGGCGTCACACGGTACTTGAAACAACGTTCAGACAAACACAATGGCGAACCTGTCAAGATGCTTACGCGAGTATACACCTCCACCTACTTCTGTCGCATTGATAGCTGCGTAGAGCTGACTGACGTATGACGTATCACCCAAAATCAATGTGGTCCCAGTGTCAACAATGGCGGAGAATCCATCGATGATATCTTTTCCGTTGATCCCGATGGCATCACCAGTGACCTGCCAATAACCCTGACAGATACATGAATGGTGTTTAGCGTAGTTTGGAGCCTGCAGCTAATGGCTAACGCTCACCTGTTGGGTTACTGGAATATACGTGAATGGACCTCGATACAGCGCAGAGTTCACGCCACCGACATAAAGCTCAGAACCAGAGGATGCAAGTTTGAAAGCAAACACAGGTTCTGGGACAGCTCCTTGTGAAACCAACGTCTGGAAAACCGAGTCTGCGCCATACTCTGAAATGGACTTGAAAGCCATTCCCATCATCCCATCCGCACCAAAGTTCTCCGACGAGAGCCCGTATGAATACAACGAGGCAACACCAAGCGTCTGTGCACTGGCCTGCAACATACTTCAAGAATGAGAATAAAAGGCAACAAGAACACTACGCACATTGAAGCCAGCAAGTGATACGGTATCTGTGTATAGATCGCCTGTAGCCATGGAACCATCGCCGTACTCATCCATGAAACTCTTGCCAAGGGGCTTAGCAGACGAACTACTGTTGGGATTGTAAATTTCATGTCCGCTGCACGCGTCCCCGCAGGTTGGTCCAGGTAGAAAGAAGTCCGTGGAACCAGTATCGCAGTCAACTGGGGGTACTCGCATCAGTGCGTCATACGTGGTAAAATCAAGTCGGAAATGCAAACTTGTAAATGTATGCGGCGGAGTGCCGACTTCGATTTTTCCAAACCAACGCTCGTTTAAGTCGTCAACTAGCGGGTCAGAACCGGGTGCTGCCACACGCTTTTTTGGGGATGAGAAGAGGACGGCGCCAGTGTTTCTCTCAAACGCAGCAATGCCTCGTTGTAACTTGCTGAATATCTGCTCAATAGGGAACGACACTGTACAAGAACAATCACCTACATCATTGTGCTGCCAATATAAGCCATAATTGACGCAGGGTCAACAGGGCCATGTCCATCAGCGGTGGGCCTGAGAGTAGATCTCTTGGTTAAGGGTATCGAAAGAGGTTGTGGCTGAGGCAAAGTAATTGCCAACACCTGTAAGGTAGCGATTAGGGACACAGATAAAGCACGCATTGCAGTGGAAGAAAAGGATATATCCAATGGAAGCCCTCACCTCACAGAGGGCTCATTATAATGAGCGTACAACGTGCGCACTGCAAATATTTCACTGGCAAGAAGGCGCCGTAACCACGAGGACGTTCTATATAGTACCACTGAGCCACGCAACCGCCGACCTTGTACACAGAAGTTGTTCTGCCATTTGCGCGAATGAAACGCGATGAACCAGCCTTGTGACCAAACCTGATAGCCGAAAGGTTCTGTGTATAATTCTGGTACCTATATGTTGCCTAGCGTTGAACGTTGAACCAAAACTACTAAGCGAAGTCCACCAGTGGTCTTCTTTCCCGTGCCATTTGCTCATTGGCGCATGTTTTCCAGCCAGTGTTCGGCTGCTCTATGAGGGCGCATTCTCTAGTGGAATCACGTATCGCCGACTCCCGGATACCTTTGCCCCAGCACTTGTGAAGAATGGTGAAAAGGTCCATGTTGTTCCCCGGGAAAGAACCTCATTAAAGCTCGGAGCTGCATGCATCAGGAAAACGGCTTTCAGGTTGGCAACCCAGTGACACTGGACACCAAGGATCCGCGAACCGCATCAAAGTAAACACCAGTGTATGCGGATGTTCTATGTCACATCATCACGCGCACTCACAATACCTCAGTCAAAAGCCGGCGCTGGCGTTCTGTTACTCGCTCGTAGGCCCGCGAAACTGCGAAGAAATTGCACATATGCACATACTCGTGGGTGGTAACTCGGGACAACTTGGGGTGGGACAATTCGATATGTCATAGCCTCGACCTTCGGAAGAACTGGGTTTATTATGAAAGTTCCTGCCACCCTCCCGAGTCGGAGGTAGCCATCGATTTTCAGTATTCACAATGATGTCCTAGTAAGCGTTCGCTGCGTACCTGATGCTCCAAACACTCGCAGGACGGTAGGCTGCCATCCCGGGCGGTACACATGTTGAAGGGACAAACAGAAAGTGCGCTCGTGGTATGATCGCCGCGGCCGCCTAGCTATAGCTAACCGGGCAAATTTAAATCCACGTGGTATCCGAAATCACGCGGCTAGTACATGCTCGCTCCACGTTTGCAAGCTAGGCTAAATCCTGGTGCTACGCATTGACTCTCTGAGATCGATTCAAAAGTTGAGAAGTCGAGTGCACTGGAAATTAATTGATGTGACACATTAGGTGACCGTATTGATTCATTATCGCAGAAGGGGCGAGGTGCACGATATATATGACCGGAAGTCTCCGTGTCAGGGCGTTACACTGAACTTCAAGGTCAGGCGGAATGACTGGGAGTCTTATATTCAGTCGTGAACTGGTCTTACTGATTCAACGTAAGTAGCCTGAGTATACAACAACCCGAGTCCTTTCCAAGTTCGAATCCTAACACGTCATCAGTTTTGCAAACATCAGGCTGTAGTCCAAAACAATGTCCACATAAGCTACGTTGATGACCTGGTCGAAGATGATTTCCGTACAGTCTGGTAACCGTCACCGGAGCTCATGCAAGGTCCGCAGAGTGTAAGTCAGCGGGGGCAACTCTAGACCAGCTAAGAGCACCGCTGGTGTTGATAGCACTGATAGAAGGTTGTTGCTTAATGAACCATCAGCAAGACTGGAATTCTCTGTGAAAAGTAGAATCATCTTTCCCTCAAGAGTATAATGAAATACCGAATACATTTGCTGTGAGTGAGAAAGGCAATTCCCAGAGCTACCAAATCCCCGCTGCCTATCCTATAGCAAGATTTTTGAGTTTTGGTGCAAGATTTGGCTAGCTGCGCAGTGTCAGCATTCTTGATCGATCACAGATGTGTGCTGTGACGATGCAGTGTTCTCTTGTAAGTCCGTAGCTCTTTTCTCACCGCCGGGCGCGCATACGGCGTAGATGAGTCATTGTCGGCGAACGATTCGTACATGTCTTGATGGCCGATTATGAACACAGGCCTCTCGCAGCCTGACACTCCATCGTGAATGATTAATTTCTGTAAATCGGATGCAAGAAAAATTCACAACACGCTACATGATGCTATGCTGCGGGTAACCAGCGGGTGAGGATGAACAGTCTGTGAAAGGTCAGAGCATTCGGAATTAGTGATCACTAAAATTTAGCGTGATGAGAATAATAATTGGAAGATACTTACACTCGTAGATAGGTGATCAAGTTCTAGCCCAAATGAGATGGATGATTGTAACGGCAATGCAACGGTGTATACAACTTACCAGCTAGCCTTCAAGCTTCAAGCTTCAAGCTGTTAAACTCCACGATCAGAAGGACACAATTACAACTCGAATACAACTGATCGCCATACTCCTCCACCACAGCATAGCATGGAATCAAAACTTCCTTAGCGGGGAGTTGGGGAGCCCAGGCAAGACTCAGAGGTGGAGTAGCAGACCACTGTGAGTCGGGGATGCATATGCATGTGTAACATCTGCGTACAGTGACTTGCATGTCACGTCATGGCCTCGTCAAATCTCGTCCATGCCGCGTCAGTGTCTCGTCGGCACTTTTAAACTGTAAGTATAACTTAGGTATATTTTCAACGTGTTGAATACACCAGTCTTCTTGTGCATTAGTAGAAAACCATACGTAAGTCGAGTGACATGAATGTATGTAGGTCTGTTCGAGGTAGCCCAGAAATTCGTGCAGCAATAAGCGTATCGATCAACTGCATATAGTGTGATTAATTGACCATTGGGCCAATGTGAAAGCAGAAAAACGACTCACTGTTACGAGCATGCTTAGCCATCCAAGCCAATCGAGAGTGTGTTAGCGGCAGTAGGTCTCTCTGTTCGAGCCGCTGAGACTCTATTGATACAAGGCGCAAGGGGTAAGTTATAGCGTTGGATCACGGATGGATCATACTCACACCCAATCCGCAAGTGAAGCCTGGGCAACAGTCCTCGGCATGCGGGTCACTCGAGCCGCATCGTCCAAATTGAGCTGTGCATGCATTGGCAGACATAGATGTTGTCAAAGCAACAGCAACAGCAAGGAGGAATGAAGAACGCATGTCTTGTGCTAGGTGATTTAGTACGCGTCGACGGGATCCCGAATGATAGTTTTAAAAGTCGACGAGTTGCTTATATATTTTATGAATCGTACTTTGGGGAAGCGCAGGTTCAGCAGTTCTATCAGAATGGTTGCGGCCCACGGACTTCAGTATTGGTATAGGCAGAATCACATAGTCGGCGGATAAACAATCCAGAACATGCAGTGGCTAAAGACATATCAGTTAACCGCAACCGCAGGCTCTAGATCCACCGTAGTGATAGGAATGACCTAATGAGGGATGACAATGAGGCGGCATCAATGACGGGCTATCGATCCCCGCCACCACAAAGCAGGTTTTGTATGACAGATTAACTTTTGCAGGCAGCTGTAGTGCCGGTGGTGTAGGGATTCAAATGTCCTGGAGCGACTTCGCGAGAACTTGGGCTCAATATCGACCATGCTTTCGAGATTGGCAGTCTCCTGTTTCTTACCTGTGCCTTTCAACCGTGAGATGAGGTCATCTTTAGGTCTGCTGGTTAAACGCAATCCAGTTACCATTACACGTGCAAACAAATAAACAAGATGAGAAAATAATTACTCCGGCATCACAAAAAAGGTCTACCCACGATGCGATAATAAGGACTTGACAGATTATGCGTTTGGCACCTGATATGCAGAAAGTGTTGCTTGGTTGGTAGATCGATGTTCCCTCGAATTCGGGCCTAGTACATCCGTTACAAGCGGACACCGCCTTACCTACCCTGCTTGTTACTGTCAAAAATTTAGCGTATTATGACTGCTCATGGGTGTGGTTGATGTGCGTAAATCAAGGTGAATGCGACGAAAGATAGAGAAGAGACGCATGCATTAGCGGGAAACATAAGTCGATGTTGAAGAGTGTTGGCACATGGGTGTGCGAAACTAAAGTTCATGACATCATGGATAAACTTCGGGCACACCAGTGACCACCACCGTCACAGCGTAACGGTCACCGAAATATTACCATATTTAATAATTTAAAATCTTGATGCAGAGGCTTTGAAATTCAGTGTTGTAGACAAAAATTACGAAATAGTGGACCGTCACGGAGGTGTAGTGAGTACTTGATAGTAGATCTGGCCGAGAGATGAGAGACAAACAAGTCCAAGCTGGTGTTTGCGACCCAAACATCGCCCGGAAGTATTACTTGCAATTCGAGAACCACACCGCTTGTTACGAACCATAATGTCATTCAGCGATCGGGGGATACAGAACGCTGCGGATACACATCGTCTTTTATCGTACAACAACTGTGTAGGAACGTGTACTACCCCAAGCGAGCTTGCACAACGAATGGTGACCTCCAAATTGTACTAGAGAACCCATTATTTCGAACGCTGACTCAACCCAAATCTCTCATTATCTGTTCACTTCAGGATACATCTGATGTTGCTGGATTGGCGCTCATAATACAAATGGAAAGAATGCGCGTGGCGGAAATTATAGCTGCTAGAGACACCGTTGTCGAACGCCTCGAAGACGCTTACGTGTCTGTTCGCCAAAAGTCAGCAACGATCGATCGACTTCAGCGTGAGCTGGACGATCTGAAACGCCCTTCTACCCCTGCCACATCCGCGGCGAGGGATGATGAATCATCTACGCAGCTTCCGGTGCAAGACACTGCCACGTCATTCGGTACTCCACGACCAGTTCCGGGAGAAGTCCACGAGGGGGACAATGATTGTCTGGACACTTCCGCTCAGGTCTTACCTTGGCAGGTCCCTCTTGTACGATGGAGCATTTTGACTGGTGCAGAGCCTAATCGATGACTTATATTACCCCAGGATGCTACCAACGGACCTTCGACAGGGCTGCCTCTCACACCACCACCAGATTTTCGCTCAGAAACCAATTTTTGCAGTCCGTCTTTTCAGTCAAACTATTGCGCACGTCTAGAAAATTGTTCTGATTCATACCGCTCTGAAACCGTCGACTTCGACTATCCGGTAAGTCAATATATGCGCGTTCCCCTGCCGAGTCAAGGTAATATGATTATCAGAATATTATCGAACCACTTCCGCTCGGCGATGGACCTGAGAAACTGATTCTCGCAAGACAAGCACTTCTTGCCATGCTTCCTCTCCCTGCTGATATCCCAGATGACGCTTTAAACCCAGTTCTCATTCCTCAGCCATACACCTTGCACGAATTCTTGGGCAACGCTTCTGGTGTTAGTGTCCTTTGTATATCTATGTGAAAGTCTATTCACGTCTGATACAGACTCTCAAAAACTCGTAAGGCAGTATAGAGCTTACGCACGAAGTTCATGGGTAATGAATGTCTATTCATAGCCTGTCAAACTATCGTGTCCTCAGCCAACTGACAACATACTGGTGCCCGGAGCGCGAAGAACATGGATACTTGCTCACCCCTGTTTTCAAGTGTAGCACTAATCCCCGAGTAACAACAGCACACCGATGGATGGCGGCGGATGTGATCGGTACCATGGACAAGCCTACTGGTTTGTTGTCTCTCATTTGATCTCATTTTGTTGATGTCGCTCTCGTTCTGGTTAGAGTGCTTTTACAACAAGGACGGGAAGTGGTACTACGCTGGCGTATACAAAGCTTTCCGCATGGACGATCTAACCACAGAAGAGTGGGGGGCTCTTTCAACCGAGGTGAAACAAGATAATTATGCGCCATTTCTATCATCATGACTTGGTCCTAGACGACACAGACCCTTATCAAGGAGACTCTAGCGGGCCGAAAGAACCTCTCACCCCAAAACCTCTACGAGACTGGACAGTTATATGCTGTTGGCGCCCTTCGTGTTGCATGTATCGGACTGCAGTGTGTAGGATTCAGCTCTGCGATGTATCGCGCGGTCTTGGAGCAGGCAACTCTGGGGAAATGGCGCGGAATAGGCTGGTCGGGACCTACCGGCAAATCGTCCAGTGACACAACGATCGAAGGTGATGGAATACCTGGACTTTGAGCCTGCTTGGTTCTGCGTCGAGGGCTCTTGCAAGACTTATACCCCATTCTGGCTGTTCTACTTGGTTTGATCATGGACAACAAGAACTTTATGCACAACTGGATTTGTACTGTGGCTGTAGCAATAATGTTAAATACGAGATTCCACGGCAAAATGCGCGATGGAAGCAGGTATATGAACTAAGCGTTCTATACAGTGATAAATCATAGTTTAACCTTCGGTGCAATTCCTTGACTTGACAATGTTGCACCACCGTCAAGAAGGATATGTGCACCTGTGACATGCGCACTGGCAGGAGACGCAAGGAAGAGTGCTAGACCAGCGAGGTCTGAAGGGTGGCCAACGCGACCCATGGGTTGTCCGGATGCGATTTTTTCCCCGCCTACGGTCTTGAATGCGAAGGACGTCATCTTTGTGGGGAATACCCTGTTGATGGAATAAGCCGTGATTCAACAGAAAATATGTTAGGTACATACCCAGGACAGATCGCGTTAACACTACAGACGGAGAAATCAGGACTGGACAGTATCAACTGGGGTTTCTACATACGTGATCTTCTGTGATCCCAACTTGACAGCCAGTATTGATGTCAGATGATTCACTGCGAAGACTTTCAGCGTAGCTCTATACAACCTGGTCATTTCTTACCTGCGGCCTTACTGACACCGTCTTGAAGAGAACAGATGTCATCAGGCTTATCACGTCGCATAACAAGATGACGCACAACTCCATGTCCCATTTCCATCTGCGCTTAATAGACTTTCCACAGAAGGCATCACACTCGCAACTGATGAAATGTTGATCACGCGGCCGGGATCGAATGCGCTCGCATCCTTTGCAAGCCAGGTTGATAGTCTACCAGCTCGTGAGTGTTTAAGACATTACGTACGGAAATAATGCTTACCCGGATGTCACTTGGCATACCGAAACTCAATAACGAACCACCGAAAGACAAGGCTTCACTCACAGTAAAACAAGCTTTTCACGTTCACGGCCATGACGTTATCCCACCCCTTGTCTTCTGGAACGTTTTCGAAAGACGCTCCCCACGAGATGCCTGAATTATTCACGAGGATGTGTAATTTCTTCGCAGGCTCTCGGGCCTCTAGAGCGGATATCAAAGCGTCTGTGCCAGCTTTCGACTTGGTACTGTGAGTGAATACCACATGTTGATAGTTTCCCGGGATGTCTACATACGCTGAGATTTGCTACGATGTATGCTGCGGATCCAGGGCCTTTGGAATTAAGCTCAGCCACTGTCTATGGGTTGTTGGAACTTTGACTGCGCTTGGGAAACTGATGCACGCACCTCCTTCAATTGGGATTCCTTCCTAGCCGCAATATAGACCTTTGCACCATTTTGTACGAGTGCTGAGGCAATAGTCTTGCCAATACCGGTACCACCGCCTGTGACGAGGGCTGGTGGGACAATGCTTAGTGATCATTAACGTTCAACCGTAGCACTGCCATGATACATACCAATCTTGCCCTTCACACTGAACAGCGACTGAACAGAGAGATCTAGAATGCAACGAGCGCTCAAGTTCAGAATTTTGCAAGTATTTCACAACAAAAAATCGAGTACCAGGCGTGGACATGTTGTTTGTGAGACCTGAGGTTGACGAAACCAATTAAACCCATGGAGGGGAAACACAGACTTCGGCAAGTAGACGATGTATTAACCGAATATTATGCGCCGGGCCGGAGAGCTCAACGACATTAATGCCTCCGAATCGACAAACACGAATCAATTTCCGGACTTGGTTGACTTTGATGATCCTGCGCTACTGCACGAAGTTTCGCCGTACGACGTTCTGCAACATATCACTGTAAAGTTCTGTTCAAAGCAGACGATCGTCATCCATTTTTTTTCTTCGTACAAATCAAGCAGAACAAACGGAAAATTATTGTTCTATCTCGCCGATCGATGATCTTGGTGCAGTTCTGCCACCTATGATACTATCTCATTGTCTGCCAGCTGTAACCGCTCTGCCTCGGATGGAACTCCTGAGTGCTTTTCAATGACCTATCTTCCTATTGCTGTAAGAGCTATGATTCAAGATCCCTCTGGCGGCAGAAACATCCCATATTACCTAGCACAAGTCACGCCTCTCATGCCTTCTCGCTGTTGCCGCTGCTTTGACAATATCGATATCTATCAGCGCATGCACGACCTTTAACGTACTTTGCGACTCGAGCAGTACGTCCAACGACACAAGCTGCCCAAGCCTTACTCGTGAGACAACGTGAAGTTTGAGTCATTTACTTTGCACCCTGGAGTTCAGCTTCATGACTCACCTCTCGGATGGGCTTGGCTAATTGAACATGCGGTGACTGTGAGTTGTGTTTCTGCGCTGAGTTGCTGGATGGGCTTACTTTTCTACGAATTTCCCCGCTTGTCACTTGTGCAAATTTTATATGAATGTACAAGAAAACCGGTGAACTCGACCGACATCGAAGTGCTGTACAATATGTCCTTGAAGATCGTTCAGAAGGAAGGAGGGGTTAGTGTTGAAGACACTTGAGCTTCGTCATTCCGCAAACACTGTTCATATTTGACATGAAACAGGCATATCTCGACCTTCAAGTTCGCGCCTCGGAGCGGACGATCTACTTTGCCAGATGCGGGCTAAAGGATTTACATTTTTAGAGTGTCATTCAGGACTACGATGAGGATGTCCTCTGGACCTCCCGGCCATAGAAATCGTGTGTGTAATTCCATCGGAATTTATTTCAATACTCACTCTATCATTTATATCGCCTTCAAATCGTGTGGGGTGCTGGCTTGAAAGGACTCCAGATATCTTTATCGATGTTGAGCGGCTTCGACGTTGGTCAGGTGCAAGCGTACCCTAAGTGAAACATGGACCTGTCGCAAATTTTATCGCATGCCCACAAGTTACGAGTTATCAAAAAACACAGTGCGCGATGGAGTCGTTTGGTTGACATGCTCCAAGTATGCCCGATAGTAGTTTGGCGGTTGGATAATCTGCCTTTGTGATGCAAATGGGGTGACACGATGTCAGGTGATGATCGATGTATCCACTAATGCTTGTGGAATTTGAAGTTGTGGATTGGACTGCCACTGCGTCCACAGTCATCCTTTATACTTCTCAATCGGGATTCCCCACATTTACATACAGTCGACCTCTTGACATCTTCTACGACTCTTCACCCGTTCATCATCATCTCAAACATGAATTCCTTCAAAAAATGGTTCCAAAAGTGAGTCGACCGACTTTAGGTGATACTCATGGTCACAGTGCTAATCAATACTCCTCAGGTGCCAGGGCGAAAAAAAGTCATCGCTTAAGCACTCCAAATCAATGCCATTCAGACAATCACAAGCGAGCATGTTCGAGCCTTACGATGATCCTTTCAAAGCTGTGTACTATGGCAAGGCCACACCTAGTAAACCTACCGACATCGTGTACATCAAGCAAGCTCCAGGGATGCCAGACACCCATCCTGTGCAGCGGTACCCAGATGTTCACGATCATGCGCCAAGTCGTGCCCACTTCGACACGCGCGCCCACTTCCCGGACAGTCCCCCGCCGCTTCCTCCGAAGGACGCTCGCTATGTTGTAAGAGCGACTTCGCTGAACTGAAAGAGCGTTAGGCCTCAACTACCCCCGCAGATTCGCAATATAAGCGATCAACGAGTCACAAGGAGACACAGAACTATTCAACATTCCTCTTCAATCGCCTCCTTTTCGCAGCTCGCGGTCACAGCAGACCCCTCCCTTATCCGCAAAAAGCGGCGTGAGGTTACTGCTGATCAAGCTGTGGCGGATCTGCTGCGAACGCCTGATGGCCGGCCTCCTGTATTTGGGAGCAGTAGACAGGCAGAACGTGTGCGCGCCAAGTCGAGCGCTGGTCGCTCATACACCCCTGTCCCTTACGATCTGCTGCCAGCAGCTGATGGCGGGCCTCCCGTATTTGGGAGCAGCAGACAGGCAGAACGTATGAGAACCAAGTCAAACACCGGTCGCTCATACACCCCTGTCCCTTACGATCCGCTGCAAACAGCTGACGGCAGGCCTCCCGTATTTGGACGTAGTAGACAGGCAGAGCGTATGCGATCCAAGTCGAGCGCTGGTCGCTCATACACCCCCGTCCCTCCAGCTCCCCAAGTCCCCCCCATCCCTACCACCCACTACTCACCTCCGATGATCTCGTACTCCGTGCAGAGCTCACGCACAAACCTGAATCGTTCCAGAAATCGGCGCTGATTTGTCTTGTCAGATGATATATCAATGAATATGTACATATATAACTTAGTTTTTGGAGATTTTCTTGGACTGTTCTACCTACTCATGCACGTTGGATATATCATTATGGATATGGATATGATTATGACAAAGTATTTCCCATTTGAAGTCATGATCAGCTTTACGCCATCTCAAAGTTTAACTGCTACGATTTATCTGGTGTAGTCAATTATATTACCGTCAGATATCATTCGCCATTGCAAGCTAGTGCAGTTAACAATTTTTTATTTCCCTGATCACGATACAAGTGACAGGGGTAGTTGACGTTCTTTAGGGCTGGTATCGTGAGATCACCGAGTGAGGGCGGCCATGGTGGTAATAAACGAGGCATATTGTCGCGACTCGTGACAAGAAGCGGGCACACCTTGAAGCTTGGAGAGTTTATTTACAGCGCAGGCAACTTGACTTATATCCCATGGAAAGATAATCACCTTTAAGAATGATCTAAGCCGGTCACGCAGGAAGAGCGTGTATTGATATGTATTTGGCAACCCCTTGTGACCTCGCACTTCAAGCAGAATCAAGCTTCAAGATGCAAGTTGAAGAGAATGTCCGGAATGGACCTTCAAACTCAAAGATCCCACAAGCGCTCTCCAAAGCTCAGGAGAGAAAAGCTGTTGAATATGTTGAAGACTCTTTCATGGACATTACCAGTGCATTTAAGAAACGGTCGGCTGTTAATGCGTTGCGGAAGCTCTGAAAGTACTGAGATGGTTGTGGACAGCTCAGAACCATCGATGACGAAACTTCCAACTCTCACTGCATATCTCAATGCTATGCGGAAACTGCTGGCATTTATCTTGCAAATCCCACCTATAGACCCTTCTACTCACTTACGAACTACCTTCCTCCTTCGCCTCACTGGTGACGTCATGACTTCCGTGCCAGGATATCCTCCACAGATGAAGGAGTTTCAAATGCTACTAGATTTTTTGGATGACCTTGACCAAGCGTGGTCAGCAGTGTTGAAGAGCCAAGTCTGGGATCCAGCTGCAGGAGAGGGTGTCGACGTCATTGTACCTGTGGACGAAATCATACCCGGAAACCTGCCAATGAGGTCCTCGCCTGTAAGTCAGACAGAAAGAACAAGGTTGCACAGTCTTCTTGTGACAGGTACTGCTGGACTGGAGGAGTGGATGACAGGGCTGAACACGAGTGAGGAGGACTATCAGATGGCATTACAGAGGGCGGGTCTTCTCCAGGGCTTCGACGACCTTTTCTCGGCGACTTTGTCAGAGATGGGTACTTAACACAGTTCTGTGAATGGGTCCTGCAGACATGTAAAGAACATATTGAGCGGAGATGGAGTTTTGACATGCAAAGTGATGGATTAATTTTGAGCAATGTATAATAAGTGCCTCCGATGAAACAAGAAAACACAGCAATACATCATCATCGCCTCCTGCTGGCTCGGCGACTGTCACCTGAAACCAGGCGTTAATTGTGAAAACATGCTATAAAGTCTCGACTTACCTTTGTCCTTGGCTTTCTTCGGTGCACCCTTCCCTCTCTTCTTTTTGTCATCTACATCTTGCAGCCTTTCCTCCTCTGCAAAGTTTCTCATTTCCAACTCAGGCCATTGTCTTATGATCTGTGCGATATTGGCTGTGGGAGTGTAGTATTTGACCATAGAAGGCCCGCGAAGTCGTGCGCGAAGGTATTTGGCCCCAGTACGTGCTGATGTAGGATTATATGCAGTTTGGAATATGGAGCAACGTGTACGCGTCAGCGCCGAAAGTCGCATAGGACGAATGGCGGCAGCTGCGGCTGCCATGGCTGGTGTAGCTATAGCTCAACTACAGTTGACAAAGTTGTTTTTGAGTGAACCTTCTAATCCTAACATCACCAAACAACCACTTTTCTAAGACGCCCTCAAGTTATTCGCATCATACGCCGGTCAACTCTATTTCATGGCTTCGTGAAGCCAGCGTAGACTCTCAACATAAATTCACTCTCCTTGGCCAATGTTTGTTATGCTGCCTCGCTGTCGCCTTCTCCTTTCGGGGTTCATAAAATCTGAAAGTTGGTTAGAAGCTAGCCAAGTCCACTTCCGTCGGTTTCGCTCCAGCGGCTCACGTCAACCACCAGGAAATTCATATCATCCCAAAAAAACTTTTTCCGGTCATCAACGTGGTGACTTCAACCATGGTGGTCGTTCCAACCCTCAGTACTTCACGAAGCAAAAGAAGGGTCACGTCCTGGACGGTTTCTCAGTACGGGATCCTAGTGACACTCTCCTTATCATGGAAAAACAGGTCCAGAAATGGGCTGATCTTCCGCACGTTCATCGTCGCCTGGAGTCCTTTGGGGTACCACGCAGTGACGTCCGGCCAATTCTCTCAATATTCGCCCGAGAGGTCAGCTCTGGGCTCCTTCACAACTCAGTCAAGCAAAAAAAGTACCACGTAGAGAGATTTGCTCTTACAGCCAAAGAACTGAATCAAGGACTCCGTCTAGACCAGAATCTCACTCAGCTTTTCTACTCTTGGGCGTCCGACCCCGAGCAACAAGAACTTCTTCTCAAATCAGTGTCGCGGAATACACTGGAACAAATATCACATCTGTATTCAACCGCAGATATATCGTACCCTGCAGATATGTATCCTCAAGCGCGTTCAATGCGCCGCAAGGTCATCATGCACGTTGGGCCTACTAATAGTGGGAAGACCCACATGGCTCTACGTGCGCTCGCGGCGGCAAAAACTGGTGTCTACTCTGGCCCGCTGCGGCTACTCGCACATGAAATCTGGGATCGGCTCAATAAGGGCCAGATCGTACCCCTCGGGATGGACCCAGACTCCGACTCTGAGCCAGACACGTCCACGAACATGGATATAATAGAAGAGTCAGTGTCCAGACCAATCGTGCGGAAAGAAGGAAAGGAAAAGTACGCACGAGAGTGCAACCTTCGCACTGGAGAGGAGTTTAGGATCGTTTCCGATTATGCCAGTCTTGTGAGTTGCACGGTAGAGATGACATCTCTTAGTCTTCCGGTAGAAGTGGCGGTCGTGGATGAAATCCAGATGCTTGCTGATCCAGACCGTGGATCTGCATGGACGGCTGCTGTGTTGGGTTTACCTGCCGAAGAACTCCATCTATGTGGCGAAGAAGTTGCTGTCCCGATCGTTCAAGCGCTCTTGAAAGACACAGATGACGAGCTTTTCATTAACCGCTACGAGCGTTTGACGCCTCTTACTGTTCAAGACGAATCTTTAGAGGGAGATTTCAGTAGAGTTTCAAAGGGCGACTGTCTTGTTGCTTTCTCGAGAAGCAGCATATTTGCGCTGAAGCGCAAGGTAGAAGAGAATACAGGTTTGCGTTGTGCCGTTGCATATGGGCGACTTCCGCCCGAGATTCGTGCCGAACAAGCGGCGCTCTTCAATAATCCCCATAGTGGTTATGATGTGATGGTCGGAAGTGATGCCATCGGCATGGGACTTAATCTGTGAGCACTTCACACCCCTCATCGTATCACCCGTCTCATTCGCATTAGCAAAATTAAACGGATCATCTTCGAAACCTTGCGTAAATTTGACGGTACTGTTGAACGCGTTCTCTCAATTTCTCAGATTAAGCAAATTGCGGGGCGTGCGGGACGCTACGGCCTGCACGGTGAACCTGGAGGCTTCGTGACGACTCTCCATGCAGATGATCTCCCAATGCTTCACTCTGCGATTTTGCGTCAACCAGATCCTATCATGTTTGCAGGCATCTCTCCTACCTTAGCTTGGGCTGAGAGTGTTCTTCAAGCACTTCCTGCTGATGCTTCGCACAAAACGTTATTGGAGGTGGCTCCATATGTCTCCAACGTTCGGCCCCCTTGCCGTGCCTTTGTTCCTTCCAAGATCGAGCAAAGATCTCAGTTCATCGAAACTCACGCCAAACATATGAAACTATATGATAGACTCCTCATCGGCGGTTCACCAATGAATTGGCGAGATCCCCTTGCAGTGGAATACACAGCTCGCCTCTGTCAAATATACAGCGAGAAAATCCGAGTCCCTATCCTGCAAGCCCTCCGAGTCGGCCCATATATGGAAGCATTGGAGAATGTGGAAGGGATGATGTCCGGCGGCAAGTCTTCTGCTGGTGCGCCGTCTCAGGGCCTCGTAACTCTTGAAGGACTCCACAAATCGCTCGTACTCTATCTATGGCTCAGCTATCGCCTCCCTGTGGCGTTCTATCAGTCGGAGGAAGCCTACGCACTAAAGGAGCGCACAGAAAAAGCACTTGATTGGTGTCTGCAGAATGTGTCTACGAAGGTGGCAGACAGACAGCCTGTTAGTTTCGGACTGAATATTCCTTCGGAGGCCGAGGATGGTGTAGAATATCGCCGTGTCCCAGCCACCCGCCCTCAGGAAGAGAGTATCCGAGAGTTGGGGGTGAAGTATGCAAAGTTGTTGAATTCGGAAAGGCGGAGCGCTCGTCATCGGTAAAAGCCCGAGGACATCCGAGATCAAATCGACCTACATACAGCATTAACGCGGTTCTCCCACTTGGTGTCACGCACGTCGACCCTTAATTGCCGATCTACTGCAGTGGGCGTTGCACTGTTCTTATTATCCATGATGCATACGTATTAAATTGAATCAAAGGGTTCTTTTAGCTCTCTGACTCCTATTAATGCTCTCAGCGATGATCACATTGACCATTCAAGATTATCCGACGCATGGCTGCATTATTCGACTTGTCTGCGGAGTGGAGGGCCACGACCTTAACATGTGTAACAGCCACCTCCATGCTCATCGTGTCTACACTCGCATTAATTACCTCTCTCAAGTCCGAAGCCAGGTCTGGCAGCAAGCAGTGAGTACGCGGTTATGCAGGGAATCCATTCAGCTTGCCGAGTAAATGAAGGCCACGAGGGTATAGGCACGATGTCTTGTATCTTTTTCTCGGGAGCAATTCTTCAAGCTTACTCTCTTTGTACGTAATGGGTGTGGACAAGACTGTTGAGGGCTAGCAACAACTTCGGAAATGGACAACTCCAACAGCGCAGCAGAAACAATATGGTTTCCGCAGTTAGCCAGCTTTGGCTTCATTGACGGACATTAGAGTGCGCAGTGGTCATTGGAATGCGATGAATTCATTGCGCTACAAGATATCATGTACCGTTATCATGATAACCGGCTACTAGCTCAGGGCAAAGCGAGTTCACAAGCGGTTTGTAGGTCATATCGACAGCCCCGGTTTGCAAACAGAAAAAGGGGTAGTATCTTTCATTGGTATCCACACAAAGAAAATCACATCGACATGTTACGTTGCGGTGCGCATGAGGCAGACTGGAAGGCTACAGACAGGTGTTAAGAGCCGTACCGGACAGATGTTTGGACACGTGGATGTTCGTTCCTCTCATTCGCATATAATCAGCGGCAACAGACTGTCGAGTGCAAAACTCACTCAGAATGGCGCTTTCCATAGTTCTAGCAACAGCTTTTTGGTCGCTGACTATCATCATCTTTGCGGCACGTCATGTCACCCGCACTCGGACTCACCGTACAGCTATCGCTGTCAGGGCGATGTTGAGACCAAGAAACATCGAGCATAAAGCAGAGATCCGTTCTCGCGTCCATCCTCATGAACACGTCGCTTTAACACCCTCGAGTGCAATACTCGACCCGTCCAGGCACGACGACTTCGTCCAAGGCGCAAGAGAATTGATCGCCTCCGTCAGCCCTCAGCAATGTGTTGGGTGGCAAAGATATGTGAAATGTGCTGAGAAATGTACAGAGATTTTCCTTCCGAGCCGAGAAGTCGATTTCGCCGCTTTCATACAAAGCGTCACTTTTTGCATCATAATTACTGGGTTCTATGGTGTGGACCCTGGAACCCTTTTCCCTGACGATATCGTCTTCATGACCAACGCACTTGACCGCCATTCGTTGCGGGAAACTCCCATTTGTCCCGGAGAACTCGACGCGATGAGAGAACGTGTTTGTAGATGGGTTGGGGAGGAGCGCGCCACTCAAGCCCTGGAAACTATTCTTCCCGCATATGAGTCCATGTGGCATCTAGCTGCTGTCACGTTGGCCTATGTGAATGGCAACCGACACACGCAAAATGCCTTCCTAGATTTCAGCGAGAATCCCACCCAGAAGCAATTCCGTTCTTTCAAAGTCAAGAACACTCGACCGAGCGTAGAAGCCATCATCAATGAAGTCCTGAGGTTGCACCCACCGATTCAGCGCATTGCGCGCAAAAGTGAACACCCTTTGTGGAAGCGTTTGTTCTGTCCCGCGCAAGAGATAGCCGACATCGAAGCTGTTCATCGCTCATGTGCATATGGCACGCGTCTAGAGACCTTCGATGCGATGCGCTTCCATCCTCAGCATGAAAATCCAGTTGATATGCAACTACTTGCTTTCGGACACGGCGAGCTAAGCTGTGTCGCGGAAGAATGGGCGCCTATTGCTACAGCGCTAATTGTCGCCAAAGTTATAGACAGAGTAGATGACGTTGGTTTCGTTCTCGTGGGGAATATAATCGACGCAAGAATGGACCGAAATACGAGGACAGACTGGGATGGGTGGGTGGTCAGAAAGAAAGAGAAGGGGAGGGTTTCTTGAGGCTCCACCTGACGCTTCTATTGTCAGATCAATCGGAACTTCCTACTGCGCACAGGAACATTTAGCGTCCCATAAATATTACATATTTATTTAAATCCACGTATCTATGACCTTGGTTATTCAGCCTGTCATTTAAAAGTAATCAATGATTTACCAAGACATTCCAACCTTGAGGAGGTGGACAGTGTTCATTCATCTGGCACGCAAGCACGGGAGCTCCAAGATGAAAGATCTTCAAAAGGGTGTAACGGCCCTATAATAGTCGTGACGGTGTTTCGCCACGTCGTCTAGTCCAGAAAAGAAACGTATGTGTTCATGCTGGAGTTTTGAGTATGAAGATTGTCATTGAAGAACAATTAGTGAGAATGGTCTCAACTCACTGTATGCTATGACAATTGCCCAACTACATGCCCCTCTCATGCACTGTTAGACGTGCCTCTTGGTTAATCTAACACATGTTGTACATTTCTCAACAGTGATAGGTGGAGCATGGATCATGATTGTGTCACACTACTAGTTGCAGCTTCAAGTTGGCAGCGCAAGCAGTGTGTCCTGTGCGGGTTTCTAAAAGCACACCACGTGGTACTGTCTAGATGTGTTGGAGACGGAAAGACTCGGGTATTTTGGGAGAAGAGGTCATGAAATATTGTGCCACTATCCTCCCTGGCCGGAGGATAATCGATAATCATTGAAATGTTGCGCTGACAATGCATGCTCAGGCTGACTAAGCTATGGAAAAGGCCGAGAAGAGCCTTGCACTCACAATGAATCATGTTTACATGGATGCGAATAATGTGTAGAGTGTGAAGCTACAGCCAGATTGCGAAACAGCCGCGGCTTTTGCAGTTGAAGAAAATTTTCTTAGGGGGCCAGGCGTAATAACTTACCTCTGATTAACAATTTACGTAATTCATACTATTACTATGAATCATTCTGGATGTCAATACATACAATAAACATGTAAATTACGACGGTACACGCAAAATACATGCTCACGATTACTCCGAAGATGCGCATCAAAGACGCGCTTGAGCAGTTTCAAATGACTTTGACGGTCTATATTCAATACCCAGGTCTTCAGCAATGATCATCGCAGCCTTCTCTCCAATAAGGAGCGCCGTTGAATAAGTGTTCTGGAAGACAGTCAAACCACACATCAATGGCACCTCATTTCGTTACTCACCGTGCCAACATTGTTCGGCACAATGGACAAGTCTGCAACCTTGAGGTTTGTCACACCATATACATTTAGCCGAGCGTCAACGACTCCTTGATCTGCCCTCGATTTCATGGCGCAAGTCCCGAACTGCACACAGGAATGAGGCGCCTCCTGTAGAAGTATGAAAGTTCAAGTCACACATACCGAATGCCATGATGTTTGCACTGGGATGCGATCAAGTATGTTACCTTAAGAATGGGAAGATAATCTCAGGACATACTGTTGTCACGGTTAAATTTTTCGATCGCTTTGTCATCTTCTGCAGTGTAGATGATGTCGGGCGCATCCAAGTCCACTGGACCGGTCGCTTCTCCGCAGACTGCAGCACTTCCCTCCGGGAAACGAGGGTGGCAGACAGCGACTTCACCTCGGTAAGAAGGCATGCGTCGATAGATTTCGCGCAATTTTTTGTACCCAAAGTCAAGAGGTACAATATCCGATGGACTAGGCGGATTATCGTGGTCAAACGAGTGTGGCTGAAATGAAAGATGTGCCCACTCACTCATCTAGGTAGCCTGTAGTGAAGTCGATGTCTTCCTCGCCGTTCTCTCCCAATTTTACATGAACACTTCCAACAGACACAGGATAAAGCTATAGAACTTATGTTGAGAAAAAAAATCACGGGGTGTATGGGAAGCAGTACTGCAATGATTTCGGCAGTCACGTAATTGCGAGGGGGAAGGTCACTTGACCCGAGGTATCTGGTTATCCTGAGCATTCACACGTCATGAAAGCAAGGAATTGCACACACCCTGCAAATATGGATAATATTGCGACAGCCTTTTCCGGACGGTCCTGGAAGAACTCCTTCCATCGCGGTTGAAAAGTCGAACCCATGGCTTTCAATTCTTCGTCGTCAGGACGCCACTTGATTTTTGCATCGTTACCGCTGGAATACTAATGAGTGCGTTACAAAGAACAAGTCATGGTGCCAACTTTTGAGCAATGAGAGATTTTCTATTACTTTTCCACCGCGCAAGATGTTCTGCGCATGGGTGCTTAAAGGGTGTTGAGAACATCGCGAGAACGTGCTTGCTTACCCTGTACAACACTCTCCTCACCACGCCAGAGCCGATCCATAGTAACGAATTCGTCACCAGCAAAGTACGGAACGGAGGTACCATTATGATCTGATAACCTTGAGTTAAGATTACGAGATGAACAGATAGACACAAACCTCGATAATTTTCTCCAACGCCGGGCAAGTGCACACGTTGCTCGATACCGCACTGCTTGAGGACCGCCTCGGCACCAATCCCAGATCTCTCGAGGATAGCTGGCGAACCGAGCGCCCCGCCAGAGATGACAACAAGTTTTGATGCTCTCACGATGCTTGATGACTTATCTGCGTCTGGGCAAGATACCGGGTCGTTGGTGAACTCGACACCTATGGCACGCTTGTCCCTTTCGGTCGTCAGCAGTTGAGCACCATTGCGATCCAGGTGCAGCACTCACTCGAAGATCACGCGCTTCACGCGCTTGCCGACCCATATTTGTAAATTGGGGTTGTGAGCTTGGTTGTAGACATAGTGATGCGCAACGTCAGAACGCGTTCCAGTTGTCCCATCAATGTACCTTTTCGAATATTACATGAATTTAAGTCACGATAGACTACAAACACGTGCTCACTTGAACCATGGCTAAGACGAATTTTGTCAGTGGTAGCAGAAGGAGGGGGCATAATGAGGTAGCGCACACCGTAAGTATTGCATGTTTCTAAATCATCGGAGTCGTCGGAAAATGGCCTCTTGTGATACTTCATCCCAACACGGATAAAGTCTTCGCTGATACTCATTTTACACCCACCAGATGACACCTTGATGGGACCACCGTACCCATGGGTTGGACGACCGGCCTGCACCTCGTATGTCTCTAGCTACGCAATAACAACAATTTAGCTTGACGAATATACGAACGGTAGATTAAGTACCTTTTTAATGAGGGGAATCAAGCTCTTAGATTCCCAACCATCGACTCCCCAATCATCAAAATCTGAGGCAGGCGGACGAGTGTAATTCATGACTGTCTAAGCATCAGAGTTCTGTTCATTGTTACAAAAATACTACGAACAATTGACACTTGAGCCTCCGCCAACACAACGAGCGCAGTGAACGATTGGTGCACGACCGTTGAGATGTGGTGAGGGATTTCCAACGTAGAATGTCATCGTAGTACTCGTCGGCGCCAGATGCGTGAAATATTGGTAGGGTTGAACATGCGCAGCTTTATTGAGAGTGTGTTGACCTCCTTCGAGAATTAAGATCCTGAGCGAGGAGTCACATGCTGCTAGACGACCTGCGACAACGCAAGCTGTACTGCCGCCTGGGCCATGTTGAAAGAGTAACGCCATGTACAAAATGTCAATACTCACCTCCAGCAAAAATGATATCAAACTCTGATAAGAACGGAGAAGACATTGAGATGTTTGCTTTCAAGAAGCTAGTCACGGTAAGTAACTCACAGTAGCCCAGGTGCGTCCAATTTATACTTACAGGACATGCCACCGCAATTTTCACTTAGTCTAAGGCCCATCCGGGACATGGCGTGTCACAGACCATGATCAGCTGAGCAACATACGAGCTATATCTGAGTTATTGCGCCGCACAGAGAGAAGTACTTGCAGAAATTAGAATGCTGCGTTCAACGTTGTGTTGATAAGTTGCGGGTCACGGGAGCCCTGCCGGGCCGGTAGTTGGCCGTTGCCGTGTCATGCAGCCTATGCTCGTCTTGCAAAGTTTGGCGAAGTACTAACTTCTATGACAGGCTGGTGACTCCAGTCTCAACTAAAAAAACTATCGATCAAGTCATGACATCTATATCCAAGGCTGAGAAGGCTTACATCCAATCTTCTTTGCTGTCCGATCCGCCATTACGAGCAGATGGCCGCGGGTTGATAGATTTTCGAAGCATAGCCCTCGAATCTGGGATTGCCCCCATCGCAAATGGTAGCGCACGTGTTAGCATCGGTAGAAACGCGCAGGATGGCGGCGGGGGCACCGAAGTCGTGGCTGCTGCAAAATTGGAGGTTGAGAGCATCGTCGATGGCGAAGGTGTAGATGGCGGACGAGTAGCTTGCTCTGTGTCTTGGTACGGTTTTCTTGATACATCTTCCAAAGAAAAGACTGGACAACTCAAAATGATAGCTCGCCGACTGCATACCCTCTCCTTTCTCCAAATGCCCTAGATGATCTGCAGCATGACATGACGTCCATATTAAATGCTACCCTCTCTCACCCGACAATCCGACCAAAAAATCTTGGTATCATACCTGGAAGGAAATCTTGGCTGCTCAACCTTGATGTCATAGTGTTTTCTGACGCAGGGAACATATTTGACGCGATTTTCATGGCTGCACGCGCCGCTTTATGGGATACCAAGGTGCCTCGAACCAAGAGCGTCCAATACCGCGCAAAGAAAGGCGATTGGAGTGATGCAACTCAGGAAATGGACATGGAGGTGGATGGAACGACTCTTGTCGGCAGCGCACTGGACACGCGACAAACGATTGAAGTAGCTGATTTCGAGCTTCCTGACTACTGGGATGAAGGCGAACCCCTCGATGGAAGACAAGCATGGCCGGTTTGTCTGACTCTCAATTTGGTTTGTTGTTTGTTGAGCTCAAATTCGATGGTATGTGATTGACCTCTGAACAGTTACCAACCTTGCATTTCCTGGATGCTACGCTACAAGAAGAAGCTTCTGTGCCTCTCAAGCTCCTCCTATTTTACTCCTTCCCGTCAGATGCAACTCCACTGTTACGAGGCATGCGCTTGCTCGGGACAGGCGTCTCGGACCTCGTACAGGTCAAGAGGCTCTTGAATGTAAGCATGCAACTCGTATTTTTATCCACGCCTTCTAAGCCTTTCAGGACGGGGAGAAGTATGCTCGGAACGTGTGGGTCGCTCTTGAAGGAAAGCTCAGGGACGAAGACCTTAGACGCAACCAAAAAGCCAGAGAGAGATTTCTTAATAGATAAACTTGCAATCACATGGCATTCTCACAATGACTCTTAACGAAGTAGTGAAGAGCAAGCGATCTCATGACTTTGGACTTATGGCTGTTGTTGCAGGACTCGTAATTGCTTCCTTCGTGCTAGTGACTCCGGAGATCTTTGACCGTTGATGCATAGATCTAGGCACTCATAATTTAAGACCTATCTATCCGTTTACAGGGACATCCAGTGCGCAGGCACCGGACACACGGTCGGCAGAAGGCATAGCCTCTCCTGCCTGAGAATTGGACTGAGGTGGATGACATCACGCGCAACCACTCGGTCGCATTCTAGAATCAACACTCTGGCCTCCAGCTAGAGACCTTGAGCCAAGAATAGTTTTTGGTATTTAAGCATGCTCCCTCCGAGTCTGCTGACCTATATGGGACTCATGAGCATCATGTTCCGAATGCGAGAGCATCGCATGGAATGCTGGTCTAGTTCATATGCGAGTCTTTTCAGAGCGATTAGCGTGGTGTATGAATCAGATAAAAGGAGTAGGTTCTTGGTACACTTCTGCAGTTGTCAACCTCACCCAGCCTCATCAAAGTAAAACCTCTCACCAGCAAATCGTCATGAAGTTCACATCGGCAGCCATCTCCTTCCTTGCTATCGCTCTTCCCGTGCTCGCTCAGACTGAGAGCCTTTCGTATGATAACACGTACGATAATCCTGATCTGTCTCTCTCCACTGTCGCTTGCTCAAATGGTCCTAACGGGCTCATGACCAAGGGCTACACGACTCTTGGTCAATTGCCTACATTCCCCAATGTCGGCGGTGTCTACACTGTTACGGGATGGGATTCAGTGTACTGCGGAACATGTTACGAAGTGACATACGGCAGCGAGACAATTCCAATCCTTGCTGTTGACGTTGGGAGTGCAGGGTTCAATGTTGCGGAGGAAGCTATGAATACGCTTACTGGGAATCAGGCTGCGTTTTTGGGGAGAGTTTCGGTGACTTCAGTTGCAGTTAACGCATCTGTTTGTGGCCTTTGAAGGTGAGCAGGTCAATTTTCCTTGTACACGATCATCGATGCTCATGTCGAGTGACTTGTGACCCATTAATAGATATCGTTGGTTACTTGAATCCAGGTTCAAGGACAAATTTGACTTTCATTCTTTCGGCCAATCGTGTCATCATACGGACTGGAACTGGACATTAATTATGCAAGTAACTGTATTCGTTCATTGAACTTTTAAGATATATACGCACCTACGGTAGTACAAATAAGCATCTGCCAATCCCAGACTAAAATCTATAGATCCAAGACCGAGTGAACGCAGCCTCGTATCGCTCCGCCAGTGAGGCAAATACCATGAGAGGTTCTTTCGAAAGCGTCCACAGACCTGCCAATATAGGCACTACCACTACACCTGCGACAATCTTGCGCGTTTGTGGGCGCATGCGGAATTTCTGAGAAGCAAAACGCGATGCTTGGATGATTTGTGCACCTTCGACTGCATGAAGCATGACGCTCGCAACTAGTCCGCCGTACAAGATCCAGCTCCGCCAGGGAAACCTAGCCAAGCCGGTCTTTATAAACTCGTAGTCCAGCTCTGAGGGCCCTACTTCGAATATCGGTGGTGAAGGATTGGCAGGGGAGAGGCGGTGGGTGTAGTAATGTATAGGGAGGAAGATTAGAAGAGTTGAATATGCCGCGAGACTGAGGGTGCTGGTGATCTTGCGAGGGGATGCAGAGCGTGGACTGATGATCCTTTTGGCGATACTTGAAGCTACGTGGGCTGCCAGAGGTATAAAGAGGAGATATCTTTCCCCAAAGCCAGTTTGGTAGTACTCCCTACCGAGAAGCTGCGCCAGTTGTGATTCAAATGTTACATCTACTTGTTACTAATTTGATGATATTGTGTCACCTACCATGACATTGGAAGACAAGCTTGAGCCTCCTACATTCGCGAGTGCTGGTGCGGACAAATGGACAATGAGAAAAACTGACAGAAAAGGTGCAGAGATATGGGCGACATTTGTCAAAACTGCCACTGTGTGTCTTGGTTTTGACCCATCTCCCTTGGCTGACATTGTTTTTGTATCGTCAGCAGCGAAGAACGACCATCTGGGGTTTTCGAACAATCCAAGGAAGATACTGTTGAGAGTCATGGAAGTTGACTGGCAAATTGTTGGGAATCGTCAATGACCGCCGTTTGCCGCGACTCGATTCAGAACTTGAACAATTTTCTCAAAGTTTCGACTTTCCAGTTTTAAGTTGCTAGCATTATACATCCTACAGGTAAGTAACCATCATCCGTCCCTAATTATACTATGCACATGAATTAATGCGAACCGAAAGAAATGTGGATATGTATGTGGAGAAGTGATATTAATGATACTAGAACGGAGCAAGGGGGGGGGTTGACTATTAGGATCGACTAACCATAAAGAAGAAGTGATACGAAACACCCGGGCGTTGGGCTATGGAACAGGTGGGGATAGGTCTACAGCGGTCAAGATGGCGGTGATGGAGATCATCCCCGCGGCTGATGTTTTGCTGGGTGCGTGTCAGAATTCCACGATTCTGTAGCTTGCTCTTGGAACAGTGCCGAGTATTCAAAGTCGCAGGGAATACCGGGTACATGATCAGGGTATTCGGGGAGGGTAAGTGGATCGGTGAAAAAGTCAAAATTGTGTAAGCCAAGGGCATAAGCTTCTAGAGCCTGCGCGCGCTCCATGTCTTCATAAGGTGCTAATAGTTCATCAGGTAATATTGCCTGCCCTGGCACACAGGGGGAAAGGGGATCGCTGTTCCAACCCGAAAGGGAAGAAGTGATGGTTGTGAAGGAGGAAGGAGTGTAGTTGAGTCCGCTTTGGCTCTCTGGGGATTCGTAGCCGGGCTCAAGTGCCATGCGCGACTCAGGTGGGTTATCTATGAAGTTGTTATGCTCCTGTATCATGGGCATAAGCACACATCGAGGGGGAAAATCGTACCCGAAACGTACCTCAGTCGATGTACCGAAACCGAAGGATATAAAGGGAGATGCGGCATGCCATTGCTGAGGCTGCGCCTGAAATTCCTTGCCAAACCGAACATGTGCCGCCTGTGACACATAGTCAAGGGGACGCAGCGTCCACTCTCGTCCTTCAGTCGAGCGAGACCTGCATAAATCGTCCTTTGGAGCATGTGAGGGGAGGATGGGTGTTGGGAACGCGTCGGGCAGCGGAACAGACGATGATCGTCGTTGAGCTGCGAGACAGTTCCCAAGGGCGTCTTTTAGTGCGGAGTCTCCAAATGCATCGAAACTGTCGCTCCCTTCCTTCTCGATGGCGTGCTGATGTGCAACGTCCTCTTGCGAGTCTTCATCCACATCCGCCATATAAGTATGCATTTGTTCGTCTGAAGAATCCAGCAGGAAACTGCTGTTGCTCATGCTCAGGTCGTATTGGCGCTTCTTCAATCCGGAGATTTGCCGCCTCATTGGACGAAAGCGATAGTGGGGGTAGAGACGTGCATGCTCCTCCCTCTCCTTATCTGCAAGCACTTTATAAGTGTCCTTTTCAGAAGCGGACAGCTCCTTCCACGCCTCAGCCGCTCGCTTGGAGAGGGTTTTGGCTGTAGGATTCGGTGCTTCTGATTCCTCGTCGCCTTCTTGGGATGCTTGACTGTGCTTGCGTGAGTATTCACAGCGAAAGATTATGAAGGCGTTTCTAGGTCGAGGGATCCAACTAGGGTCTCTGCTTCTGTTACGCTGTGCACGCCGATCAGATGAAGGAGCCATTGGTTGGTGAGTGATACAGGAGGTGGACGCTATAAAAGGTCTGGGCGGGGGAAATGTTTGGTCTGGAAGATGAATATCATGATCATCATCCACGGATGCAGGTGACCATCCGCGGAGGACGGGTTGTGCAGTAAAGACCATTGAAGACCTTGAAGGGATTTCCGAGAGGCGGACACGACAGGGAGTTGTTATGTTATATGATTGAATCAGCAAACCTGCTGTTGATCTGAGATCAACTGCTTGCTGCTGCCTCCAAGGATGGCTGAATTTGAACTCAGACACATGAAGGGGTCAGTATCGTGTTGTTTTCTACGACAGGCTGATCAAAATTGAAACCTGGTCCGGTGAGCCGAGCAAGGAAAATGAAACAGTCGAGACCCGAGAACAACACAAAAACAGCCTTGGAAATGTTTAAATGGATTAATAACCAAGACATCATTCGATCAACTAAATCTAAAGATCACCCCTAGAATTATACCCCGCCGATCTGTATGAACGCCGTGGAAGGGAAGGTTGTTAGTACCAAGTTTACTTGAGGACGGACTCGGACTCGGACTCGGGCTCGACCGCGGTAACTCTCAGGGTCACTCGTATCCTGATGGCAGTGCCAAAAAGCTTGATGGTCAAAGCAGGTTGCTCAGAGACCGATTTGAACAATGCTCGTGAGGGATAAAGTCTCACTACATACTCCAAATTCCTCATTAGAATAATTCAACTGTCAATAAGCCAACACTGTACTCAGTGGCCTACATCGATCATACAACTCCAGGGGGTCATACGGCCGCAAGGCTTACCAGTTCATTAATTTTTTTTATGATCGAGTCTGATCATACTACTTCCGAGCCTCTGCCGGCGGGTAGTACTCCATTCTCCGTGGACTTGACAAAGCTCGCTGTTAAACGCGAATCCAAACTCTGACGAGACATTGTCATCATTCTAGTTACATTTGTTAATGCACCACAGGTGATGCTAGACCTAGACGTGTTTTGACTTCCATCATCGTAACTTCGGAGTGTTCAATAGCGCGAGAGGCTCCGCGACGCGCTACCTCGTCAAGATATGTCGTTTCATGACGAATGCGATGAAACTGCGCCCGAGGCCCTTTCAGAAATTCCTCGATGGCCTCTGTGACGTCGCGCTTCAATGTTCCATGACCCTGGCTCTCATAGGCTTTTGCGACCTGGGTGACATCGCTTTCTGTGCAGGCGGCGAGAATAGTAAGCAAATTTGAGGTACCAGGGCGACCTTCAGGATCGTAAGTAATGCCCGGAATAGAGTCTGTGACAGCAGCCCTGATTTTCGATTGAATCTGAGAAGCGGTATCGGTGAGCAAGATACGAGACTGAACGTCGGGCGAAGATTTCGACATCTTGGACTTTGGGTCTTTGAGTGATAAAATCCGCTTCGATGGGGCTGAAGGGATGGTTCAACAGATAAACATGCACGACATCGGATACTTACTGTTGACGTAGATCGGAAGGGGGAATAGGGGAGACGTTCCTTTAAATGTTCGGTTGAAGATATCAGCTAGATCTCTTGTAAGTTCTATATGTTGCTGTTGATCATCGCCAACAGGAACATGAGTGGCTCTTAGCAACATATATCAGTCGTATCAAAGGTGACCACCGCAAGAAGGCCCACTTGTAAACAAGCACGTCAGCGGCTTGTAGCACAGGATACATGAATAGGCCGGCGTTAAGCATCGACTCGTCCACTTCTTCCTCTGAACTAGAGTTTCGTGCGGCAGCTATTCTTGACTTGAGGAACATGAGAACTAAATTTAACTACACTTGGAAGACCGCACCTTCCATGTTGTCATCCGGCGCAGCTTCCCCATGGGTGTTATGCAGCTTAATATCCAAGAGAGTTCCGTATGGTGAGGATTCTGGGTATTGTTAGCCAAACGACTGCTAGGATAGAGCAATTAATTAAATACATGGTCCTGGTGGAACAATATTGATCGATCAGGGTCGATGCCTATGGCAAGTAAAACGGCGAGCATATCATTTCTTGCAGCCAGCAGGACAGCAGGATCCTGTGGAAGGGTCAATGCGTGCCATCCGACAATCGAAAACAGCAGTTTGTCCTCGGGCTCTGCAGATTTTTGCAGCTTGACCCAGTTAGACAGTGCGCCTAGGTAGTTCCCTAGCTAATACTACTATGTAAGTTATTTGATGTCAACGAAAAGGAACATGATCTTACATGAGGGATACCAGTTGGTTGAATGCCAGATAGTATCACACGTCGAGGGCGTATCCGGCAGACGCCTCGAGGAATAATCATGAGCAAGTTAGAAAAGCATTTCAAACTCCGATAACATACATCCCTGGCAAGGTACTCAGACTATACTGCTCTGCTTTACTGACATCCATTAATACCACCAGTCATTACCGGGCTGCATCTGGCGACCGCAGCCACATGGAGTACGACCCCTTGGTGGACCTTCCTGGCGGCGACAATTTTCACGATGTGACTGCATTATTCGAGGATGCTGCTGAAGGTGAGCAGAAATGCTCGTGTCGGCCTGCCTGCCTGCTCATTGCTTAAGAAATGCAACCTGGGGCTCTCGTATTGACTGAGGGATTTACTCTTATGGATGCTATGTCGTCATTCGAGGTAAAATCACTTCCCTCTGAAATCCAAACAATCCGCTAATAATGTCTGAAGATAGGCGAACCACGCTTCGATAGTGGCTTGGCGCTTCTGGACAAATCTAAGCCATCGTTCAACCCTCTCGCCCCGCTTACCCCAGAGGAAGTGTGCTGGATCATAGATCGCTCAGTTTCCTGCGAGGTAAATCAGAGACAGCGCAAACCTTTCCACATGTATTCATTTGTCCCCTGTCTGGCGCTCAGATGGAATGGCACTCCGGTTATACTCTTTCGCAAACCATATACTCATTCCTTTACGTTCACTCCTTGAAAGAGATCGACCCTGACCTAGTACCTGGGGGCTTACCGCCACGCTCAGACAGCTTGCGTCCGCCAGAGCTAATCACAGTCGTTCTAAGGGCAGCTCTGTTGGGCCTTCTCAAGTGTTGTGACCTGTCCTGGAGGGAGCTAAATAAAGGGAACGTGTACGATGTTCGTCAAAGTACTGCTTAAGTTGCCAGCCATGCTCATCTATGACCAGGCCGAGGATTGGCAAAGCGAGAAATGTGACGTACCCCTCTCCGAGGCTCTGCCCGTCAAATATATTTGCAAGGTGCTTGATGAAGCATGTCATTGGCTCGAGACCTCGGGCAAAGGTGTGAAGTGACTCACATAAATATGTTCACCTGATGATCCTACGATAACAACCATAGTTCAGCAACCTTGGAAGGCCATGCTCATGAACCGATTGATGTTTAGGAAGGTTTGGGGTATTTCTTCTTTCACATGACAGTCTACTGACTTGTGTCAGTCACTTATCGTGTTGTTCGAGATACAACTGTCTCAACCTCACTCCAATTTGCTTCCGACGATGATCAATCTAAGCCTGCAATTATTGCAGCCTATCATGGCAGTTACTCCGTCAGAACCTACCCTAGACTCCCCAGCTCGTCTTGCGTTTGACCCTCAGTTTCCTCGTGTTATCGTATCATACATCCCCCTGCATGTCCTGCAGCTACCCGACCAAGCTCATACCTGGGCTTTACTGGAGGGGTTGTTGACATCGCTGAAAAACGTCAATTATCTGGCAAATACAGCTGATCTGACGACATGGGAGGTACATACTGTTACTGTTCTTCCGTCGATAAACATTAAATTTAGTATCAGATTGCTGGCCATCTACAGCTGTGGTGCCCACTGCCCCATAGTCGGCTTCCATACGTACGCTCAATCACACAGGCAAGTAATTCGTGCATGTCGATCATCTAGTCGAATTTAATAATAACTTCTAGTCTGCATTCTGGGACGGCGTCCTCGTACTCAACAAGTTTGCACTCAATCATGTTGTGGTCCAGTTCTTTCGCGAAACACTGGACATTTCTTATGACACTTTCACGCAAAATATCATAACCAGGTGGCAGGGTCCGGCGCCTCCACCCCTCATACAGATTGAACGTACCATGACGCAGGTTTGTTTGAAGTTGCGATATTCTGCATATGCGCTGAGTGCAAGACAGATACTGATTGCAAACGTAAAGTCGCTATGGTATAATCCACCACGGCGGCGCCGATTCTGCGCGAAGTCCCTTTTCGATTGGCACGAGTTATTTGCCGTGTTCATGGACGTATGTGCGCGCCTTGCGCCCTTGGTGAGTATAGCAAATGTAAGTAGTGCCCTGTAAGCTCACTGAATGATGCATATCAGCAAGACCAAAAAAAGCTTGACCATGTCCGTCGCGCCAGGGTAGCCATCCTAATGTATAGGCTGTCTGTGATCCGCGAAGTTGTTTTATCGGGATTCCAACTGTCACTTTACACAAATGAGGAGCGCGTGTTTGCGTACTGGTATGTCGTACAGGTGCTTGAAATGCACTTGTCCTGCATAGATCAACTTATGCCAGGCATGTCAAGCGGTACGTGGACCGATGTGTATAACGACAAGAGTTAAAATTTTCATCCAGACTCAAATGCTTACTTTGAGTTGTCATATCAGTCGCAATTCCTCACGGCATTGCAGTCCCTGTCAATAGCTATCTTCGTTGTAAGTAATGATGAATCACCCACTCGTTCCAGATCTTGACTCGACGGAAAGATCACGGTCAAACAAACGACCTTCTCGTGGCGACGCACGAGGCTCAACTTTCTGCGACGCTACAAGTGGGCTTTTGCGCTTGAGTACGATGACATTGATGTGCAACCCTTCGGACATCCAAGCTTCACCAAGTTTGCTACAGCATGCGAATCCATGCAAAAGGCGAGTATTTTCAGTAACCAAAAAGAATTGCCTATTCAAATCGAAGATAGGATAAACAGTTCTCGGTGGAGGGCATCGCGCTCGCCATAGAAGTCCTATCTTGTTTGCTCACGTCACCCGATGGCTGGGCGGGACGATGGAGTGAAGAACGGAAGAAGGTGAGAAAATATCTAGTTGTACCTGCTACTGATTCTCATATCCCATAAGTTCGTCCAGAGGCTCCTGGATGTGTGCATCGATTTGCAGAGACAGCTCCCTTCAACCGAGCAGGCCTTGACTACATGGGATGCAAAGACTTTAAAATGGGATGCGGATGTTCATCCTTGGTTTCCGATTATCTCTGGATCTCATCCAGCGCCACCACGATAGATTTGGTGCTGTTTTTTTTTACCCTTTGATACCAATGCAACGTTCCTCACATCTGGAAGGCGCCTTGTTTCAGCCACTATTAATATGATGTCAGATCTATCATGTATCGTGTGAAGACCCATTGACAGGGATCAGTCGGTCGGCTGAGACCCGAGTCCCCTATTATTATCATCGATTAAAATTGGTTGGCAATTAGTTGCAAACTTTAATCGTGATCTTTGGAAGTCTGTCTGACGCTTAACATGTCAGGGCCTTGCTAGGTACGCAAATTTATCTGATTATTCAAAGGCTGCTTCCTGATGTCTTCTCTCGCCGTGCTAGCTATATTTGTGCCATTTTCAAGCCCAAGCACTGGTCTGAAGTTTTGCGAGTTCGATGCTCTCAACTGATTGTTTAATATGGCTCCAAACGATGCTTTGCCTTGGATGAATGCAAAGGCAAGAAGGTGCATGAATAATGATGGTGCTCCACGGGATGCTATGCAACTTTATTGTCTCGTTCATCTCTCCTGTCAACATGACACTGACAGAAACTGTGCATCCATCTGTTGCCAACGGAACTTCTACAACAAACGTTCTTACTCATCCTTACCTATTTGCCGGATACAGGTATATTTCTCACTTCGACATAAAACCATTTCGGTCAAGATTGCTGGCCCTCCCTTAGCTTTATCCAGGGTGCGCGACAAGCCTTTGATGGGTTGCACATTCTAGTCGCGCATCGAGGTCGTTCCCCTTCCCCCGCCTATCTAGCGCAGGTCTCCCTGATTCCCGTACTAGCCAATGACAATGCACTGGCGCTCCGGCCAGGGTGCTTATGACTTCACCAATCTTCTGCGTGTTTTCACTGGCAATCTGTTCCAAGAATCTGGGGCTTTGAGAGCGATCGCTGTGACAACATAATTTCCTTTTATATTTCTCGCCGTGCCCAATCTAAACGTCTTTTTGTACACATGAAACAAAACGGCCCTTATCTGGAGGATGTTTCAGATACAATTGTCTCCGAGTCTAACCTACTCAATATACTAAAGCTTGAAAAGCTTGACAGGCAGCCATTGCCGCTCCAACTTCGTCTGGGGCCTGCAGGTTGTTGGCTCTAGTGGGACGCAGGCAATTGGGCCTGGTGCTTACGAATTCGACGACGTTGAATGACTCCGATTCGAGCAGCATTAGAACAGAACACGCATTATGTCGGCCGGCTTAAGAGTTTGATCACATGCGTTAAAAGGCACATTACAATATACCTACGTGAGGCTCTTGTACTTACATGACATATGCTGTTACCTTTAATTATAGTGACATTGTGATGTCACGATTAGACTTCAAACCACACCGTCAAATTCCATTTAACTCGTTGAAGATATCAGGTCTAGAGTTGCGCATATAGGATTTAATAGGTGAGTCTACTAGTCTTAGTCTTTCGGTCAGAACTTTTATTGACGAACTATGTATTTAATAGGTGAGTCTATTAGTCTCAGTCTTTCGTCGGTCAGAACCAATGAGACGCTCGTTCGGTTGGGCACTATTACTTTTATATTACTGTAAGTCCTTTTCTAATTGATATTGAAACGAAATTTTGATACTCTGAAGTTTTCAGGCCAACGTCACCTCTCTCGTCCCTGCTCCTAAATTGCGCTCGGACCAGCTATTACTCGTCATCTCGTGCCTTGGCCTCGGCTCCATCCACGGTGTTCTTCGACTCAGAGGATTCGGACGACAACAAATTTGTCCCCACCAATACCAAGCTTAACATTTAACTATGGCTCCATATCGTACTGCAGCAGCAGCGCGATCTAGAGGCAAGTATAACTATACAGAAGAAACACTTACACGGCGGTTCTCATGTCCTCACTGTGACGGAAAGTTCAAGCCCCAGGGTTTCAAAATGCATGAAGCAACATGCAAGAAACGTGCCGATGTCGAGAAGGAACGGGAGATCTTTGGTCTTAAGTTTCTTAGGGACCAGCAACGAGGTGAGTCGAATCATCTAACGATTTAAACTCCAGTAGTAATCGAGGCGACGTCTAGCTCGAAGGAAGGTCGTAGGTTGATGAGATCCCAAGCAATAGCTGGCTCATCACAGCCTGAGAGCGCCAGCAATAGTCAATCCGCTGCAAATTACATTCCTTCCGGTACTTTACTTGTTCTTTGCTTGAATCCGCATGTCTCTAACCACCCACTTGTCGCTGTCGAAGCCTACGATGGGAATGAGGACGTTGATATCCCAGTTGAGTCCCAGTGTATTATGTTGATTGTTCGCAACTTTACTAACTGTCACTGATCGCTCTGTATAGTCTTCAGTCGGCCGAGGTCCGTTGAATCAGCACCTATTCAGCGGCCCCTCGAATTCAAGACGAAATGTTATCTGTCCAGTGGTCGTGAGCCGCTGCACCAAGCGTTCGACGAGTTTCGTGCTAACGCACATGATGCTGCTGAAGTACCTCCTGTTGATGAAGAACCATGGCGAGGCGACTTTGAGTTTGCAGAAATTGCACTCGATGCTGCGCTCAACAAATCACAAATTGACAAACTGCTATCTTTGATTGACCGCATTGCAGGAGGCCAGGTTAGAATTACACTAAAAACTGATGCCGATTTTCGAAACGTATTGCGTAGTGCAACTACTCAGGTGACGCCGGTATGTTTCTAATACTTCTTCTGAATTCTTGTGTTGGTCCTTAGATTGGCTTAAATTGGCTTCGGAGGCTCGGTAGAAATTTCCGACAATAATAACTATGAATGCTTGGGAACTATGCAGTGAACTGCGGTGCGAAATGAAACTTGAAAGGCGGGTGGGTATAGAGAAAGACTAGGTACCACGAACCCAGTACTAGAGAAAATGAATGTGGGAAGCGAACAGGACCCACCCCTCCTGAGGCCTGAGGTCCGCTCTGTCGCGGGACATTCCGTAGGCTACATCACCCGGTACAATGCTCTGTCTTCTGTCTATCAATATCTGACTACAACGTCGTATCATTGTAATGTCGTCGTCGCAGCGACAGGTGTCGGGAGTTGTTACTAGACTCTCTGCGCGTGCAAGCCCATATCACAGTGCAGTCACTTTGATTGAAGCCGGAAATGCCGGTCAGCCGTCAACATCACTGTCTTCCAGTCCAAAGCCGTCGAAGCGCATCAAGCTCGAGGTCGAATCCGGGACTTCAAGCATCTCAGACTCGACACGTTCTCAGAGCCTACGGAAGACGTCACCAACTGTGAAACTAGAAGAGATGGTATCTGAAGAAGATACAACAAGTTCGCGAGTGACTCGGAAGGTCAAGTCCCCCAAGAAACCTAAACTGATACCACGGTCTCTGGAAACTCCACATCCTGCTCCACCACACTGGAAGGAGGTGTATGACTCGATCAAAGAGATGCGCACACAAATCGTTGCTCCTGTAGACACTATGGGGTGTGAACAAGCCCAACACAAGGAGAAAGAACCAAAGGTTAATATTCACGCAATCTCTCGCGATAACGGCCTTATTTTGTATGGCAGAACCGACGGTTCGCTACACTGGTTTCTCTGATGTTATCTTCCCAAACGAAAGATGAAGTCACGGATGCAGCTGTTGAAAAGCTGCGAGCTGCCGTAGGAGGCACGCTATCTGTAGCCGCTCTCATATCTGCGGATGATTCTACAATATCAGATGCAATAGCAAAAGTTGGCTTCTGGCGACGGAAGACTGAGTCCGTTTATCTTTCCATAGCAGGAAGAATGGCTATATTGACGATGATGTCTATCAGGTATATCAAGAAGGCGGCTTTACGGTTACGGGATGACTTCGATTCAGATGTACCCAAGACAGTAGATGAGCTATGCTCATTGTCAGGAGTCGGACCTAAAATGGCGTTTCTTACGCTTCAAGTCGCCTGGAATCTGTATACGGTGGATTCACTAAGTCTTTTATGAACTCGCTAACGCACTTGCAGCAATCACGGTATCGGCGTGGATGTGCACGTTCATCGTATTACTAACAGGTTGGGATGGCATCAACCGCCTACCAAGAAGCCTGAAGAAACGAGGTTAAACCTTCAGTCCTGGTTACCCATCGATTTACATCGTGAAATTAACCACATGCTCGTCGGCTTTGGTCAGGTATGTTTGTGCCATAGCCATGAGAAGACTCGTAGTGATCCTTCTTTTACTAAACAGACTATTTGCGTCTCTGTGGCACCGAAGTGCGACTCGTGCACATTGAGCACTAAAGGGCTGTGTCCAAGTGCTAGTACAAAACCCGCGAGAAGCCCGAAGAAGCGGAAGAGACAATCTTCTGCAAACCTTGAGCGCGAGTCTGGACCAAAGATCGATATTGCAATCGAGTCTTCTGACTTATAAAGAGTTGATGTTCTTCTATTCCCACCCAGCAATGCATGCATATATTTTGTGATGTCCAGATACAATGAGTCCCTACCGACTCACTCACTCGCACAACTGATTACCCAGATCAAAATGCTTGTCTCGAGCAAAGGAAACGAATTATGTTAGATGTGTGATTTGAAGATTCTTGATCGTTACGAATGAGTCTCAAAGCTACAATATTCAAGCAAAGCATGCCAGAAATAATCCAAGTAGAATAAGTTAAATTAAGAGGCGTGTAATTTTACTGATGGGTGAATACTACTAGCAAAGTTTCCAGGTTTTGCGCACAGGTTCCAAGTTGCCAAACGTTCAAACGTTCATATCTGCAATACTCAATTACACGTCTGCACATAACTGATCGAAGTAAAAATTCTTCATGCCACAATGATCCTACTACACTAAATATCTAAAGCCAACGGTGCCACCAAGAGCCTCGTTATCCCGCTCCTCCCTCGCAATACGGTCATTCAAACGTTTGAGATGCAGATGCATCACACCAAGCATGCCCGTCGAAACACCAATAGTCGCGATGCAGACGGCATAGGAATACCGATATGTCGGGCCCCATTGAGACTGCCAAACGTACCTATAAAATATATGCAATTGTGAATGATGAGCGAACGTCAGAAGATCAAATATCACTAACGATCCCGTGATATTTCCTATTGACCCCAGTGAGTTGATCATAGCAACAGCAACAGCTCGCTTCGCAGGTTCTCCGGCGAAAGTATTGTTGACCCAGCCCCAGAACACCATGTAACCAGCGTAGACTTGAGCCATCAGGAACCTGTATGTTTCTGAGTACAAGAGCGTTTATGAGGGCATGATGCTACTTACAACGAAAAATAACGCGCGGCCGTGTTCATCGTACAGACAGATATGATGAATCCAAGGGCTGTGAGTCCATTGGAAGCAGCATAGTATATATAACGCTTTTGCTTCTTATCAGAGTATCTGTTCGTCGGTGAGACACAGCTCTCCGATAAAACTGGTTCACACACCTCGAAAGAGCAAACGCAGTTATCGTAGATAACACCCATGGAGGAGCGCAGAGCAACAAAGTTACCGTCGTGTTATATCCCATAGTCGCGCTGAGCGTCGGGAAGTAAGCAGCAAACGACTGTGCTAAAAGCTGGACAATGTATGCGGCTGTAAACCACCACACCTTCCAGTCAGACACAGCATCCCGCAGTCCTTGAATGCTCGTCTTGTTCCAAAGTTCAGTCCTACTATCACCATCTTCTGCAAGGCGAGAGATAGCAAGTGCTCTTTCCTCCGGAGAGAGCCATTTCGTGTTGTGTGGAAAATCGGGGAGTATGAACATCGCGCAAATTGCAACGAATATCGTAACACTACCCTCGATGTAGAACAACCATCTACAGATAATTCAACATAAGTTAGTAAGAGAGATGGCTATTTCTCACCTCCATGCAGCTTGATTGAGTTTCCCCTGCATGCCTTGAAGTATACCAGATGCAATAAGGGATCCGAAAGCATTGCTGATCGGGATTCCGCAGGAAATGAGAGCTACTCTTAAGGCAAGCTCGTCTCGCTTGTACCACTGAGAGATAAGAAACAAACTTCCAGGGTAAAAAGGTCCTTCGGCAAAGCCAAGAAAGAAACGAGTGAGAACAGCCCCCGTATAACTTGGGTCGGACTGTCAGAAACTACGTAGTATGATGCAAAGCGAAAATGTATACCTCTTTGTGATTCCTGTGTGCCATTAGTATTCGTCTTCGTGAAAGATCGATGTCGACAAACCTGTTAATACTGATATTACGCCCCATACCAACATACAAGATGGAAGAAAGATGGAAGGTCTCCCTAACCAGTACAGAAACATATTTCTGAAAGAGGGAGAAAATCAGTCGGCTTATTCCCTAATGATGGACACAACTCACGCTGGCACTTGCATAATGGTGTACCCGACGAATAGGATCGACAAGATTGTGGCGTATTGTTGCCCTTGCAGGTGTAGGTCCTGCTCAAAACCTTGTAACCGAGCATTGCTGTCGACGTCGTGAGATTCAAGCAATTATGACAACACATCACATACGAAACATTTGATCTGTCAATCTAGTTGTGGGTGCACAGTGAGCGGTGTACATACCGAAGAAACCCGTCAAACTCACATAGTTGAGAGTAAAGATAACCACGATTATAGACATGCGCAAATCAAGTTTCCTCAGTATCCTCCGCTCAAGATCATCACGGGCACACGTTACATGACCGAGTGCGCTGGGAGGCACCTTGAAGTTGTCGCTCGAGCTAGTGGTATCACCGGTCTTCGAATCATCGAGAGCAGACATCCTTTGAAAGATAAGAAGCACAGCTAAAGTTGGGACCAGGCTTGATAACCGTGCTCTTTTTATTCTCTTCAAGTCATATCATTACTATAAGGACGACAGTTGTGCCTTCTTAATAATACTTTCCTTTGACGCCCACCAAGACAATCAGGTGAGAAGACAGCTATTCACAGTGGCTTGGAACGGAATCCGAGTCATCTGACAAGATGAGGCACCTTCGTGAAGGACAAGAATATCGTGAGTCGAGCATCAGTGAATCCATGAGATGAGTCCTCAATATTGTAGCCGTGTGAATTATAGAAGAATATTTAATTATAATTCTGCGCTGCTAAGTTTGCGACCGGCGTGTTCAAGCCTCAAATAGATTTCACTTACACCGGTTTTCATGCCATGTATATGCACGAGACTCATCGATTATATTCGCAATGACATTATGAACAATCCAACATTGTTCCCTAGGTAGAAGTCATTGTTCCAACTTCTTCGTAACTGCCAGTCGTAAGCATTCGTAAGTGTTCGTAACGCGCGCGAGTTAAACGTTCATTTCATCGTTTTTTCAGATGGGGCTGATCATGATACGTGCAAGGAAGTTTGATGAATTCGAAACACGAGGAGCGCAGATCTAAGCTTGGCGCACATAGCCACTTCATATCTCGAGTACATCTGATTGATAGCCGACTTTCTTTTAGTTCAGTTCCTTTGATTTCGAACAACGAATTCTGACACGAAGATGGTCATATTCGGCAGAAGCATAATATGCTTCTATAGTTCTCATGGCTACAAGACTCATCGATCAGTGGGGTGGGGAATCCCCGCATGTTCAAGTTCATTTATGAGACTGCTATTTAATGATAACCGTGACTGCTTTCAGATCCCCGACTCACACCCGCTCTTTTCTTCAGTGTTAGGCTGTCCATACCACACCCGCCCATGTCGACCACTATCACTCCAGAAGAAATCCAAGCTTTGGACCTATACAACCTGACCGTAGCCCCAAAAATCAAATACATCGGCAGTAAGCCCGACCAAGTCTTTCCTTGACTTATCGTTCAAATGTACATGCAGTTGCTGCTTTGACGCTCTTGACCTGGGACCTTGGTGAGCGGGCCCTTTGTGTGCTGTTATTCGGGATCATCATGTGACAGGAACGCTAGTCTTAACATTTCCTGAAGAGGTAAGTACTATGTTGATCGATTTTCAAACTGTTAAAGTCCAATGGTGACAGGCTAGATTATGGGTATGATGATCTGCTTATGTTGGCTAGCAAGTTAATCAGGACTTCTTGCAGAACAACAGATGGACACTTGCAAAATTTCTGTTTTTCATGGTGAGAATGAGTGCATATGTCAGATATTTTTATCTGACAACACCCAGAATCGATACTTCGCGCTTGGAACAGCTATCTTAATGACGATCCGTGAGCGATGCGCCGAAGTTTGGTGTATCTATGTATCGTTGCTCATTACTGCGATGCAATCTAGTGACGTTCGATGTCACGCCAACTTATGCTATGTGCGTCATCTCATCCTTCTCTTTTTTAATACTCATTCATAATAGATGTAAGCTCAAAAACTCTCAATTCCAAACTCTCCTTCATTGAACATCAGGTTCTGTGAATGCGTTCTTTTCCGTCATTGGTATGTAGCATGCTCGTCCATTGTATCAGTCTACTCAACTCCGACATGCCTTAGCGTTGTTGCTGGTCGCAAATATTCAAAGTGAGGTTTCCGAGCCATCTAAAGTATGATGTACCCATCAAAAACCCAAGTGATTCTCCAACATCGAATATATGCGCTGTATGCATATGGTACGTGATAATGCAAATATCCACTTCCAGTTTAGACTTGAATGATATTCAGACAAAAGAATCGTCATCCCTGTGTCGGTGCTGTTCGTCACGATCTTCAGCATTATGATGGTGATGGCAGTGTATATATACCTGTATGAGAAGGGTCAGCTTCGTCAATATTCTTGAGTACGTACGCTAACAAAGTTTAGACCACGAAGCCCAGATCTTTGGTGCATGCTGTTTACTTGGATCCATGGATTGGCTATATCTCTTTTGGTACGCATGTTCATATAATCGTGACCCTCGCCTCATTCTCCCCTTCAGGGTACCCATGATGGGCTTGGAATTTGTTCTTGTCGTGTTGGCAGGCTACAAATCTCTTCAGCACTATCTCCAGGTACCAGATAAGACCTGGTCGGGTGCACGTCTTATGCGTACCTTTGCGCGAGACTCAGTCCTTTATTTTTTCTGGTGAGAACACATGTAATGCAATGAGCCGTTTCTGATCGAAGCTCTCCTTCGCTATTTCCAGCAACTTTTTGATATATCTATTCAGCACATTACTTGGCAAATTCGGTCCTTCTATGTATTATCAACTTGGCGCAATCACGATCTCAGTTGTCCCACCCGTATCAGCGAACCGTCTCCTCATCAACATGTTCGACTCTGCACATGACGAGCAGGTTACTTGGACGATGGCTTCGGGAGCTTTAGCTTCCCTTCAACTTGCGAGAGCCACATCGAGGTCTGTCTTTCGCGTACATCCGACGAAGTTATTTGACAATGATCACATGGTGCTTAGCGAACACAATGAGGACATGGAGCTTGCATCCATGAGTACGAGCACGAAGTGTTCCGAGTAGATGAATGCGTCATCGTTTGAATGATACCAGTCGAGTTGTATGAGACTTTGTGCCATATGGTTTTTACAAGTTCGTGCCTAAATAACACTTCCAGAAGGTATCCGTCTGGGTCACCTGGTTCTTCCACCTGAGCCCAATAGAGCGCCGCTACCATTGCTTTCATGGTATATATCGTCGTCGATGTCGCGTGAATCGTATTTTACCGTCTTGTGGGGTGTGACAAAAATGTCCTGCAGGGTGTCTAATCCGATGCCGTCGCCGACATGTTGCAGAGGCGATTCTATCTCTTTTCCGGAGGTTTTTTGCGTGTTTTTTTTATTAGCTCTAGCGAGTCCCAGTCCAACCCAGATACGATCGACGAAACTATGCGGTCGAAAGAAAGTTGAGGACATCAGATCTTCTTACGGGACACAGCCTGGTATGGTCACTTCGACCCAACTGAGCGATACACAGGTCACAGGCCGCACACTAAACGTCTAATTTGGGCGTCAACCTAGGAGTAGATCCGGCCATGCATGCTAGGGGTAATGCATATGTGAGAAGTGCTACCATGTCTTACGCATTGTCCTTTACCTTCCCTGGCGTGGTTTCCCGTCCGAGACTTTCCCCCTGATGAATGAACTTGAAGTGTTGTGGGCTAGGCTTAGGCCGCTTCCACAGAAGTCACTGGAGCAGGTACAGAAGGCCGAAGAAGACCATCGAAGAATCCATGAGACAAAGCAAAAAAAGCGACCACATGTGGGAAAGAAGGCGATGGTACATCAAGTAGCTGGAAGAGCTTATTCTCGCCGCCGGTAACACGGCTGGGGATTGAGCAGACTGAGCTCTATCAATAAGCATGCTACAAAATGATGGCACGATGGCAAAGAATGCATTTGAGCATAGACAGATACATGTAGCCTCCGACAAGTGCGAAGGATCTATCGATCAATCCTGTGAAACATCAATCAAAACGATTGATCAATATGCATCATCACAGGATTTTACAAGCGTCCACCCGCTGTTCTGCTAGCGTGGCCACACGTCCACTCTAACTAGACGTACCTACAATCTCTTGTCGCCACTCTTATTAGATGGAACGATTGTTTCCCTTCTTCTAAAGGTCTGGCTTGGGAAGATCATAGTACTGGCAAGCGCTAGTGAACGTTTGAACTTCCGCAACAAGTTTGGTCCGATCAAAAACTCCGTGAAGAACTATGAGGCAAAAAGGGCGAGCTGGGTTTTGAACTCCGCTGGCGCGACAACTTTCCTCCCACCTTTCCATTAGCTATGCCTCCATCCTCCCTTATCCAAGACTTCAGATCCCTCACATTCACGCTTTCGTGCACATATATCAGCCGCGTTCACGTTCATTTACGCACGGTTTTTGCGTTACTTGAACTGCTGAAGTAACGCAGAGACCGTGCTCATCGATCTACAGACTACAGGGCAAGTAATCCTGAGGATGCTTCCATTGAGGTCGATCAGGCTGAGTTTCGGCCAGGTAGCGACAATGAAATTGGTAAGACCGAGCAAATTCAAGTATAAAATGAGTTAATAACTATCATGATGCGGACATCAGCATCCTAACAAGCCCTTTCCCTTTCCCTTATCTCTTTGAGTTATGTTCTTACTAAGAATTCGAGTCGCGAGTCTGCTCTCCAAAATGGAGATCTCGTACCACGAACCGATGGCCATCTCACCCTTGAAGGTCTGTAAGCTGGGTAACGAAGGTGATTTGACAGGAAAATGCTTGTACTGCAGATAATATCTGAAGGCTCCCAACAATTGGTTCACACCATGGAGACGGACTCGGATCCGATTCAGAGTACAAAGGGTTTCCGGTTAACGGAGGGTCAATGTATGCATGATATTAGCTGGGATTACAGCTTTTGTGTAGTATTTACAATATCTGGATTTACAAATTCATGCCCAAAAGCGAGACGATCTCGAAGCACAACACAAGGAGTAATTGCCCTATCAGATCCATCAGGGCAGAGTGGATGGGTAGAGCATATGTATCAGGGTCAAGGCCTTTGGACCATAAGAAATCGGTCAACCATCGAGCTATAACCAATGAGGTGACGACCTGTTATTAACTTCAGTAAACATCAGGGCAGGGGCAGATATGAAGCTCACTGCACAACAAAAAAATAGAACTGAGAATACAGCAAATATGATCGGTAATTTTAGCCACCCAAACGCGCGTAGAGTACAGAGGAACAAAATCTCTATGGGAATTGTGATGACAGTCAATGTGACCATGACAAGCTTTGAAGAAGGTCCACTTTTGTGCAGACATGTGTTCGCAGATGTTGCATGAAGAGCAGTCGATAGTCGGGAAATAAATATGGACCCAACACTGCCAGGAAGCCCTTTTCTCTTATGTTATAACAGTATAATCCGTATAATCCACTCCACTCACCACTGATAGCGATAGCAAGAAGAGGGAATCCTTGATAACGAGAGGCAAACATGTCCAGCACGATACCAGTCGCGCAAGAAATTACCATTGCACCAAAGAGTGGGACCCAGCCTTGATAGATAAGATCCTTGACACTGCTGTTACGCCTCACCAGGAACACGCATAACGTGGCAGAGAGAATGGTGAGTATGACACAAATGAGAGGAATGGGAGTATTGACAACGTTGATGAGTATAGAAGAGATGATACCAAAAATGCTGAGTGTAACCAAGTCTCCGAGACACGATGCTATTGGGGGCGCAATATTATCTGGAAGTGTAAAAGTGTTAACGTACATGTTAGATACAAACTCAGGATCACTTTCCTGGGTCACGCCCATACCTTCGACACATGATAACCAGAAAACACATGAAGGAACCGAGGGTAATGCTTGAGAGACATGTGGACATCATAGCTGAAGCGGCCACCATCGTGAATCTGTCATAAGATTAACTACCACGCGCTCAACATGAAGACCGCACATACTCGATCAAACCAGACTTCGGTTTCCCACCTGAAGGCGGTGTCGGCCGAGGCACCCTAACAATGAGCGATAGGGTGCTGTTCTGTGGAAAAGGGTCTACAGGACCCGAAGATAGCTCTGGGACCAAAAGACCGAGGAGCATCGAGACACAAGCTGCGACAAATGCGACGACAATCGCTTGCACTTGTAATAGTGCCATATTACCACCCACAATCTTTCGTTGTGCGCTCCTGTCGTCTAGCCCGCCCATATTAGCCGCAGTTCCCATTCTAGCGGATAGATTCATTTCTAGGTTGCCTTTGAGATTTAAGACGACAGGAATGATCATTATCAGCTCATCGATGGTGCTCATCGCTCGCCAACGCTATATAAACACATCAAATCGAGACCTTAGACGTCACCACCGTACTCACTGACACACGGTCAAGGAGTTCCCCGGTGAATAGGAGGCTTATGGTAGTCATAAGAAGCGTGGGTGCACACTTTTTAAGCATTAAGAGGGATTTCTTCTCTGAAAGCTCTATCCACGTACTTCGACAACAATGCTACCGATTTGTGACCAGACCCTTCCTGCGCCAGACGGTATCCGTTCGTTTCCCCTGGTTCTTCCACCTGAACCCAATAGAGCATCGCTTCCATCGTCAATATGCTCTGCATCATCGTCAAAGTCCTGCGGGTCATATCCAGCCGTCCTGTAGGTTGCCCGAGGTGTGACTAGAATGTCCTGTAAGACGTCTAATTCCACGTCGTCGCTGTCCTTGTCATCGATGTGTTGCAGAAATGACTCTGTTTCATTTCCGGGGTCCTCTTGCATGGTCTCCAAGCTCTAGCAAGTCCCAGTAAATTCAACAACAGAACAAAAGAATATTTGTGTGGTTAAGGCTTGAGGTTTTGTTGAAAGTGACGATCGTGGGTCACGTGGGAAAAGAGATTATGTAAACAACGACAAAACGCTTGGTATTGAAGGTGTCAGCGTTAAACCTTAGCAAGGTCTGGTTCTCACCTACTTGTTCGTCACTAATCTGGCATACAGAGTATCTTCTGCTCTGAATCGGTTACGCGCAAGACTGCAGTAACCGGTCACTGGCTTTGTCCTGTGGTTTTGGTTGCCAAATCCTGACGTGCCTAGTAGCCACCGAACTCGTCGGAAGCGCTGCTATGTCGTCCAAACTGTATTCCTATCCTCTACCTACTCCGACGAGCTCTCCCCTTTTTAAGAGTCCTTCGGAGACTGTCCCCCCGACAGATGAACTTGAAAATCTGCAGAAAGAGCTTAAAATTCTTCGGCAGGAGTCAATGAAACGCGCCAAGAGGGCCAAAGAAGACTTGCAGACTATCGAGGAATCTATGAGGCGAATCAAGGAGAGAGAGAAAGGAAAGGCAAAGGCGGTAGAGAAGGTGAAGCGTGAGCGCCCTTGTATGTCGTTCAATTTTATCTGTCTTGGTTAAAGTTCTGGCTCACGATTCTTAATCTCTCTGTTCCGGTCCACCCTTTTCCATCACTCAATCGACGGTCGAAAAATCCCAAAATATGTACATATACCGGACGTCAAATTCTCGTGGTATCCCGTTCGATCTGATGGATGCCATGCTCATATTATTACTTCACGAATATCCTCCCAATCTGTCATGGTCTCGCCACATGGACGTTGTTGTAGTCACCCCAGCTTTGGATGGGGACGAACGCGATCTTTCTCCCTCTGTCAACGGCTCTGTAAGGGCTCGAGCACCATCGATACCGGTTTCTTCCTTCCCTCCCTCTTCTAGGGCATCACTGGATCCTCGAAGATCGTAAGTGCAACGATGATGCTCCGAACGCACATTCTCATCATTTTTCAAAACATACATCAGAATGCCGGACGAAATCAAGAAGAAAAAGAAGAAACGTAAACGAGAGGAAGATAGTGACCTCGAACAAGGTAATCTACAGAGACCATCCATAGAGACCGTGATTCAGACTCTTCGTACAGATTCCGGCCGCGCTGTGAAAACCTTGCCAGGTCCTTCTCTCAGTGTCCCTCTAAAAACGTCGAAGTCACTGGGATTTGTGGCAAATCACGTCAAGGTATTTGATCTGCATTCTCTTACACTCTATCGTTTCATTGGTGTCCTAGTCTTCATTCGCACCCGACTTCACACTTCCACCCTCCACTGTGCTACTACCCACCCGTCCACCGATACCACCTCCGCCCGTTGCCGGTCCCAGTAATGCAACGGATGTCACCGAAGATTTTAGTAAGCTCAAACCGCCAGCACAGACTCCCGTCAATACCTTCTACTCAAGCATTGAGCCTTGGATTCGAGGAATTAAAGAGGAAGACGTTGGATTTCTTGAGTTTACTGCGGATGAAGTTGAGCCTTATGTGATACCGAAACTAGGCAGGCATTATTTGGAAGTATGGGAGGATGCTGATATGGCCATGTATGGCGGACCATTACCTGGATTTTCGTCTGGTCGGTTGGGTGAGAGCTCAACGTCAGCGCCGAAATGGGACCCATCGACCCTGATGGAGGCGGACCTGTTGACGGAGGAGCGCAGTCACGGGCCCTTAACAGAGCGATTGATGAGTGCCCTTTTGCCAATGCCAGATTCAACAGTGTGGAAAGGTGTCAAGGCTGCAGAGGATGCTATGGAGGGTAGACCAGGCGGAACTGGTGCTGCAGCTGCGAAGCGGGAGAAAGTTAATGTAGTTGATTTGGAGGAGAGGGTTCAGGACACGATGCGGTTTCATGGATTACTTCATGAGCCGGTAAGTATACTTACTGGTTTTATGACTGGTGTTTCACTCATAGCCCTGCTGTAGCCTGATTTTTCGACGAAAGTCGACGACCCAATTGCAACAGCTCTCAGACATGCTCAGCGTCAACTACGGACTGTGGTGGCCATGAATAAGGCCAGGAAAGAACGTCTTGCTGCTATTGCTCGTGATCGGCTCGGTTATCAGGAATATCTGGACCTCCGTTCTGCCCTTGATAAAAGCATAACGAGCACCTACTCGAAAGTCCAGAAGAAGGATGAACCGAAGCTGAATAAAAAGAAAAAGAAAATATCGGAGGTTAATGGGAGTGTGAACGGGACCACTTCTGGTACCAGCGCGCCTAAACCTTCACCTGCAGCACTTGGACTCGGTCCGGATGATGATTTTTATCTTGTGGTGCCAGATCACTTGCAGCAACTCGTGGAGACCCGGCGGCAGTGGGTGGCAAGCGTCGGGGGGGTTTTTGATGAGAAGGAGAGGGAGTGTCCTGGTCGAATATGGGGCCTTCCGCGACGGAGCATTTATGAAGGGCTTCAGGACGCTGTCCGCCACGATCTGGCTCGGTCGTTACATCCACGTAGTACTACATCGAACCAACGGACTACTCAAGGGAACGGAGATGAGATGGATGTTGGATGACATAGGAGACAGTAGAGCTTTGTCCATCGTAATCTATCTTACTCTCCGTGGATTACACAGTTTCTTGTACACTGGATTTCCACATTACATGCGCGTTTAATTACTCCTGTACTATCCAGAAGCATTACACCTAAGACATGATCACAACCTCAATATTCGCTCTACTTCGTTATTTTGGGTTTTTTAACCGTTATCTTACGAAGTGTCTCTCCCTCAACTTTACGTTTATTGCTCTTCGACTCCTTTACCTTGGACTCCTTTGTCTTGCGGGGTGACTCGCCAAAGCTAGGACCAGTATCACCGCCCTCTGCTTGACCGTCATCGTCCATGTTCATATGGTCGCTGTTTATTGAAGGCTTGGCACCATACGGCACGAAATGATGCTTGAGTAATTCTTTTGGATATGAGGGGCGAGGAGGATTTTGGTGCAGAACGGATGGGTGTTCCGGGAGGTTCGCTCTTGATGGCTGGGCTGAAACAACGAGATGACGTGCAATCTCTTTTGGTGCTAAGTATGGAATGCTCAATAGATCATTCACATAGCTTCACGAAACAAATAACTCACCTATGTACAGCCTGCCCTTTTTTCTTTTTCTGGGAAGTAAACACGACAGTCCTCTCAGCTCCTCTGCTCCAGCAAAATACGAATCATCGTCACCCATCGACCATATATCATAGACAGTGCTCTTCCGCGTCAAGCTACCGACCTGACCACTCCGTGAGGACGAGGGCGCATCGATCTCCAGTCCTTCAAGATTTTTGGGGTTAACCTGTAACAACTATTTGATAAAGCCAACAACCATGCATTCTGACGGACACTTACTGAATCTGGAACACGTATTAGCCATATTTCTACATCATCATCCTTCTGGACGGAGTCCCAGTCGAAAGTCTCGGCCTCGAATGCATGGTCCAATGGTTTATAACCAGGCGGAGGTTTGTAAGCCCAGTGTGGGTTCTCTCCTTCATTTTTAACATGATCGGTTACAGTGACTAGTTGCGATTTTGACTTTTTCTTTGAAGTTTCTTTGAGTTTATTTTTCGAGGTTCTGGGTGCTGTGGGCGCTGGTTCCGGAGATGACATGTTTTATAGCAGTCACAATCCCCGGGTTGGTCTCCTGTAGGCTAAGGCAAATAGAAGGAGAAAGCTTGTTCCTGAGTCTTTATGTATGTAACAGTAAGTATGTTATGTTTATAGACCACCGTGATGATGAGAAGGTGCTTCCTCTTTTGGATTTGTTTGGCAAAGGCTTGAGAAACAAACACCATGACTGCGGAAGGCCGCATTCTGCTGCGGTATACACCAGGGCAGGAGAATTTTGATGTTGGAAAGTCTGCCAGTCCTGACAATTGCAGGAAGTGATTCCAGCGGAGGGGCAGGTATACAGGTGCGCATTCGTGCTACCTTTTGTTTTAGGGGAATCCAAGATTTTTTGATTGAAGGCAGACCTGAAAACATTCACTGTTCACGGATGCTATGGTGCAAGCGTGACTACTGCCCTGACTGCTCAGAACACCACGGGCGTGCAAGCAGTGTACGGAGTGCCTCCTGACTTCGTGAAGCAGCAGGTGTGTAACTAATCACATGGTATGCTGTCCTCGATCCGGCTTGAGCCTTTCCCGTAGATAAACTCGGTCCTAGACGATATAAACGTCAAGGCGATCAAGACTGGTATGCTTTTTGATACAGAGAACACTAAAGCAGTCGTGCAGGTACTCAAGGGGCAATTTGATTCCAAGGGGCACATTCCTGTGGTCTGCGATCCTGTCTGTGTTTCCACCTCCGGTCATGCCCTCTTGCACCCAGATGCCGTGGATACCATTATAGACGAACTATTCCCCCTTTCGGATATCATAACCCCAAATAAAGCAGAAGCGGAACTCCTCCTCAAACAGCGCAATCTCCCGTCTCGCATTGCAAACGTACAAGACATGATCAATGCTGCTCGACAGTTGATGACACTCGGTCCTAAAGCTGTGCTCTTGAAAGGCGGTCATTGCGTCGTTTCGCTGGGAGATCTCGCGAATGTTTCTTTGGACGACGCGCAGGTGATTCGAGATGATCTTCTGGACGAGAACTTGAATATCCTCCGGATTCATGGAAGGGAAGAACAACACGTAGACTCACTCGTAGTAGATGTGCTTTGTGCATCTGATGGCCAGATCACTATATTTGCTAGGACTAGACTACAATCAACAAGTACCCATGGCACTGGTTGTACGCTGAGTGCTGCGTTGGTCTGTCAACTTGCGAGGGGTATACCGCGTTTGTCACCTTCGTCATCCTTCTTTGACTGTTTATTCACTTATCCGGACGAACTATACAGTGAGTGAAGCTGTAAGGCTTGCGGCTGCTTACACCCATATTGGAATTGAGACCGCTATCCCGATTGGGAGTGGCTTTGGTCCTCTGAACCATATTCATTCGATTACTCCGCGTCTTGTCTCACCGTACGTGATTACTACAAAACACACAACGACGAATTAATTGCTTTGAATATAGGCGAACCAAGACGAACCCGTACCCACTCACAAGTTCCCTTATACGGAATTCAAGGGTAATTTGGAAAGAGTACATCCAACACGAGTTCGTTGTACTACTGGGCAAGGGTACCCTTCCGAAGGAAAACTTCATCCATTTTATCAAGTGAGGACTTTGTTAACAAACAAGAAGGAACGTTCTGAATGCCTTGAAAGACAAGATTATCATTATCTCAAATATTATGCTCGGGCGTATGCGTAAGTAGTTGGATCATCCCCGCTTCCGTAACTAACGTCTGTCTTCCAGACTCCTTGCAGCCAAGTCACATGCCTATGTACCCATATCGGCAGCTATCGATGTGGTTTTTAGCATAGTGCAAGAGAGCTCAATGCATGTGGGTTATTGCGCTGAGTGGGGTATCACAGAGGACGAATTGAACAACACCCCTGAGTCTCCCAGCCTGACGGCTTACGGGGCTTTCCTCATTGATACCGGAATGCAGGGTACGGCGGCCTATTTGTCGATATTTACTTACTGAATGTATGGCTGTTAGGTGATCCCATGAAACTCATCGTCGCTCTTGCCGCCTGCCTGCTTGGTTACGGAGAAGTCGGCTTGTGGCTCAAGGAAGAGGCTCGGGCGCCCGACTCGTGGGTTCGATGGGAGGGGAATCCATACCTCAAGTGGATGGAGGACTACTCAGGCGACGTCTATCAGAAGGCAGTGAAAGCTGGACTAGGTGAGGATGATGCAACGAACATTCTTGCTGTGCATGATTACATGTAACTTCACAGAGACGCTTGAAAACCGTGCAGCGGCCGATGCACCTTCACTTAGTAGGTTTGCGGATTGGCAAGATGTTTGGGAACGGTGTACGCGATTGGAGAAGGGTTTCTGGGACATGGCGATGAGGCTTGAAATTTGAAATTTGAAACTTGAGCAACCACGTTCAACATTGAGTACTTGTATAAGCTATGTTGCCAGTCTGTAACGATATTGCGGTGGGGATATCCCCATCTACGTTTATTCGAGCCATCCTGACCATATTCGACGGCAAAAACATATGAATAATTTAAATTGTGACGGGAAATTTTCAAGTTAATGTACAACAGAAACAGCTTCGAATCGCAAGATAAACCCAAGACCCTACGTACTCCTCAATTATGCAACAGTGAGCAGTGTGGTACTACTCTGAGCACAACGTTGTGTCAACTCTACTCCCTTTGAAGGCTCGGGTTCCACATTGGTGCTCGAGTCCGTGGTGGAGTTGATGTCTCTGAAACGAGATTGTTCCATATTTATAAGCAGGCGGTTAGCAGCTATTGGAGGTATCACGATTGTCCAGCTTGCTCCTAGTTGGAAGAACTCAGGTGGTGCGAGGTGAAATACAAATGTGATGGCCAAGTAATTAAAGAAGTTGCTAGGCACGAGATTATGATTATTTTCGGCATCTAAACATGAATATCCCAATGCTCACCATGCAAAGTAAACAAAAGAGTCTCGTGCCAAAATCTTCATCAACCGAGCACCAGACCAAGTTTTATCGGGAACATGCAAGTAATGTTGCATAGATTTGAAGCCAGCAAGTACCATGATCACGAAGTCGAAGGCCATGATTGGAGCCCTTGCGTGCCACATGAGTAAATATGACAATAAAAAGGTCTCATGCCTCACCAGAATGGAATGAACCAGCTCGGAATTGTTTCTTCGCATACATCAAATAGCACATACTCATTCGCTAGGTGAGGGCGTTATTTCAAGCCAAGTGCATCCAGATAGCCCATTGTTACCTTGAGAATATATACTCATAGCGATAGCGATTCCCATTGTACTGCATGCGTACATGACAAATAATACCATCATGGGAATCACGATCACTCTTTCTGCAAAATCAGGTCAGCTATCTGAAATAGTTCCCTTGGCATAGCCTTCATACTGAAGTTATAGAGAGCAAACAGCCTTCGAAGAAGAATGACTATCGAGAAAAGGGTAAGTTTTACAATTTGAAAAAAAAAGATCACCCACCTTCAATGTTGAAAACAAGGAGAAGTCCTTTATTTTTTACAATTAAGTATATAGACTGGCAGGTGCTAGTTGTTTAGCGTCCTACTCACTAATGATGTCGAAGTTTGTGAACGCATGACCTAATAATAAACAAGGGTTAATGGCGAACAAATTTGCCAGTAGGGACACATGTACATCTATTAGTCGCTAATAAGATCAATGGCTAATACAGCAATATGCAGGACTTACATGGGGGCAGCTGGATTTGTATAGACATCAACTATGAAGAAGCAAGTCAATGCTAGTACCAATGAAGACATATGCCAGAGAACTGACAGAACGTCGAGGCAATGATTACGGCAAGTCCAAAATATCGATTCTGAAAAACATACATTTAATGTCAGGAAAATTACAACTGAAATTGAACCACATACGATGAAGAACAAAATCCTAGATGTCGTCCACTTCGTTCCCTAACATAAAATGGCTGTGTGATGATTCGGACTTGGGATAGAATTGACTTGAGCCTACCCATAGGATATCGACCTAGTAAAAAGGTAAGTTTAAGCTTTGTTGAATGATAAATTCAGTACTTCTTCACGGAATGTCAGAACTTGATGAGATTGTAAATTAATAGCACTAGGTTGAAAACTATGGTCTTTGCGCACCGAAGTCCCATACGTACAGCACAGCAGCGGAGACTGAACAAATAGAAGTAAATACTTGGAGACCCTTGACCAACTAATCATCTCACCTCCAAGTCGACGGACAATGGTATCATACACATCATATTGTTCAAGCTGCTGGAACTCTGCAATGATACTCGAAGCATTCATGATACGCGTTGTGGGAGTGGGTTTGTACATCAAGTTGATCATGTTACTCTCTTTATATCTGATTTTGATGAGGGAGTCCACTTGAAGGTTTCGAATCACACCCACAGATTATTCATTAGAATGCGGTGCGAAATAGATGTGATCAACTGTGCTGTGTGAAACTTCTTGTCTATGTCTCGAATCTTTGACTCTTGATTGGCAACGCTGAGGGAAGCAATTCATATTCTGGGTGTTGTTCAGATGGCCCTTGATGATGAAACCACGAAAGCTGTGTTCTCCAATGATGGAACCAGAGCAGAATCAAGATTATCATTCTTGAGTTTCTCAACCATCATCTGGGGTAGTAACAGCCTTGACGGCGCCCGATGCCTACTATTTGTTGTCCTTTGAGGACACATTGTGTAGGGGGAATATCTAGTACCCGTAGTACTAGTATATCAGATAGCCACATGACCCGTGCAGAATCAAGATGGTCAATTCAACACGCGGAGGCATGGCAGTGACAGGCGCGCGGCGCGAGTAGCCGAGGCATCTGATGCCTCCGACCAAATGTACAGCTATGCTATACATAAACAACACCACTGAGAAGAGATATCACAGGCCATCCGACTAAACTACCTATGATCGAGAGGCTTTGAGTCCAGACATATACATCAAGAGAAGTAGGAAGCATGAATATACCTATTAGCGGTTCACAAAAGTATTGAACGTCAGGATTCTGAAGTGAGCAGACTTCATCGCAGGAGCAGAATTATATCTGACCATAGCTATCATATCACATACTCATGAATTCAGCGAGGTCAATCTCCAATTCCGCTAGAAGCTGCTGGTCAATCCTTCCATAGGCAGCAGCTTCGAAATCTGCCTTTGGAAGGTCTTTTTCTGCCGGTTTTGCGCGAGCTCGAGCTCGGGGTTTCGCTGTCCTCCTTGGTTTTGCAGTGCGAGAAGCTGCCGCGACCGGTGGTTCTTCTATCTCCTCACCGTCCTCTTTTGCGCTGGCACTCGGTCTCCCTCTGGCCTTTCCCCGTGTCCGCTTCCCTGGCGCACGGGGCTTTCTTGAGCTGACAGTTCTCTTCATAGATGCAGGACCCTCGTCCTGGTCCACATCATTATCCCCTTCAAAAAACTCATTACGCGCCATTGACCGGTCGCTTCTTCGCTCTCCTGCGACCGCAGTTCCCTGCTCTTCGTCAATCTCCTCCTGTTTACGTTCTTCGTCGGCAAGCCAACCCTCCAGGTCAGGCGGTATTTCTTGCATGGCGACACTTGGTGCACCCTGCAAATACCGTAGCTTGTTCCGAATGCTAATCGTTATTCGTTGCAATGATGTAGGGGAATTTTGGTTCTCGACGCGCCCGGTGAGGGGAGGGTGAAGCTTCCACTGCGAGTCGCGGAAGAATGGATCATAAACTGTGGCTGGAAGCTCATCGGGTATTGTCGCCCCGACAAGAACAGCGGTTTCATATGTCCAACAACGGCTGACATTTTTGATGGTGTAGCCTCCTCCTCCTAATACAAGCAGCGGTACATTGAACTTCCTAACAAAGTTCACACATTCGCCATGGGCTGCTATGGATAGATTAAATGCCCCAAGTCGGTCACATCCTAACGAGTCTGCGCCGCACTGCAAGACAATAGATGTTGGGCGGAAAGCTGTGACGGTGTCTTCAATGACAGTTTTGAATATCGTCAAGTACATATCATCATCGATCCCATCTTGTAAAGGCACATTCAGGCAAAAGTGCTTGCCCAAGCTTGCACCGTTATCGTCGAGTTTACCCGTCCCAGGGAAGAAATCGCCGGTATATTTGTGGAAGGATACCGTCATAACACGATTCGAATGATAAAATGCAAGCTCTACGCCATCCCCGTGATGGATGTCGATATCTATGTAGAGAACTCTGGGATGATATCTATGGACTCAAAGTCAGGTTTAGGTATCACCTAGTGAAACGACCGCTCACCTCAGAAGTTCAAGAATTGCCAGAACAATATCGTTGACGTAACAAAAACCACTTGCTTCTCCACGCTTGGCATGATGAAGCCCGCCCGACCAATTAATTGCAGTATCACAAGTACCCGCCGTAAGCTTCCTTGCACCTGCAAGGGAAGCTCCAGCATACATACGGCAAAAATCATACATTTCAGAAAAGATTGGACAGTCTTCAACACAGTTGAACGTGTCAATAAGATGTCGCATTTCGTTTTGGTTATTTGGTGTCACGCTATATGATGCCATAAGGTGAACTATCAACAAGGTGGTCTAAAGTCCGCACCGTGAAAGAAAATCGATGTAGTCGTGGTCGTGGTACATCTCTAATTCGGCTTGAGTAGCTGGACGTGGATTATATATGTGATGTATTTGCTTGTCAAGACCATACCCCATGACCAGGGCGTTGGTCAAGGTCAGTCTGTGTGGTTTCATCGGATGGCGTTCCTAGCAGTGCTTCTTAGGAGCTATGCCTGGCGATATATATGATATGACACATACCCCATAATGATGTTCACCGACGCCTTTAGGGAAAAAATATGAAACTATGGGACGAGAATGTGGCTTTTATTCATCTCTAGAAAAACAGCTCATGAATAAAGGAGATGACTTACATTGACATGTTCTGTTATAGGCTTAGCAGTACCGTGCGGCCCCCGATCGTCAAAGTAGGCAGAAGATGAGAAGGTAGTTGCCTGTGAAACACGGACCATGGATGCCTATGGTGATCTAGCTGCACTACGCTTAGCCTGAGTATCAGAAACGTTGTCTGCGAAAGGATGGGATATGGTAACTCTTGCACTCTGTGCGCTGCTGCGTACGAAAATGGTTCTGAGAGCTTGATGAGGGGAATCGAGTTGTCGGAGTTCTGGTCCAAGCAAGGTTCCAAGTTAAGATTGAGCTAGAGGAAGATCCAAGCTCGCTTATGTAACGTTGAGACCATTCGTGTCTTGCCATCATGTTGCGTGCGTATTGCTGGGTGTTGGCAACCCTTCCATTTCTCGTTTTTGTCCTTGCTTCCTCCGGCGACAGATCATCAAACTTCCAAAACTGCATCTCTGCGTGTTATGGGGACCATTGCCATCCTCAGACGACTCTTTCACTTGCCCTCAGACTGACGCGTTGGACGTGTACAGACGACTGCAAGTACCAGTGCATGCATATGCTCACAGACATCGCAACCCGTGAAGGTTCCAGGATACATCAATACTATGGAAAGTGGCCCTTTTGGCGGCTCTTCGGAATGCAAGAGCCAGCCTCTGTTGCGTTCTCACTGTGGAATATGTACTATCATATCCAAGGATGGCGCCAGCTTCGCAGAAGAATGCCAAGCGACCACCCGATGCGATCTTACTATTTAATATGGTCTACAATAAGTATCAACGCCTGGCTCTGGTCTGCAGTGTTTCACACAAGAGGTCTGCCTTCAAATTATGCGTGATCACGTCTTCCTACTTATCGACTCCTTGAAGATTTGCCAAGCACAGAAAAGTTGGATTACTTCTCAGCTGCTCTCGTCATCTTATATTCCCTGTATCACACGGTTTTGCGGCTCTTCAATCAATACCCCACCCGTTCGCGTAAGGATGGCCGTGTCCAGCGCACCCCCGTACACCTCCTGTGGTCGTCCATCTGCACTGTAACTTACCTTACCCATATAACCTATCTCAGCATTCTACCACGGTTTGACTACACCTACAACATGGCATTTAACCTCATTGTTGGCCTCACGCATAATCTGCTGTGGCTGCTATATTCCCTTCCCATATCATTACCCCTCATTCGACGCTTTCCTTCCAAATCAAAAACGTATAGACCATCATACGCATCTAAGGCAGCAGTCTTCGTCGCTCTTACAACAGCTGCAACTGCTCTAGAGCTGTTCGACTTCCCTCCGTGGGGTCGTATCATCGATGCTCACGCCTTGTGGCATTTCAGTACTGCCCCTATCACAAAGTTCTGGTATGACTTCCTGATCACAGATTCGTCGGATGATGGATGGAGGGAACCAAAAAGGTGAAGACATATTTGGCTTTATTAACTACCTCATAAAGTGCACTAATGGTGTGGAATCTAGTTGAAAATGTTCAAGCGTCTAAAAGCTCCTGCTCTAGCATGTTCCAAGACTGTACTTTCTCCGTTTCTGTTCAAGCACGAGTAGAGAAACTACAGCATCGTTAGCGTCTTCACTTTCTCGCTTCAGCGTACCGCACCTAGTACTGTATCCAAGGAATCCACCACAGATGAGTCGATCTCCAAAAATGCTTGTTGCGATATCATGGCGATCATGAAGTAACGCCTGTGGGGGTAGAATGTTGCTATAGGGTTCGGACTTTGCACTCCACTCTCATCAACCCTGCGAAGCTGTTACTTGTCAGCCCCGCTGTAAAAATATTGCTGTGCTATTGCTAACCTCCAAATTGGAACCTGCTACAGTCCAGGAGAAATAGTTTCCCTCGCCGTCATCAAATTCCCATCGACTGCACAATGTGGTAAAGCGATTGTTCAGCATTACAAAGATGAATATACCTCTGTTGGTTTTGTCCCTTGATTGACCGCAACCATAACTGCTCATTGACGAATTCTCCGTTGTACATGCTGACTGCGACGGGCTTGCCCGACTGGCTTCGGATGCTACCGATAGTGTCATATCGTTGTGCACGAGTGTCCAGTCGGCGCACTGTCGTCTGTTGCGATTCCCATTCAGGAGTCAACACCTCGTAGAAGAGCGCGTCAGTCGGGTTGGAAATGACAACATTCTGAACGCTGGCAGTAGTAAATGTGAGTTTTTGGGTTATCGATGACATGAGTGAGATGTTGGCTCAAGACGAGATGAAGTATTTCATGCATTCCCTGCTTAAATACCTGAGCAATCGAACTCACGCTCGATACTCATCTTCACACAATTTGTTCCAGCTCGGACTCGGATTACAAATAGCTATGTGAACACCGGGCATTCAATTAACACAGCACGATGAGAATGAGAAAAGAAAAGGCCAGTGCCCGCTCCAATTGACCAATGTTGAATCGTGGGTATTAGCTACGGAGCTTGCGCCAGAACAAACCTCACATCGGAGTTGTCGCAGTCACACGGAGAAGTCAGGATCTAGTAATGTACTGTGTCGTTTCTAAGATGCGAATATGTACTGACACGAGAATATCAGGAACGAGGAAAACAAACTAAATGATGATATCAAGACCCCTGCCTTCCGCCCATTCACCGAATAAGAGGCTGATGCTTTCACCGTTGTGCGTGCGACGTATGCTTTCAGCGATAGTAGAACTGATGTCTAGCGCTATTAGCTTCGAAAATTGTTCCTTGTGCTCGTTTTGCGGAACAGTATTTGTGACCTACATGGCACATTAGCGGCGTAACGAAAGGCATGAGCAGACTTACCACAAGTTGCTCTATAGGAAGGCTGCTCAAAGAAGCCATGTGAGCTTCTGCGAATAGTCCTTCAGGGGATCGTCAGGCAATTGGAAATTTCACTCTAAAATGACACGCACCGTGAGAAATAAGAACGTAAATGGTTTTGGCGCCTTTCTCATGCAGCGTCCGAGCAGCGAGTGTGAGCGTGTGGCCAGTATCTATCATGTCATCCACCAAAATAGCTACCTGGGGTAATCATCAACAAAGTTTCGAATAGACTATAAGAAGCAGGTGATTCCTTATCTCGAACGTCTCCTACAAGAAGCTCCATGCGCTCCGGAGCATTTTCAGATCTCCCATCACGTTTCCGGTGTATAAGGGCGAATTCGATGCCAAGTTTATCTGCCATTGCAGTGACCCTGTGCGCAGCCGAGCAGTGAAACCGCCATCAGACACCTGAAACAAACAGACACGGACCTCTTGGCTCCGCCCGCATCGGGACTGACAACAATGCTGTTTTGCCACCCATCGATGTGTCTCTTGATGTACGATACCATCAAAGGCTCCGAGAAAAGGTTGTCCACTGGAATGTCGAAAAATCCTTGAATTTGGCTAGCGTGCAGATCCATGGTGATAACATGATCACATCCCGCGCCAACAAGCATGTTCGCCACTAGTTTTGCTGTTATTGGTGCTCTAGACTCATCCTTTTTGTCCATGCGGGCGTAAGGGAAACACGGAATCACTGCGGTAATGCGACGGGCGGAAGCGGTTTTGCATGCGGATATAAGGATCAGGAGTTCCATCAAGTTGTCGTTGACATCGCTGCACCCTGACTGAATGATGAAGACGTCCTCCTCGCGGACGGATTCGGAGATCTTGACGTTTATCTCGCCGTTGGAGAATTTTTGGGGCATACATGGTGTGAGGGGCACTCCGAGCCTATGTGAGTGAATCACTAGTTCGTGGGCTGTTTTGCTGGCATCATGTAAAGCGGCAGCTCACCGCTCGGCCACAGCATGGGCGAGCTCTGGGTGACTATTGCCTGGAGAGCTTAAATCAGCGAAAGGAAAGCAATGGTGCCAACTGGACATACCCGCAAGAAGTCTGATAGAATTTCCGTGATACATAATTTAGATGATTGCTGGGTGGTTTTATAACATAGAACAGGATGAAGAATAAGAAAAGGGTGACTGGACACAGCTGACTGGCACAGCAGCCTTGCTTTAAAAATCGATGAAATATTCTTGTTTGTGCAGCACAAATAATCTACATCTACACTGCCACATCAACCAGACACTCTAATTGTGATGTTTTCTACAACGTATTCCGTGTCTGCATAGCCAAGGATTTGAACTATACGGGCGCTGAAGACATTTGAATGAAAATACGTCGGAAACAAGAAACAAGAAACCCACCTGTTTAGGCCCCTTACACGGGATATCTGCGCAGAATTGTAGTTTGCTAAACCCCGTCCCACTTCTACACAATCCCAATTTTCGCATTCATCCATCTTCTCGATCAAAGGGATTTCGTCGTCTGTAATCGTCTGAGAATCAGAGATCATATCATCTGATAAAGATGCCGACGACCCAGAACGTGAGAGTGGAACAAGGGATGTGACTGAGGCTGTCACTGACGCCCCGGGTTCTAGAACCGGCGTGCATGGTGTCGTTGCGGCTACGTTGTAGTATGGCATTTGTGCAACTTCCTTGGCCTCAACTGAAACTCCGTCAGTACGGCGGTGGACTAGTATGCGAACTGCTTGGCCAGAGGCAAATGAGCCTCGAACTCCCAGCACCCCGGCTGGCAGTAGGCGGCCACCAGATTCTCGACGAGACAATACGGCATGTGCCCCAGAGTCAATAATCACGCTACCTGCTGGATAAAGGGTATGGCTCGTCCATGCCTTCAAGTCTCGCATGGGAATCAAGGCAGGCTTAAAGACAGTATGTGGAGGCCTTGGCCAACTGAGCGATGCAGCGACTTCATCCAAATCGACCTGATTAAGCTTTTGTGTGGTGATCGGGCTAGCAGCACCTGAAGTGGGTACTGACGTGCTTTTCAGTGCTGTATAGTAGTCCATGATATCGACGATCACTGAGGGCTGTTTGCTGGATGCGATAACAGTTGTTACACCAGCGCCGGTTGCGATCTCAGCAGCAATCAGTTTTGTTTCCATTCCGCCGGTTCCAAGGCTAGATCCTAGCGTTGATGTGCTGACTGGAGGAACGGGCTCAGGTTCAACCAAGTCATTCCTGTATCTCTGGATTCGTACCTTGTGCTCGGATAGCAGCAACAGAGATGACTACATCAAGCTTTTTCGCGGAGGGATCTTTTCGTGGGTTGGATGTGTAGAGACCATCGACGTCTGTAAGCAGGAAAAGGTAATCGGCATGAATCATAGAACTCGTGATAGCAGACAGCGTGTCATTGTCGCCAAATTTAATCTCCTGCGTATAGTTAGCCCGCCTAGTCACTACTCACCATACTTCAGTAGACACTTACGCTGACGGATATGGTGTCGTTTTCGTTCACGATGGGCACCACGCCCATCGACAAGAGTTCATTTAGTGTATTGACAGCGTTTAGATATCGGGTGCGCTGAAATGTGTTCAGCGCTTGAACAGGGCGTCTGTGGAAAGCATCTTACATCTGATATATCTCCTCTTGTTAGCAGAACCTGAGCGGTTCGCTGATCAAACTGCCCGAAGAGGTTGTCCCATAGTGCAATGAGACGACCTTGTCCTATCGCTGCCAAAGCCTTCCGTTAATCAGTCATAATCTTAGAAGATGGATGCTGAAAGAAGACATACCTGCTTTTTAGACAAACTTTTTGGTCTCTGTGGGATATCCATCGTCCTCAATCCAACTCCAATCGCCCCAGAACTGACGAGCACCACTTTGTGTCCATGGCTGCGCAGACTGATAACGGTCTCAACAACCGCAGAAAGTATGGACAGGAGGGGCTGGTGCGTTTCTTCATGGACGATGGAGGATGTTCCTATAGGGTTTTACAGATTACACATCTGCGGGAGGTGAGGTGGGGATAGTGACTACTGGTACTCGCCAAGCTTGATAACGATCGTGCTGGGAGGTCCACGTTTTACTAGTCGTGACATTTTGTATAAGTCGAGGCGGTAGATGTGATCGCAGTCAAGAAGATGATGATAGGTGTATGGTGCAACTACGCTGACTCGGCTAATATGAGTCAGACTACGACGTAATGAAATGCTTGAAATCTTTTGATGGCCTCAGGTGTCGCCAAATCACAAACCGTTATATGTCGAAGGATGAACGATATCGGAACAGTAATAGCTGTAGTAGTACTGGGTGTTATTGAATTATGATGGGACGGCGGTAAATGTTCATATGTTCATTCATCCGCGTACCGTTACGCCAGCACATACTGACATTGTAGCTAAATATGCATAAAAAATCACTATAAGTCGTAAAACCAACAGTTTCAATCGATCAGATGGCTCAAATCGTTAATTCATGGGAGCCCTGGCAGCTTCCTTCTCGCCTTTCAGGATGCGCTCGAGGTTGGCACCGATGCGGCGGCGCTGATCGAGGGAAAATTCAGGTTCTGCTGCAGAGTATCCTAGCTCTGTGGGCTTGATTAGTATGATTGCACGAATGGGCTATATGGTGATAAAACTCACTCAGACTCGGATATTGTAAAGGTAACTCTTCAGTCTTCACCGGGAGAGTAGACAAATCAAGAGGGAATGGAGGACCAATCCACGCATTCCGGAGTTCATGGTCTCTGGAAGGTCATTGTCAGGTGTGTTACACCTGCGATAATCTGTACTCACTTTCTCTGCAAAGGTGCCCGCTCATCGGTCAGTCAGTCAAACACTTGATAAGAAAATGGATTACCTCTTCACGGGTCAATGGGTGTACCAGTATACTTTGGTTGCAATGAGGTTATGAGGAGACTCGACTGAGAAGAAATAAAGAAATACCTTAGATTACCCCTGTTCATGCAAAGGTACGAAAATACCGAGGAAAACGAGGTCGAAGGCACCCAGATTTCGTATGAACCTGGGACCAACTTAGGAGTGATTTCTTTCCAGGCAGGAAGGGTATGATAGACACTTACCGACTGGATGAGGGCCAATGGGATCGGTGTTCACACGAAATAATGGCACAGCGACGAACGCTCCATCACGCCTTAGACGCAGGACAGCATCACGCAAGTCCAATGCAGCCTGGTGCTCATCAGCGTTGCGCTGATGGAAGTAGATATCTGTATATATTCTTCAGCGACCAAGAGATAGACTGACAGTCATTCTCTCAACTCACGGAAGTGCCACTCTCTGTCATATATAGCGCGAACAAGCCATGAAAAAGAGTCAGTAATCAGTACTCGGTAGGGAACTCGAGGCACTCACTTGACTTCAGAGTTTACAACTTCTTCAAGGTCGGTTGGTGGATGGTAGTCTGGCATTATGATCCGCTGGGGAAAAGAAGTGTGGCTCCGCAACTGGTCATAGCTACCAGTGCTAAGGATGATATATATAGTATGTAAACATCAAAAACTTTTAAACTTGTAAGACACTCCAGCTGGATATCCAGAGACGGTTGACTGTGCAATTTGCTTATGCGACACGGGTCAAATGGGCGCAGGAGTTGTAGTTGAAAGACATCTGTTGATTATCATTGATATTGAGCAATTAATTTTTTAAGTTAATATATATATATATATAATATAAATAGACGAGCAAGGATTCAATCCATGGAGGGAAGAACGAAAAAATCGAGGATGGCGCGCGGTGGCCATGGCTTTGAAGGAAAAGATATAGTTAGAACTGTGGTCGCTGGTATGTTTGTGTATGTAGTTATGACGCTAAATCGAACGACAAATTTGATCACTTGCTCGGAGGTTCGATCTCGGGGACAGGATTTGGAGGATCATGTATGGCTAAGCAATATCCATCGATCCTACAGGTACAGTTTTCAGAGTCGTCGAGGCTCCTGGTGATGTATATTTCGAGACATTCTTGGTTAGAACTGAGCTGTAGTAACACTGCGGTAAAGTTCATAGGTTTCTGTGGGTCATCGGCCGCATATCTTGAGCATACATAAATCATCCGACTCCGATAGTGCCGAGAAACTGTCAAAGTTCTGCTTGCTTGTTCGGGAGTTAAACACAGACAGGTATGTCGTTTCCCAACTCCCGATGAACCCCCTACCATGCTATGCGATCGGCCCATGGCTGCTTGTGGCGTAGTCACAGTCTCGACGAGTATTGTTGTAGATCTAGGAGTATTGCGGTTGCCACGATGTTGTCAGTGATTATGAGTGGCCTTGTGAAGGCAGCATGAGGTACGGTGATTGAGACAACAGCAGGTGGGTTGTGTTCGTGACCGACAAAGTGGTGTTGATGCGGGACTTTGCAAAGACTAGCTAACGCGAAGCAGAGAAAACCGCAGATCACACTTCGCTGGGCAGCCGCTGTGGTAGTACTGCCAATCAAGACCCCAATCAGGGTTCTCAGGGTTCGCAAGGTGTCGTCAAAACCTATCGGTAACCACGTCAAGGATATTCTACAAAGAATATTGCTGTTTGTAGTCTTGTGTTGACTCATGAGTTGATCCGCACAGGCATGCGCTGAGTCCAGACGGGATTTGAATCGAATCTTGATGTCCAGAACACACCGTCCACACGGGCCCTGCTGATAATCGCTGAGTTCACAGAGAGATCCATTCAGATAGAAGCGGGCACAGGAAGATTATGCAGCTGGCTGCTGCCATGCACCAGCTGTCCTATGTAGTAGGATCTCGGAACTTGGAAGGCCACATAAGATTTTCGGCTCCGAATCGGAACTGGAAAGCGTCGTCGTGCCTCGAAAATCTCAATCAAGCTTCAGCGCTTCGCACACATAACGCAGGCTATGTATGTGTCTCTTCTTCCTGTCATCATCTGGTATTTCACCATTTGGAAAACATTAGTCTGCTGCACATTTCGTGAGATCATCTCAGCTGGTAAGACCAGAATCTTATTGAATTAGGCTGCTATGGCTAGTATATGCGATAAATCACCAGCGGATGGTAATTTTTGTCTAATCTAACGAGGCACGTACATAGCACATAACCGAGCTTCCCCAGACTGTTCTACAGGACCACAGGAACACGGCAGTGGGCACAGGACTCCGTAACGGACCAATGAACGTTCGCGTGCTGTAGCAGACAAAGAGCGTTTTTTACGCTATAGTGTAAATACCAGTGCCATGCTGTCCTGCCTGTGTCATACGTCTTCTGTCTATATAACAGGCTGAAACTCGAAGTTCTCGATCATCGATAACAATGACTTCCTACCAAATTACACAAGATCTTCCCGTTCGAAATGAAGGGTAAGATGACCCACCTCCTGGTATACATTATTAATCACAATCATTGCTTCCAGGCCCTCAACCGAGGCAGATGTCTATTCAGACTCGGATGACTCCGATATCTCATCAGAAGAAGACTGTAGTCCAGAGCCAGAGGAATCAATTCAAGGTCCTTTGACTCGGTTCGTTCATTTCAATGCACATTTTTGCAAATGGCGCGGAGGATTTCACACTTGACTGGCAGTTTTTCTAGGCGCGGACCGCAGAAGGCTGATTGTGCTGCCGCACCAAAGAAAGACGACAAGACCTCAAAGAAAGACCAGAAAGATGGCTCTCTTCCGCAAGATCGCCCGGTAAGCTCAAATATTATCAGCGAATCAGTCCAATAATAACATATTGTTACCAAAGGCCTCGTAAGACCAGTAAACCACCTCCGAAATCCAATGCAGCCAATTACCCTGCTGGCAAGTGATAGATCGGTAATTTATATATTATATCAAGTGCATCATCTCCTGTCGACGTTAGGCGGCTAGTCTTACACAGTAATTCTATGGCAGGTTAGAGTAAAACATACTCGGTGTCTACTAATTCCTGCGACGCTTTAAATGGACTTCAGATATATGCCGCCATACGGAACAGCGGACCATTTTATTATTTGAGGGATGACCTCGCTTGTGATAGTTGCAATGTTCCCATTGGCATGGGATACTCACACCTGGACATTTAGGAAGATGGTTGTGATACCAATGCTGTTTTAAATCCTCCAAGGTCCCGTCATATCCGCAGGGTGCGTTGTTATATACCCACCGGCAGAGATAGAGAGATGGTTGGTTGGTTGTCAGTTCTGACTGGACCGGAGGGGGCACACTCTGCGAGGTGCCATGTGAGATATTGCATGGTGTCCACGAGACAGCGCTACTCGTGCTGTCAGATTCATATAAGGCAGATAGGGAAAATATTAACTTAGGATTTGCCATCATAGAGACGACAGAGTGTGTATTCGAGGCAGTCATCCCGCATTGCGAGGATACGAGTGAAGTGTGGCCGATCGGTCCCGGCCTATGATGAACATGAGGACACGTACAAGCAAATAAGTATGACAAAGGACATACATTGGGAATGCGTGTGGAGGCAAGTAGACCCTTTCCATCGATGTATGACTAAGGACTCCAGAACTGGCACCTCCTACATCGTGGAGATATGACCGACAATGCGACCGGTCATCTGATGCACCAGTTTTGTGATTGTCTGGTTCCCAGAAGGAAACGCTACTTGTGTTGTAAGAGTGACGTAAGGAAGATAAGAAACGCAATTACTTGGAGTTTGCCATCATAGGGACGACGGAATGCGTACACGAGGCGGTCATACTGCGTTGCAAGGACACGGGCGAAGTGTGGCCAATTAGTCCTAGCCTGTGGTTGACCATTAGAGTGGATATGAGAAAATACGTGACAAAAAGCACATTTGGAATGCATGTGGAGACCAGTAAGCCCCTCCGATCCCTGGATGACTAGGACTGGCGGACCTGAACCTGGCATCTCCTAGATCATAGCAAGGGTTTGGTAAAATATGCGGGGACCCAGGCAAGATAGCATCTCCACTCGATGGACTACCTGACGTCCATGGGATAACACTACTCATGTTGTTATATTTAGTATGTAAGAACAATAGAAAGTGTACGAACTTGAAATTTTCCATAGTAGGGACGACGGTATTCATATCTGACATTGTCGCAATATGTTGCGTGGACGCAGACAAACCGTAGTCGTTCACAACCGACCTGTGTACGAGGTTCATTACGAGAATGAGAAATAAATAGTGACAGAGCATACATTCGCAATGGACATTCTTGACTTCCCATCGTCGGAGGACTAGAGCCGAAGCTGACATCTCTATTATGCTGGAGGGTTGGTGGATTATTATGCGCGAAGCTATAATTGCCGAGTGTTGCTGATCCTTGTAACGTTGAAGCAGACATCTTGAAGTCGCGGATTGGGGAAAGGCAAGTTGATCTAAGGAAGAGAATGAGTTTATCCCGTCTTTATACCATAGCGAACTATCACCAAGTATTCAAAACCGTCACTGCGGCCTCATGTTAATGGCACCATGGTTTTCATGAATTGACTTGAAGGCTCACCCGGGTATATACATTCCAAAGTGAGGATGAACCAAAACCATGACAGGCAACAACCCACTTGATCACAAGATGCGAGTTCCGTTCTATGCACTTACGTATACGTTCTTCTGCGCGGTTATTGTGCAATCGAGGCTTTAGGGGGCGTAGACATGGTGAGATTACCACCAAAGATCCGTATTCCGATGGCATACTAGCGTATACGGGGGTACTATGGAGCAATGAGAATAGGTTCCTGATATGAATCAAGATAGCTTGAGTACGCGAGCGTCCGTGTTGGCCACAATTGAGGTAAGGTGGGTATGTACCTAGACCTCGACAGGAGGCATCGCATTTGATTTTAAGTTCAGCCTCATCAGATTCAGATCGAATGGCGAGACGAATCTCAAAACAAAATTAGTAAAGCCTTCCCTTGGGTTGCCAGCTAATTAATGTGTCTATAGGTTTCAACTTTACTGTAAGCGGCCCTCGCCCATTTCCATACAATCCACTATCATGCGTCCGTCGTTACATGGGACAAATTAGACACGACCCTCGTCAAGTTCTCAGAAAGAAGTGCTAGCCTGAGTTCCCTATCGCCGACCGAAGATTTTGAAGTATGCTATCAAAGAGGAGGACGGAATCATGTTTCCCTTAGCCCACGGCTTTTCCAAACTCGACGTTTGTGTACTGCTAATCCAACCTATCATGCGTCCATCATTATACTATGGGACAAATTGATGTCTTTTGATTTTCCAATAGACAGTTCACGACTGTCCCAGACGATTGGGGTGACTGCTGGTGACCGGTGAATAGGCAGAGTCAATAGAGCATGGATTAATTTCGTCGCGGAAGCAAAAAAAAAACCACCGCGTCATTACTATATCATAACACGAGGATGAATCAAGGTTTTCGGAGCTTTGACAAAGCCGCGTGGAAAGAATACTACTATCTGGAATCAAATGATACTAGCACACACCCGTTGTGCCTTCGGCACAGGAAGCAAAAAGAGCGCTTCGCGCTCTTTGTTGGCTTCCTGGCCTTCGGCTTCATCCTACCTTTGGGTGTTTTAATAATCATTATTTTAGATCTTGAAATAAATTATATTGTATTCATTGAGTTGAGCATGATATATTACAATTGATGGGATTAGACATTGAACCCTCCTGTCCTCCTGTTGTTCTCTGGTTTTCTCATTCTCCTGTTTCCATGTTCTCTGTGCAGATAAGAAAAGTGAAAGTACAATTGAATGTGTTGATTTCCCCTTACCTCCCTGTTGTCCTCCTCCCGTCCTGTTGTCCTCCTCCCACTTCTCCTGTTTTCCCATTCTTCTATTTTTCCCATTCATCTGTTTTCCCTTTTTCACTGTTTTCCTGTTCTCCATTCTCCTGTTCTCCATTCTCCTGTTCTCCAATTTTCCCCATTCTCATTTCTCAATTGTCTTTTCTTCTTAATTTTTTTTCTTAAATATGTAGTTAAATTTATTATGATTTGAATTTCGTAAATAATAAATGTTTTTCAATGAGTGCTGCCCTAACAGGCAGCGGATGCACGTGACAGCCACGCGAGTTTCTAAATCGAGCTTTAAGTGAGGTAAGCAAAACCACATGGCATTTAGCGTCCGTTAGCGGCCCAAGCGACCCAAGCGAAAACCATGCGAGCGACCGTTCCCTCCCTCATGGTTCTCCCTTACTTTATAGACTAGCACACACCCATTGTGCCTTCGGCACAGGAAGCAAAAAGAGCGCTTCGCGCTCTTTGTTGGCTTCCTGGCCTTCGGCTTCATCCTACTTTGGGTGTTTTAATAATCATTATTTTAGGTCTTGAAATAAATTATATTGTATTCATCAAGTTGAGCATGATATATTACATTCAGATATATTGAACCCTCCTGTCCTCCTGTCATTCATGAGCAGGATATACTGTGCTACAGAGTGTTACAGGGTGCTACAAAGCACTTTGTAGAAAATTATGAATCATTGCAGGTTTTGAAATAAATTATATTTCATTCACTGAGTTGTGATCAAAATTTCAAAATAAGTTACATACTTTGAGCAGGATTCAAATTGACAAAAGTAAAAGTACAATTGAATATATGTATTTTCTCATCTACTGTTGTGTCTGGTGTTCTGTGCCCCCTCCTCCCATCCTGTTGTCCTCCTCCTGTCCTGTTGTCCTCCTCCTGTCCTCCTTGTGTCATCCTCCCATCCTCTTGTCCCCTTTCCCCTTCTCCCATTTCCCCATTCTCCTGTTCTCCTGTTTTTCCCATTCTTCTATTGTCCCTTTCTCCTGTTTTCCTGTTCTTTGTTCTCTTATTCTCCAAATTTCCCCATTTTCCCTGTTCTCCCATTTCCCTCATTCTCCCATTCTCCTTTTCTGTTTCCCATTTCTCAATTGTCTATTCTTAATATATAGTTGAATTTATTGTGTATAATTTGAATTTCATAAATAATAAATGTTTCTAAATGCGTGCTGCCCTAACGGGCAGCGGACGCACATGATAGCCACGCGAGTTTCCAAATCAAGCTTTAAGCGAGGTAAGCGAAACCACATGGCCTTTGGTGAAATAAGCGAGGTAAGCGTATCTACTCGAAAACCACATGGTGCTACGCGCCCCAAGCGAAAACCACGCGAGCGTCTGGTACTTCCCTCACCCATCCTCCCTTACTTTATAGATTTATAGATACCCTCTAGGCCCTTCTAGAACACTTGATCTCAAAGATTAAGGCATTTTTAACCTCTGACCCTCGCTTCTCATAAAAACACACATCTATAAAGTAAGGGAGAATGGTTGCGGGAAGCACCGAGCACTCGTGTGAAGCTTGCATGGAGGCCACATTTGCTCGCATGGGTGCCATGCATGCTCGCATGGTGTCCACGTTTGCTCGCATGGCGTCCACATGCGGACGCCATGTGGTTTTCGCTTACCTCGCTTAGTTCTCTTTTTGGCAACTCGCATGGCTTTTTCGAGTGCCACCCGCGCTCAACGCCGCAACCCAACGCTGCAAACACCAATGCACCAGCGCTGCCACGACCTCACCCTTCACCTGCCGAAATTTCCCATCGCTTTCAAATACCTCCGGTTGTGTCCTGCTGCCCTCACATGACAATTCCTACTAGCACTCAGCCTGCCCCTGCCAGTACTGTCAACATGGGCGCATTTTTTACCGTGTCACGTGACACAGAGCCAGCCGCCTCGAGGTGAGTTCTTTTCCTTTGTCTTCATCTGATTTGGAAAATTTACAGCAGCTGCTATCCCCAGTGCTTCCCCAGCACCTTCAGCAGCATCTTTTGCTGTGGCCTGTGGTGACTCCGATGTTGCATTCCCCATCATGCCAGGCCATGTTGCCAGGTGAGTTCTGTTGTTTCTGTCTGTCTGATTTGTCATTTATGGTGGCTATGAGGTACACCAGCTTTCTCCAGCCAACCCCTGCTGTTGACTGGAATGCCAGGGTTCTGCAGGGTCTGGACACAAGTTATGCTGCCCAACTGCAGTGACGTGCTCAATGCCATGTAGTCATTCCACCTGTTGTGACACCCACCCCGCCTGTTGCTGCATCCACTGCTCCATCAGTACCCTCAGGCACGACTGACTGGGCAGCTGAACTCCATCTCCACTTTTCAGAGAGTCACTCGAGGCGTCTTGAACGGAGACAGCTCACTGACCCATACAGCAAGATCTCCACTCGGTGAGAGGGTCTCCATGCAGCACAGCAGCGAGTTCATGACCTTCGACAAGAAAATGCAAAGATGGCCAAGAGAATGATCAGGGCAGATGAGGAATTCGAGCATGTCCGCAAGCGCGATGACATGGACTGGGATGTTAGTTGTGCACGCTTGGATGAGGCAATTGAACATAGAAAGCAGCGCAAGGTTGCAGATGCTTGGCGTGAACACATCTTTGAGGAGAGGAAGGGGAAAACTTGGGAGGAGCGGCGTCATTTGGACCAGGTACTCAAGAAGGGTCCTTCCCCTGGCTGGAAGCCTTCTTGACATTCACATTCACATTTGTCTTATAGTTAGTCTTAATTTGTGAAATGCCAAGTGTAATTAAATTTGGACTTAACCTTGACTCAACAAATACAATATATATAATTTATAATTATTGAAACACCCAAAGGTAGGATGTAGCCGAAGGCCAGGAAGCCAAAAAAGAGCGCGAAGCGCTCTTTTTTGCTTCCTGTGCCGAAGGCACAACGGGTGTGTGCTAGTATCTGGGGGAAAGACTTGAACTCAAGAGCGGGATACGTAGCAGAAGTTCTTTAGACGCTCCCACACAGGAAATGTAATTCGAATGGACTAGTCCAAACTTGCTTGGCCGCTACAATGACAGTGGCCCGAGGACGCTAAGAGTTGAGTTAGATACATTAGGCTATGTAGTCAACAGGTGAATTCCTCACCTGTAACAAGATAAGTTGAATTAGCACTGAATGCGCAATCACAAGCCCAGCATTGGTGGCCTTGAAGCACCTTCTCTTGTCTGAATTCATAATTCTGTGATATAGACCATATCTTCACGGTAGTATCTGCAGAGCACGTGGCAAGATATCTGTCTCTCCTTCAGAGACTTTGCCAAATTGGTAGCTCGGATGCGCTCACATCACATCTGGACTTAGTAATACCCTAGTAAGATACTTCTCATGGGCGGTGAACTTTGTCACCGCCTGATAACGAGGTAAATCTGATTTCTCCTCATTAATTTTCCAGACGTAGCGTTTGCCCTAATCCAAGAATGTAAATAACGAATCAGGAAAGGGTAGATAATACCTTATTGTTTCTGGCAACTAGACAAGAGCCATCAGATGCCAAGCTAACGGACCGAATAGGAATATCGCCTCGGGCGTCTCCAGCAAGACGTCCACTGCAACCTTGTTCTGAACATACCAGCTCGTGCGAGCAAAGATTTTCGGATAGATCCCATTGCTTAATGCAACCCGCTTGATCGCAGGATATGAGTTCTCCCTGATTTGGATGGACACAGACATCATTCACTTGGGGAGTTTGAGGGTATTAGCAAGAGATATGAAGGAAGAGATCAAACTTGCTAGGGGCACCGTTATCATACGTTCTATGCACTTGTGTACTTCTGCGTGGATGTTATGCGCTCGAGGCTTGAGATTACACACCGGAGATCCCATATTCTGATGGTGCCGTCTTCACTACCCGTCACCAACCACCTACCTTCGCTGTGGAAGGATACGGAAGTTACATTATTTGTATGTGCATCCAGGCACGTTAGCTAAAGGGGATAAATGGATGGAGATGGTAACAAGTAATAGGGCGCGCACTGGTGCCGAGGAGGTGCTGGTAATCTCATAAATGTAGACCTTTTTGTGAATTGCTGCGGCCAATAGGCGCTTACTAAATTAAAATGAGCCCATCAGTAAATTCGTGCATAAATAAACAGGACATTGAGATTACTCGGGTGAGATGGCAAGACGATTCACTTGCTGATCCTTGTATAAGTCTTGTAAGGCTATCTGCGAGTTCGACGGGGATCGTCGAAGTAACCGATAGTAGAAGGGATCGAATATAATGAAAGACTTTTCTAATGAGAGTGCTGAGGCTTCTGACGAGAGGACGTTTCGGACGGAATGCGCGCGTGAATCTAGCGGGGGAGCAAAGACTAATCATAATGAGCGTACATGCGTGTATTTAAGTTGTGAAAATAGGGTAAGGGTCCTTGCTGTAACGAAAAGAATGATTTGGTGAGACGGAGAGTGGTGGCGTTGAGCCTAACAGGGTGAAACATCGATAATAAAATGGAGTACGAGAAGTTTTTGAATGGTTGGTGGTAATGGTGTAGTACGTTGAGCACCTGAATGACGAGAATTTCGTATTGGTTTTGGCTGTTTTCGGTGTGTCAAGGGAGGGATTATGAGAATAGTGACGAAAGAAGGTTTATAGATGTCTGGGTATCGTGTAAGGAAGGCGGGAGAGCGAGCTGGTTGTCGACGACAGTGAGATAATGATAGTAAGAGACGAAGGATGTAACCTCGTAACTCGGATGCGAATGTGACGCTTGTTCGCATCCGTGAGTCACGTGGTTGGTTTGGACTTTCGTCCGAACGCTTGGTTTTGAAGCGCTGGTCGGGGCACAAAGGATATGTGATCCTTACATCCCCTCCCTACTTCGAATATCGACCGTCCTCGGTCGATCCTCTAACAATATAACTAAAAAAAATGTAGCGTGTAGTAAGATAGAAGGGAACTGATAAAACGAGAGTAATAAAACATGAGACAACGCAGCTAGATCATAGTTCTTCGACGGTGCCCGAAAGATGCTTGATCTCGATATATTGAGTAACGTTGAGGGAAGTTGAAGATCGAGGGTGATAAGGGATGAGGCGAAAGGCTGCGAACTTGAGTCTTGAAACGGCACCATCAACTTCTGCGAGACGGTAAGAGCCTCCTTGAGATCGCGAAACAACTATCATAGGTCCAAAGTAGCGTGGTTTGCACTTAGCGTTGGACGCTGGTTCAATTTTCTTATTCAAGACCAACACGAGATCGCCGGTTTTGAACGCGTAATCGTGAATGGTGTTGGCGAAGCGGCTCTCGAAGTTGCGAATTGACGAGAAACGACTCTTGAGTACTCGGCTATGAATTTCCGCTAATTCGTCATCTCGTTTGGCCAGTTGTCGAGCGCGTATGGCTAATAGGTCATCGGAGGAAAGTTGGGACGCAATGTTAGGGAGAAGAAAAGTTGCCTCTGTGATGTCGAAGGGAAGGAGAGGCTCAATGCCATGTGCCATGAAAAATGGGGTATGACCTGTAGACTTTCGAGTGGTAACTCGGTCAGCCCAAAAGACGTGATGAGTTAAGATGGGCCAGTCCGAAATGTCGCCTTTACAAGCTTTAACGAGTGAGTCGCGAATGGTGCGATGTGACCTTTCGACGACTCCGTTTGCCTTCGAGTTATAGGCTGAAATGCGAATATGGCGGATGTGATACTTCTGCGCGAGCCAATCGAGTGCTGCAATGAAAGGCGTCCCGTTATCAGTTACTATTTCCTCGAGTCCTCCCCATCTGCACAAAATCTCCTCAAAAATGAAAGCACCCAAGGTGCGTCCCGTCTCCTTTCTCAACATCCTGAACTCTGGCCAGTTCGTTAAGGAGCATCGTGCTTGTACGATGTAAGAGTATCCGTGGGATGCTGGCATGTGCATGGAGTCGGTGAAGGCTTTTCGGAAGAGAGGAGCCGGGATCGAAACAGTCGGAGGGAGTACAACCTTCTCGTTTGATCGAATTTGGCACTGATGGCAAGTTCTCAAGTACCAAGCGAGATCAGCGTCAAGTGAGGGCCACCAAAAGCGGTCGGCGATGGTTCGACGGGTTGAATAGAATCCTTTGTGCCCGAGTTCGTCGTGTGTTTGGCAGAGAATGCGATATCGGTTTGGCGTGAATATAACGAGCTGATTGCGTCCTGTTTGCTCCTTCCGCCATAAGCGCTGTCCTTGAACAAAGAATTGTCGTGCACGCTTGATGAGACGTAACTGATCTTTGGGGGTTGTGGGAGACGGAAATGACAGTGTTTTGAGATAAGTTAGGATCGTGTGAAGGTCGTTGTCAAAGCTCAGGGATCTTTCAGTGGCGGGGATTTCGTTAAGTGCGGGAGGAGTAGAGCTGGGTACTAAAGTGTTCGAGGTTGTTGTGATGGGCCATTCTTCATCGATCTTTTTCGCTTCCCACACTCCACATCCTAGTATCTCATCTACCCACTCATCCGCCTCTTCTGCTGTCTCGTCTTCGTCTTTCTCGTCTTCTGGTGCAGGAGGTCGTCGAGATAGACCATCTGCTGCGACATGCTTGTTTCCAGGGACGTGGCGGAGGGTGAAGTCAAAGAGTGAGATTCCCGCGATCCAGCGGTTAACGGCGGCGTTAGGTTGAATGTCAGGATTATTAAGCATTCCGCGTATGTATTTGGCGTCCACTTCAACTGAGAAGGTTTGAAGGCCTATAAGCCATACCTTTGCTGCACGCAAGGCCCGGAAAAGGCCATACAACTCAATCTTGGCCTGAGAATAACAGGATTCCCGTTCATTCCAGGTGATGGATCCGAACCTTGAGGGACGACGACGACCTTCCGAGTCAAGTTGGAACAGTATCCATCCGCACGCAATGTGAGATGAATCTACGGCGAGAATGACTTCAAGTGACGAAGAGTAGTCGATTGGGCGAATAGCAGGGGAACAGATGATTGCGTCCTTGAGTGTGTCCATGGCATGTTGGGTTGACGCGTCCCACACGAATGGAGTGTCGAGACGCGTAAGGTTCGTGAGGGGTCTCGCAATCCGGGCATAGTCTTTTATCCAGTTGCGGACAGTACCTGCGGTGCCAAGAAAGCTGCGAACTTCCGTGCGAGTTGAGCAAGGTGGCCAGTTGTAGATCTTGGAGACCTTGGTCTTGTCGGGTATACGCCCTTCGTAGTTGCAAAGTTGGCCGACAACAAGGACTTCAGGGACGCACAGGAAGAGCTTCTTCGCTGAGACGGTAGCTCCAGCATGCTTGAGGCGATGTAGTACCCTGTTAACGTCTACACAGTGCTCCCATACAAACTTCCTAATCCCCGCGTTTTCGGGAATGAGTTCAAACGATCCGTCAGAGGTCTCGTAACGAGTGTGCGGTCCGAGGACGTTCACGTCGTCCTGGAAGTTGGGTGCGACATCAAGCTCAGCTTGGAGGATAAATGCCACATCATTCTGAAATACTGCCGGGGAGTCGGTCCATCCTTGGGGAAGGACAGTGAGACGATAAGTCCCGAGGGGAGTTTGGAAGGTAGTGATATCGCGAGATTCTTCGGCGAGAGCTCGGTGGTCGAATCCCACGAATAAGTCCATCATTGAATATATCGCGCGACCTGCGCATTGTTCTGCGAAAAGCTCTACGTAAGGCATTGATGCTGCATCCTTGACGGTGACGGAGTTAAGCTGTTGGAGGTCATGCACTATGCGAATGGAGCCGTTCTTTTTCGCCACACAAAACCAGCGTGATTGGTATGACGAATTCGAAGGTTCGTAGACGCCGGACGCTATCTTCGACTTGATGAGCTTGACGACCTCCTCCTTGATGCCAGGGGGAATGGGTGGTTGACGGTGTGCCCATGGGACGTGCTCGATTGTAGGGATAACGACCGGAGGGAAGTAGTCGTCGCGGAATCGCCCTTTCTCGGTTTCGTCCCATGCGAGAGCTACCTCGTTGTTGGATAGGACTTGCGCGGCGAGGTTTCGTTCTTCCGGCCACAAGAACTCGTTTGAGAATACCCCGAGGTCGTCCATGCGTTCTTTCGTGAGGTGTTTGCCAGGAGTGAATGCTGGGGGTGTGGGAGAAAGGAGTGGCAAGGATGCGAGAGGGTCTTCTGGGAAACGACGGATGATCCGCGCGTGTGCTGGCATGGTCGTTGCCACGGGCTTCACTTTGTTTGCCACCTTCTTATAGACGAAAGTGCGGCGGACTGGGTCAATGTCGAAGTGGGATTGGAGGAGGAACTCGGCGAAGGATGAGAAAACGAGACGGGAAGTAGGGATAGGCATATTTAAACGAGTTGTAGATAGGGAATACGAGGAGGTGGTTGAGGAGGTAATGGGGGAATTAGCATGATATCTATTGGCAGAGCTGGCTGGTAGGATGGGATGATGGATGTGCATCAAATTTGTTGGCGGGATAGCCAGGACTCGTTCGGGGTTTGGCAGTGAATTGACGCCTCCAAGTTTGGCGTTGATCTTCATGCCTAGATTCGCACAGTATTGGTCATTAGCTTTCTCGATTTTGTTCTCTTGGCCACGGTGTGTTGGGAGACCAGCAATAACGTTACCAGGTTTAGCGTTGATCTTCATGCCTAGGTTCGTACGGTATTGGTCATTAGCTCTCTCGATCTTGTCCTCTCGGTCACGCTGTGTTGAAAAACCGGTGATGACGTCACCAAACGACTTGATGGTGTGGTAGATGTTGATAGGACTGGTCGAATACGGGGGGAAAATGTACATGGCGGATAAATTTGGAAGAAGCGGGAGAGGAGTGGTTGAGAGTGCCGCGGCTGTTAATGCAAGGGAAGGATGCGGCGAGAGACGAGGTGTGGTTGAGACCCGTTGAATGTTAGCAGGGTCTGTAGGGTCGCGTATGGATACATATACGCCGTCAGTGTCCTCCTCTTTTGACAGACGGACGAGGCGTTGCCAGGGTCGTCCCAGCAATAGTCGATAGGGTGCGTCTGGCACCACATATGCATGAGCCCAGGTTTTGATTCCATCTACCTCTATTTCTAACATCTCCACGCACCCTTCCATTTCCTGTGATCCCCCATTTGCCGTCTGCATTCGCATACGAGCGCCCTGGTTGATCGGCGCCTTGGTCTTCTTCCAGATATCTTCCCGTATGACGACGATTTCAGATCCTTCGTCAAGCAACCCAAGCTCCGAGTGAACCCCGTTGAGAGTAACACGGATTTCGCGTAAGGGGGTGGCGTGTTCAACTTGCTCGCTAGGTATTGAGGCAGTGGTGTTTGTTGAGAGGGCAGTAATAGGTGCGGGGACTCTGTAGGTGCGACAGTGCTCAACAGCTTCTTTTCGTAGCTCGGGACTGATAGCGAGAAGGTCAGCTACTGTTAGGTGGGGTATCATTGTGTCAAGAATTCCCTTGAAGACGCGCCGTACCGCATCTGGGGTAGCTGCCTTGGATTCATATCTGAACGCTGGCGGTTTCTTTGCTTCTGAGGCAGGGACTGTAGGAGGTGCTTCGATTAGACGAGATGGGGTTGGCATCATGCGTTCGGGCTTAGGCGTGGTTTCTGTATTGCTGCTTCCCTTCGCTTTGGATCGTGTGACCGCGTTAACGTCTCTTTCCAATTCTTCACTTGTGTCTTCCTCAATGGTGACGACTATAGCGTGGTTCTCGACGATGGGGACACATTGGAGAAAGTAGGAGTCAGATATGAAGGCCGTTGAGGGAATCTCGGTGGGTGCGACAGGTTGGGACGTGCTTTCACACCTCGGCGCCTCGACGGGAATAGCGTTTGATCCAGTAGCGGTTGGCGCTGGTATCGCGTACCTCGCATCAATAGCCTGCCTCAGGTTCTCGTTTCCTGTGCGACGTATTCGAGACCGGTCTGGATATGCAAAGTACTGACCATCTCGAATGATTCGTCCTGCTCGTAGATAATCACCTGCAATCGAGCACGAACGAATTGCGTGGGGACCGCCGCAAAAAAAACAGGAGGAGTTGGGTTGAGCGTTTGATGAGTATTGGAGGGGTGGTAGCGGAATATAGGGCAATGATGCTTGGGGAGCGGGTGTACTGATAAGTTGGCGAGAGCGTGGTGGCGCCCAGGCCTGAGCTGCGGCTGGTGCGAGGCAGACTAAACGCGTGTAGCATCCGGAGTAGGCTACATCTCCAATGTCCAATCCGTGCATTTTTCGCGCGAGATCCTCTACCTCGTCTATGGTGGTCTTGACTGGGGGGGTAGGAGGAGTTGCGAAGGATACTCGCTTAGTTTGAACCTCTTTCCGAACCTCTTTTCTCTCTTCTTCGTCATCTGAATCCCAGGGAGGTTGAGCCTTGGGTCGCGTCGTGCGTCCTTCTCGTATGGTACGAATCCTAGTAGCTATAGGTTCGTTTAAGTCAGCATCGAAAGCGTCGTCTGAGAAAACGAATCGTCAGGCTTTAAGCACTTCTTCAAAGTCCGTGGCCTCCGTTCTTGAGTATGTCGGATTCTTCAGTTCGAGACGCCTGTCGATAGCGCGTCTAGTGGCAGCTGGTAACCCTTGCCAGAAATAACGATCGCGTTCTCGTGTCGATATCTTGCTGTTAGCGACGAGCCAGTGTGCAACAGGGCGGAACTGTCGGTAGTATTGCAGAAGTTCTGTTTCTGTCGAGATATCGTTGTCGACGTTACTGATGACAATGCGCTCCAGATCTCGTATGGTATAGCGCTGACCCTTGGCAGCACCAGAATACTGGGCCAAGATACTAGCTTTGAAAACGTCGAAGTCCTTACTTTCGTAGCCTGTTAGCGTCACCCAGAAGTGTTTTGTCTGAATGTCCACATATCGAACGATTGTCTTGCATTTCTCAGCGGGAGTGAGTGTGCAGGCGTCCGCTAAGTCCTCGAAGAGTTCAAAAAACTCCAGTAATTCCGAAGTCTCGCCATTAAATGACGGGGCTTTAGTGGAGTTGGCGCCTGGCATGGCGTTAATGCCTCTGGATGCGTTGGACATTTTGGCCGGAGCTTGAGATGCGGGAAGATGATGTGCAAAGGGATTTGGTAAAGGAGGAGGTGCCGCAAGGATTAAATTTTGTGTCGGGACTGTTTGCACTGGAGCCGTAGAAACTGGGACTTGGCTGTTAGGGAGTGTGGAGGGTTTGAGAGTAGGTGTGTTGGGAGGGGGTGCTGGTACGCGAAGGAAGTCTGGGGGAGGTATAGGGGGAAGTGATTTCGCAGGGGGGGCAGTCTCGTAGGTATCAGGAAGAGTGGGAGTTTCGGGCTCGAAGACAGCTGGTCTAAGGGTGAACGTTGGCTGAGGGATAATGGGGAAAAGGGGGTTCGTGTTAGGGGAGGGTCCTATAGTCTCGTCGTCTGAAAGAGAGGACTCGGATGGTCCTTCGGAGGTGTCTATACTTGATTGTACTGATTTGTGACGGACCGGCGTGCGGGGGGGTGCAAGAAAGGATGGTTGCGTCAACGATAAGGTGGACGGGGAGTCGACCGTGTTTGCGCGAGTTCGGCTCTTCTTTGGAGCCAGCGCAAGTGGCTGCTTCTTGAGCTGTAGCTGCACGTTAGGATGGTAGTACTTTGAGATAATTATTGCAAGAATGGTCCAAAGACCGGGTATTGAACGAGTCAGACTAGAAGATCTGTAGAGATCCGCGAATCTGATTCGTAATGCAAGGGGGTGTTAAGACAGATCCCCTCGCGGTGGGCTCCAAAATATGTAAGGCTATCTGCGAGTTCGACGGGGATCGTCGAAGTAACCGATAGTAGAAGGGATCGAATATAATGAAAGACTTTTCTAATGAGAGTGCTGAGGCTTCTGACGAGAGGACGTTTCGGACGGAATGCGCGCGTGAATCTAGCGGGGGAGCAAAGACTAATCATAATGAGCGTACATGCGTGTATTTAAGTTGTGAAAATAGGGTAAGGGTCCTTGCTGTAACGAAAAGAATGATTTGGTGAGACAGAGAGTGGTGGCGTTGAGCCTAACAGGGTGAAACATCGATAATAAAATGGAGTACGAGAAGTTTTTGAATGGTTGGTGGTAATGGTGTAGTACGTTGAGCACCTGAATGACGAGAATTTCGTATTGGTTTTGGCTGTTTTCGGTGTGTCAAGGGAGGGATTATGAGAATAGTGACGAAAGAAGGTTTATAGATGTCTGGGTATCGTGTAAGGAAGGCGGGAGAGCGAGCTGGTTGTCGACGACAGTGAGATAATGATAGTAAGAGACGAAGGATGTAACCTCGTAACTCGGATGCGAATGTGACGCTTGTTCGCATCCGTGAGTCACGTGGTTGGTTTGGACTTTCGTCCGAACGCTTGGTTTTGAAGCGCTGGTCGGGGCACAAAGGATATGTGATCCTTACAGTCTTGACGGAAAATGGAAAAACGTTTTGCTCACGCCAGATTCTCCATATTTTGATATAGTACGCGAACAAATTCCACTCCACGCTTCCCAGAAGCTGATTTCATGGTCATAAGATCCAGTGACAAGGATTACAGACATCTTGGAGTTCATGAACGTACTAGTAGAAGGGCTGAAGGTGTGACGGTGTGACTTGTGACAAACCAATTATCCATCTTACCTAAAACACTGGGTTGGCACAGGTTGGCAGGGCCGTCAATATCTCGAAGGTAGGTTGAACTCTGTACAGGGTTTGTCTGACACGATATTTTTCTTCGTGGCACATTACTGAAGACCCAAAGATGATGGCCCGCTGAGTTCTTGATATTCGACGTCATATTCATGAAACGGGGCTCTGACGGATCGGCTATGAGGATCAACATGACGATCCGGAGTAGGTGAGTTGTGACCCTTTCATCATTTCCGCTACTAGTTAATGGAGGGGAGCTAACGTAATGCAACATGTGGCTATTTACCTGCGCGTATCTGCTCTGGTTTAACATTGAGCCCGTGTACTTCGAGAGTCTGCGTGTGCGGCGCATGGATTGTTATGTGTTAGCCGCAAGGCAAGGTGTTGTCTTTTGGGTATGTATCTCAGCTTCTTAAACCTTATTCGTTCAAAATTTCATGACCCTTCTCAACGGGGAGGCATCGCATTTGATTTTAAGTTCAGCCTCATCGGATTCTCGAATGGCGAGACGAATCTCGATATCCAACCGAATGAAATTAGTAAAGCCTTCGGCAATTGTCCCTTAAGCTGCCAGCTAATTAACGTGTCTATAGTTTCCTTCATTGTAAGTGACCTCGCCCATTTCCATATAATCCAACATGCGTCCATTGTTATATGGGACAAATTAGACACGACCCTCGTCAAGTTCACAGAAAGAAGTGCTAGCCTGAGTTCCCTATCACCGACCGAAGATTTTGAAGTATGCTATAAAAGAGGAGGAAGGAATCATATCTCTCTCAGCCCCTAGCTTTTCCAAAATCAACGTTCGTGTGCAGTAACTGTTACTGTTTGGGCTATGAACGCTTTTCCAGTAAGCTGCAGCCTACCTGGCTTGATGCCCATGCTGACCGAACTCTTAGAATGGCACCCGGGTCTTCAATTGGACTGGAAGTGAAATCAAGTATGGTACTCGTGTCTTCTACTGGGCATCCAGCGGTGAAATCAAGTACGGTACTGTGCAGGCGATCAACCGCATGGCTGATGTAGGAATTCTACGCCATTGTAGAAGATATTTTGCTAATGAGCCATCTTATAGGGTACCCAGATTGTGGTGATAAAGGTGGATGGGGAAGGCCACGCACGGTTACCGTGAGTCTTGTTTGAATGATGTCATTTTCTAATACTTAACATGCGTTCACAGTGTGTCCAGCATCGTACAGGTCAATCAATAAGATTCACGACCTATAGAGTCCACTCAGAGTCATTTGTTGTACATCCCACATTCATGCACCTCAGGATCACCACCACATCACTAGTACTGTCGCTCTCGTCGTACATGTAACTCATCCGTTTATACCTTGTGATCGATTTCTTGCACCTTAGTCGGGAAGATCCTGGGATCGATCACTCTGTTGGAGATCTGCTTTCCAGGTCGCGTTGCATCATGTGAGTTCTCAGAAGATTGGGAAGTGATAAATCCGGCGAGAGCGGCATCTTTGCAGCCTCAGAAAACACATGTCTTTTGGTTTTCCAATAAATAGTTCATGACTGTCCCGCACGATTGGGGTGACTGCTGGTGACCGGTGACTAGGAAAAGTTAACAGAGCATGGATGAACTTCGTCGCGGAAGCAAAAAAAAAACCCACGTCATTGCTATATTACAAACTGAGGTTCGCGGGGGTTCCCTTGGACAAAGACGTTCAACACACAAACACACACGTGAGTGATAGCTTAATTTATGGGTTAATCAGGAAATGTAATTCTACGCACTAGCCTAGTCCAAACTTGTTTGGCCGCTGCAATGACACTTATCCTAGTTAGTTCGCCACACTTGCGCAGTATCATTGTCAATTTGGAGATCGACACCACGACGAGTGTGTGAGCGAAACATGCGTGTTACATAAATTAGACGGTAGGAAAGACTTGTTTTTCTGGGGATCGGCTGTCGGAAAAACGTCACAGAAAACTTTCACAATACATCTTGATGTGTTTCAAGGAAGGTCGCATGCTTGAAACGCGGTTCTATACGCACTCAACTCGAATGAAACTGGTGATGTGGTGCTGCTCAAATTGCATTTTTAGATGAATGGTGTCATAACAATCAAAAAAGTATGGCTCACAGAATTACAGGTACTCACGAATAGATCGTAGGGGATACATAGGTAGGGAGCTCCGATTTATGCGAAGTTTCGAGAAGAAATGAAAAATTACCTTGTATAGACCTCGGCATCATCAAGATCTCATCACAGATATTACCCCAGGCATACCGAGATCTGAGTGACTTGCTACTATTGAGCTTGGCTGCGTGAATTGGTCAACTTCAGATATTTATAGCTCTGAGAACCTCGGCTCGAGCTGAATTCATGACCGAGGTGCCAAAATAGAGACGCGCTCCTCGGGGCACGGGGGTAGGCGTACACGAGTGAGTACTCGGGGTTAGAACTGCTCGGTGATGTGAAAAAACGCTGAGAATAATGAATCCCAGTGAAAACCGGTCAGTGCGGGAGCGCGTGAGAGCGTGCGAGTGTCGGAAAAAGTTAAGTGATCTTTACAATGCCGCCGGCTTATAAATCTGGTCACATGCATTATGAGATGTCTTACAAGTCCCTTTTGAGGCCGGCGGAAGAATACTTATGTCGAGAAATTTACGGTGGCGCTCAGCCAAAAGGCCAAGCGAGAGCACGTGACCACGATCAATTCCCTTTTCGAGGCGGGATTCGCTGACCTCGCTGGCACATGACTAGGTTCGTGTGACAGGCGTGAGTTCTGGTTGAAAAAAAAAACAGAGCGTTTCAACAAATGCGCTGGTGGGATGGAACAAATGCGAGTGAGGTGCGGACATGATTAGCGACGGCGAGTGGTAAGGTAGAGTACCAGTTGTATGCTACTAGTAGGTAGTGAGTGTGGAATGTACAGAGTCAGCCAAAGAAACATTGTAGCAAAGCAGTGAAAGCACTGAAAGGCAATGATAGTATGTAGTAAACTTGAAAACGGGGCCGGTATCACTTGTTGCGAGAGATGCGGTCCCCTCGTGCAGCGCGTGCCTCGTTCACAGCCTTCAGAAGTTGTGTGTGCCCTAGCTTGGCCTCTGGATAGGCTGCGAGAAAGTGTGCCTCGTTCGACTCGTACCTGGAGCCGAAACAGAGGGTTAGCAGTGCTGGCAGAGTAGATACCAGCGCAGGGACTTACTGATTAATGAACTCTAGCGCGATTGTTGCACGTTGGTGGTACTTTGATGCGAACCGTCTATTTGCACCTTGGTACCAGTGCTTTGGCCAGTCCTTCAGTGGCGTTGTCAGTCCTTGGTCTCGATCACCAACAAGCCAGTGTTCAACAATCTCCTTCCAGGAGTTGTGCTTCGGGCTGGTGGTTCTGTTGGAATGAGAGACTGGGACCCGAGGGATCACAAGGCCAGGTGTTGGGAGTTTCTGAGTGCTTGAAGCCTGAGTGACGCTGATGGGCAGCGTGGTGCAGAGTTTTTGTGACGAGGTGTGGATGGATGGCTCGGTGGTAGGGAGAGTGTGGCTGATGACGGGCCTGGGTAAAACTGGCTGTTTGACTCTCGCACATACGTCTCCGACAGGTGGAGTTGGTGTGTGGGAGGCACACTCAGAGACGTTGGTGAAGCGGGGGCCTGAATCGAGATGCTGGAGAGTGATTACTGTGGTGCAGGCAGCCTGTGCTACAACACTCGTTAGGGAGCACATGTCATTGCAAAGGGAGTTGACATCTGCTGTAACGGATGCGTGCACCATGCGAAGCTCTTCTGTCGATGCTGGTCTGGCTAGAGCATGTTCGCCAGCAAGGGAGGCATCAGCACCGCGGGAGATGGGGGCAAGAGCATCACTGTAGTCTGTCTCGTAAGCATGTAGTTCGTCGAGGAGGTAGCGAACGAGTGTATCACGCTGAAAACAGACACAATGAGAAAAAAAATGCTGCATCAGTCAAGTGTCAGTCATAAGAACATGAGACATACCTGCTCGCCATCAGCCCATCCACCCCACCAACAAACTTTAGCAAGTGTCCACCGCTGGCCCACTGGAGCAAACATGAACCAGTATTGTGCACCTCCCTGACTGAAAGCAGTGAGTTGAGAAGTTACCACGGATGCCAGCGCCAGCGGTTGACTCATTGATCCATTTTTGTACAGTATCGTGAGAGATTGGCTGTCCAGGATGCACGATGCCATTTGCACTCATCGCAGGAAAAATGAAGTTGTTCGGCTGGAGAGTTCGCCCGTAGTGAAAGGACTCAAGCCACTTGATCCAAACTAACATCCAGAAGAAATTGTCACAGGCTGGCATGTCGGGGCGTGGATAAATCTTATAATGATTTGCTGCCAGTGGTGAGGTCATTTAGTCATCCGGCTTCGATTTAATGTTACTCACATCTCAGATCTGCTTCCCATTGACCCTTGTCCACCTTCTTTTGCCATCCTTTCCGGTGAGCGAGAAAGATCTCGAAGTATGATGTGCATTTACTCAGCATGAGCATCTCGTTTGCAAGGTACACGCTGAGCACCCCATCCAAAATAGTGGTATCAAGTGAGATATCCTTTCTTTGCAACTTTACGAGCTCAAAACACCTGCGGACAAGTTAGAATGCGCATGTGCTGCGGAAAAGCTAATCGGATCTCACCTTGTCCATAACATCCATCCGTTTGATGCGAACGTGACTTGTTCAAGATGGCGAGTAAGTTTTGTCCTCGTTTCCAAGTCCAGGTGCATATCCGAAGGCTGAGCGCCACTCATCACCTTCTGAATCATCTGTAGTGCAATCTCGAGTGGACACACAGCCTGGTGCCATTGGAATGCCCGATCCATGTAGTCCTTCGTCATCACCATTGAGTGAGTGCGATCTCCTCCCTCGGCACTTGCCTTATGCTTGATGGATGACAGCACATCATAGATGTCTGCAGATTCAGCGGGGTTTCCTTCCCAGCGCTGCTTCGCCTCATTGAAGTGCCATTTGCCACGATAGGTATCACCATCTCTAAAATGTAAGTCAGTGCTCGCATGCTCTAATTCGTGTACAATAATACTCACAATAGCTCCCACAGCTTCTTAAATGCCAAATGGATGCTCTCAACAGTAGTTTTGCTGAGGTTCTCATGGAACCCTTTCAGGGACATGAAGAGCACCAGTGCTTTGTTGGAGCATCTGTTCGGGATGCTCTCAAATGCATGTTTGAAGGCCGGATCCTCATACACGTCATTGTCGGTATGTATTTCGGCAGTTGCAGGCAACAGAACCAGTGAGTTTTCAGATGTGTCACCCCTCCAAGTCTCGCTGACAGCAGAACAGCTTAGGGTTTCGAAATGGCTCTCCAACCATTCTCGTCCACGCCGAACATGCCCGGCATAGTTCGTCCTCGTGTTATTTGCTTGAAGGTGAGTTTTTATTCCGTGTTCCTTACACTTTTGGACGTCTGCTAAAGCTGTCTTCGCAGCAGCTGATCTTGTCTTTCGCCCAGCTTTCTTCTGAGCAGTGTCTGGCAGCTGGGGGGCTTTCACGGAGTCCTTCTTGAGTTGTGCCATACTTTGCGAACCTGAACAAGTGAGTGTGGCACTAAGCTAGTTCAAAATTTCGGGACGGAGATCATTGTCAGGGGCCTCTAACTAGTTAATGACATTTCACATTTCAGCACTATTTAGATTAGGAGACAACAATTGTTTGCACTAGGCGCTAATATACTGCTGCACTACTTGGGGTGCCATATGATCCAGTATCACTGCCGGAAGACGCATGTATGAGGGAGAGAATTTTCCCTTGAGCTGAGTTCCCTAGGGTGTTGTGCGCCAACCACCAACCATCAACTTTGATATTATAAATAGCTATATCACGCCGCAATGCCATCAACGTTGCACTGAGCAATGATTTTGAACACCGGCCAGCGGTCTGTGTGGTCCGCACACTGACGGGGCAACTAAAACACAAGTTAGAGGCTTAAAAATGAATCACATGTGCCACCTACCTTGCATATGGTGCGGAGACATGCACCCTCCCACACACTCCCTTGCATCTTGTCAATGATGGCATCATCGTCCCAGCCCAACTGCAGCCTGCAGAAGTCTGCAAGGTCTGCAAGATGTGGCTGGGAGGCCGACACGTCCAGTAGCACGTTCTTTGCAGCTGAAAAGATGTCGGAGGATCGACATATTTGTCGATCACTGCACGACGTGGAAAATCCCGTGGAATCGAATCTGCGATGGCCTTATGATGACGCTTAAGGTCATGGTAGGGGTCATTGGCGAGCATAGTGCGTAGTTCCTCGACAAGGTCCTCTGCATGCTCAGAGAACTCCTCCGGCGGCATTGACAGGAATGCGCAGAGCAAATTCTCGCCAATTCTGCTGCATGCAGCAACCTTGTGGGCAATCTTGATTCCACAACCAGGCACTCCTCTATCATAGTCTCCGCCCGCCAGGAGGGCAATGAGCAGCCGATCTCCTCGGGTCAAGGAGGCACCATGCTCGAGACCGTCCTCTGTATACACTTGAATGTTGAGATAGTCCTTGTCGTTCTTTGCACTGCGACAAATCAATGGTAAAAGCATGAGAAAAACATGACAGCATACCTTCTGATTACGCACACAGCTCCGAAGATCAGAACGTCGCTGTCCTCAGTCATCACGGCGTCGATAACATTGTGGGTGTTCATGGCAGCCAATTCGGCTTCGGCTTCACTCAGGGCCTGGGGAGTGGTGAGACAACAGTCTCGTGAGGTGAGGTGAGCAAAACTTACCTCAGTCCACTGAAAGCCAAACAACTCCAGCATGTGCTGGAAGTCGCAGGTGAGACAGTGGGGGCTGTGTCTGATCGTTCGACCCTTGTCTGGCAGGCGGCTCAGGCCATTGAAGACAAAAACCACATGCAGGGGAAGCTTTAGTAGTGCGCCCAGCCGAAAAAATAGTGTTCGGAGTTCCGGTGATTTGCCAGCTCCTGCATGGTTCATCTGAAAGACAGCACATATGCCATGCATCCATGCGCTAATGACACGAGTCAGTTCACTGCAGACACGTGAAAGACGAGTAGCACCGTACCTAGCATCGATCCCGATCCTGAACAATTTGACTATGGGGTTGCCATCAATGTATTCGGTCTTCAGTTCCGACAGTGCGAGCTCTTTGAGTGTCCGGTTGTCGGCAGATGTGCTGACAGTGCTGCAGATGGCATCAGTACCAGTCAATATCAATACTGCCACGGACTTATTTTGCTCACCTCCCATAGCCCTTGGATACCCATGCTGAGCTGTGATGGTAGCACAGAAGCAGAAATTCTTGAAAGGGGGGCAGCCAGAGAGGGGCCAGCTGATGTCAGCTGACCGCTGCTGAAAGCAGTGCTAGCCTTGGTCAAGACATCAGGCTGGCTGCCCAAGTATATCGAGAGTGTCTCGGTGGGGACGGTGGTGTTGCGCTCGATGAGAGTGGTCATGACACCACCGGCAGTTTCAATACTGAGCGATAGAGGAGAGACATCGAGAAGCAGGAGGTCTTGCGTCTTCTCGGAGGTGTCTCCGGAAAGGATGGCAGCCTGAACGGCAGCACCAGTAGGCAATGGCTTCATCAGGGTTGATGCTCTTGTTGGGCTCCTTGCCGTTGAAGAAGTCAGATACGAGTTTGACGATACGAGGGATACACGTGGAACCACCGACAAGGACGATTTCGTGGACATTTGCCTTGTCGATCTTGGAGTCCTGGAGGACCTTCTCGACGGGCTCGAGCGTGCTGCGGAAAAGGTCCGCGCACAACTCCTCGAAACAGGCACGAGTAAGAGAGGTGTAGAAGTCGATACCCTCGAAGAGGGAATCAATCTCTATGGAAGTCTGGGTTGCTGACGACAGGGTACGCTTGGCACGCTCACAAGCAGTCCTTAGACGACGGAGAGCATGAGGGTTGGAGAAGAGATCTACATCGATGTAATTAGCACCTAGATTAACAAACAAGTAGACTAGACTTACCCTTCTTGTGCTTGCGCTTGAATTCTTGCGTGAAGTGGTTGACGAGATGGTTGTCGAAATCCTCACCACCCAAGTGAGTGTCACCAGCAGTGGCCCCTCCTCAATGGTCAAGAGGGAGACATCCGCAGATCCGATGGGTGGTGCGAGTGGAAGTGCAGTAGCCCAGAGGCCCTGTAAAATGTGAGTACTGAGAAGCATGAGGGAAAATGACATACAGTATTTCTTCTCCAGGGAGGGTGTTGTTGCGTTGTTGGCAGCATTCACCTCTAGCGTTGCGCACGACAGTGACAAAGAAGGTTTAGAGCGGAGGAAAGCTCTGTCACGTGACTGTAACACAGCCGCACCTGTTTATGGCAGCTGTGTAGGATGAGTACGAGGGAGAGAAGGAGAAGGTAGAGATAAGGGAGTGTGAGTGCCATACATTACTGTAAAGTCCAGTAAAGTGTGATTTTGAGTCAGTAAAGTGAGGAAAGTGCAGGACAGCGAGAAATACACGGTAAATTTTGTAAATTTTGTAAATTCCGAACTTCTGGGCAGGCTCCCTCTGGCATGCGGATGTGCCCGGTGCCACGTACTTGTAAATTTACATGCAAGCTCCCTCAAATCTATCATTTTCATTAACATATGCTTGCCTATGTTTTACGAGTGTATTTTCTCGTGTTTCAGCTCTAGTTTTACTTAGCATTTCTCATAGACTGTAGATAGTACTAGTACTGCCTCTAGATCTAATATTTTTTTGCATGAAGATCAATGCCAAACTTCACCTGCAGGTGTCAGTCCTTCTGAGGACTAACAGAGAAGCTCAACAGCGCTCCCTTCATGGTTATGGGTATGTAATTTTCCTTTTTCCCCCGAGACTCACTGAAGGCTGGTTCATCCTGTGCTGGAACAAGGCGTCACGTAATTACAAGGTACCTATAGCTAATTTTGTCCTGGGTCGTGATTGGTTGGAACACCACAAAACGCGTCCCGAACCCGTGCACGCGTCAGCACAATGCAGAATTCCAACCGTCGGTCACGTGACTTTGGATTCCTTTTTTTTTCCGACGAATCTTTGACGAATCCCCTTTACAGAATTTACATTAGCTAATCGTGTATTTTTCCAGATATCCCGACATAAGAACTTGTCAGACATTGTCACATATTGTGACGAATCTTATCATGTGACCTTGCAAGGCGGAATCAACGAGGTCTGACCGGTCATCAACTCAACGCCTTCTCTCAAGCTCTTTTGTACATCAACGTGTATATATTTCTAACTACTGTCTTGTGGCCATGGCCCCAAACCGTTCAAGTTGGGGTAAATATAATTATAGCTCAAAAACACTAACAAGTGACTCTCAGTGCCCGCATTGCGGGAAGATGTATAAGTCCCAAGGCATCAAGCGACATCAATCAACTTGCAAGATGCGCGATGCAGAGGGTCAAGAGGCCTTTGCTCGGGAGTTCGAGAGAGATCAGCGATCAGCTCTAGGTGAGTCCTTATTAAGTCCATCCATCACTCAATTTGAATATCTTATTTGATTTTGATCGATTTTAAATAGCACGCCATAAAAAAACTCGATGAGCCGCAGCCTTAGAAGCAGCGGCTGGTCCATCACACATCGTTGTGGATGACTCGTTAGCCGCAAACCCAGAATCGCAAGCTGACATAGGGCAAGGTACACTAATATTTTACTCAATTTTGACGGTAGAATGTTCACTCTGATGCTTCCAACACCTACAGCTGGTCTGGACAACCACATGGAATTTGACGCTGGAAATGAGGGTGTTCAGAGCCCAGGTATGTGTTTCTATCTTCGTTTTTTAGATGCAACCGACTGACAACTGTCTATGCAACAATAGTCTTATCCGACGCTAGCATGACCAGTAATACTGGTCCTGAAAACGTCCCACCCCAGCCTGCAGTGCATATTGGACACTCCTGAGTTCAAAACCGAGTTCCATCCCCATTCTGGCCGCGAGACTCTACTCCAAACATTCGAAGAGTTTGGTGTTGCTTCAGAGGCGCTTAAAGCACCTCCTGCAGATGAAAAGCCTTGGCATCCATTCCGTTCACGGGGAGACTTTGAGTTCTCTGAAATCGCACTTGAAGCTGCCCTTAATAAGGGCCAGGTCGACAAGCTCCTCAGCCTTATTGCGCGCGTGGCGCAGGGCGACACCCATATCACACTGAAAAACGAGGCCGATCTCCATATGGCATTAGATAATGCTGCAGCCGAGTTGATGCCTGTATGTTCTCTTTTCTTTTGTATCATGCGATGCTGGTCTGACTGCCTAGATTGTTGTTTATTAGTTTACCAAACATGACATCACGGTGCCCTACAAGAAGGAGCAGCGAGTATTTGAGGTATATGCGAGACCGATATGGGACTGGGCCCTTGATCTCTTGGATAACCTGCTCCTTGCACCACATTTCGTATGGGACGCGCAACGTGTCTATAAGCACAACGGTACCAATTTCGAGCGGTTCTTTAGTGAACCATGGACAGCTGATCGTTGGTGGGATATCCAAGTAGGTTACTGTGTTTAATATCTGTGTATATGTGCAATGATTGTGTCCATGTAATCAGTCTCGTCTCCCGGCCGATCTCAATGCTGCCCCGCTTTGTTTTATATTGTATGCAGATAAGACCAAGCTGTCCACACATGGCACTGTTAAAGGATATCCCGTCATGGTTCGTTGTGCGAATTTACCTGTTGATATTCGAAATGGCGAGGGCATTGGCGGTGGTCGAGTAGTTGGTTGGCTTCCGATTGTGGGTCTGCGCTGTTCGATGATATCTAACCTAATATAACAACAACTCTGTTGATATTGCAGATTGAAGAAGAAGCGTCCGAACATGGAAAACCAGGATTCATCAACTTTAAGCGTGTCGTATGGCACGAATCCTTTGTCAAAATTCTCCTCAACCTCGAGCAATATTCGAAGACCGGTTATTTGTATATGTGTTACGACAAAATCATGCGCTGGCTATTCCCAGTAATACTAATACTTTCAGCAGATTATGAAGAACAGTGAGTGCCCCAACATATTTGTTGTGATGGTTTTCAATCACATTCACAGATGCATGATGTCTCTTATTCGTGGTGTGCAATGCAAGTGCCCGTGCCCCGTGTGCCTCGTACCACTCAACGAGCTTTCTGATCTGTCCAAAACATTTGCAATCAGGACTGCGAAAGATGCGCAGGATGCGCTCGCTGTATATAAACGCAGCAAAACTCAAGGCGAGGAACTTTTGAAATCACTAGGATTACGCGCAGTTGAGGTAAGCAAATGATATTTTCTACTTATCTTCTAATACTAACACATCACATTTAGAATGTCCTCTGGCTTGTCAAGTACTCCGATCCCCATGATGCACTGAGCCTTGATTGATTGCACACAGTGCATGGCGGTCTTGGAGGAAAACATCTACTAGAAGAGTTGAAGACCATCGTCAGCAATCTCGGACGTGAAGGGATGGAATCGGTCGAGAAACAGTTGAGTCCTTTTTTCATTTTCATATTCTAAATTGCTCAGTATCTCTTGCTTTCAGGGTCATTGAATTTCCTCGATAGCGCGATCTCAACCATTTTTCCACCGTCATTCACATCACTTTCACTGACGGCAACAAGAAGCGTGATTTAGTCTTGGTAAGTACCAACAACCTATCATCATATTTGCTTGACTAATCATTGTACAGCAATCGTTCTATGCAGCACTCAATGCTTTGGACCGCAGAAGTTGTCTGGAAGGCTATCGCCTTCTACATGTTATTTGCAGCTATCTTGAGTTGGACAGCCTGATTGGGCTTGATGTCCATATGGAGCGGACAATTGCAATGATTGAGGACGAGCTCCTTGTATTTGGTGCCGCACTGAAGGTAATTTGCTTGCTACTGATTAAGACATCATCATTGACGCAGTATTCTTAGGACTATGTTGATTATGTTACCGATATGTCCTCCATGGAAGGCCTCAAAAAAGATTGGAACTTTCCAAAGGCGCACCTTTGGAAACACGCGCCACGGGACATTCAAATGAAAGGTGTTGCACGCAACTACAGCACGCGCACTAATGAAAAACTCCATGGCCCTCTGAAATCCGCCTATCTCCTTCGATCAAATGGAAAGGATGTCGCTGAGCAGGTATTACGCACTCGTTTTTGTTTATGATATCGACTTATTACTGATATATATTAACCATACTACAGGTACTTCGTGTTGATCATCACAAGTTCGCAACGTTACTCTTGCGAGGACGTTTGGACACACTTGACGAACAGTGCCGCCTCGAGGTGTTAGGTGACTCTGCACTTGATGAGGAGGACAACAACCATAACATCACCTTTGATGGGCATGTGAAGCTTGGATCCCCTCAACGTCATGTCAGTATTGAAGAAATCGAGAATGTGCGGGGCCCCAAAGATTGAGCATTTCAAGGTTTCCGCAAAAAATTTTGCGACTTCATCAACACGTCACTGCCAACTTATGGATACGAGCTAATGAGATGGATTGTTATCCCAGTTGATTTCCAGGTAAGTTCGTTGATTCTTTGTCAGTTTCTACATTGACTTGTATTTCATTCAGATACATGAACATCGTTATCTCAGGGTCAATTATGAGAACTCTGTCGACTGGAAGCAGTCGACCGACCATCTCCGATCCAATCCCTCATTTCATGGGCACCCACGCTTCGACTGCGCACTTATACAACTTACTGCAGAAAGGGCGGTCTTCGTTCGGCTTATACTGATGTTCAAATGTGAACTTCCGGATATTGGGGCCTTCCAGTTTGCCCTTGTTCAACCATATACCGCTGGTGTCGTTGGTGGTTCTCGCAGGATTGACCGAGACCTGAGACTTACTTGTGTCAAAGCCGTTCCCAGGGCAGATTCAATTATCATCCCGCTCAAGTCCTTCATTCGAGGCACTTTGTTGTTTCCCGATCCTGCACACCAAGGCGAGTTTCTTGTTATCAACCATGTTGATAGCGACATGTTCCTCTGTATGAAGTCATGGGCGCATTGATAAATGTGAGTTTGACCTGAACACTAGTGCGTCTATTGTTCTAACTCCACCTTCTTGCCAGCAACAACAACAGCAGCAGAGGTGCGCTACTCCCTCCCTCCCTCCATCTCCTCTCCTCTTAGCTCACCCCAACTGCAGCAGCAACAACAACAACAGCAGCAGCAGCAACAACAACAACAACAACAACAACAACAACAACAACAACAACAACAACAACAACAACAACAACAACAACAGCGGGGGGTGCGCTACTCCCTCTCTCCCTCCCTCCCCTCTAACCTTACCCCCAACCGCAGCAGCAACAGCAACAGCGGTGGTGCGCTGCTCCCTCTCTCCCTCTCTCATCTAACCTCACGCCCAGCAGCAGCAGCAGCAACAGTGGTGCTGCGCTGCTCCCTCTCTCCCTCTCCCTCCACTAACCTCACCCCCAACAGCGGCAGCAGCAGCAATGGCAGTGGTGTGCTGCTCCTTCTCTCCCTCTCTCCCCCAACCACAGCAGCAACAGCAGTGGTGTGTTATGACTCCTCTCTCTCTTGCTCACTCACTCACTCCGACTCAGACAGATTCAGAACTTGCCTGACCCTGGACCCTGGACCCGAGGCATGTTTACCACCTGTCGCTCGGCAACACTCAGCAGATTTGCGGCGTCAATTGTAATAGGTCAGTCACTTAGTCTTAATGATTTGTTCATGACTCATAATGTCGTTGCTTGTGCACTGCATCTTCCACGATGCTCATCAGCGCTCCATCTTAGACCTTTTTGAGTCCGCTTTACAAGACTCTGCAAAGAGCACTAGGCGATTTTCGGACGCACTCGATGCTGATTCTTTACGCATCATTGTCGGCTAATGTGTTCTTAGTATCATGCTCGTGTCGAAGTACGTAGGTATCGTTTGATTGCCGCTCGCTACGAATCACTCATCACACCAATAGACGTCAGCAGCAGCACAGCCAAGATAGCATTCTCCTTATAAATTGGAGCATTGACATGCAGGTTTGTTCCAATTCTTCTGTACTGCCAACAGTCTTTACTAATAGTTTTGATAGCTCATCTGTCTTTGTTTTGGAGACATGCGCAGCCGAGCCGACATAACTTCTGATGGTTCAGAAGGCGAGAACTTCGAAGCTGATATTGACGCCGTCAACGATGCTGAATTGTCCGATGACGAAGACTTGAGCAGCGAGGAGCTTTCGACCTTGAGGACAATCCTGTCTGTCCCTCCACCAGACGCGCCCATGCATGAGGTTCACAAGGCAAGTACATTCATCTTGCTATGATTCTCCTTCTCGCTCTAATGTATTTTCAATGTATGTAGGCTCTCGAGACCGCACAGCAGGCTTACAACTCCCTGCAGGTTGAGTTTAAAGGTCTTAGGAAGGACTACCTTACCCTCTCAGCGACTGTCCCTGCCCACAGCCGAAACCGCGCACTCAAGAAGACCTCCAAGATCGACACGAAAATTGCTGCCAAAGGGAAGAAGTACACATTGTTCTACCATTTCTGGGTCATTCCCAGCATCTTCCCGACAACACCTCGGCCTGACATTGACCCACGTAGTCCTACACGTTGGGCATCTCCTGACGCTAAGCTCAATGGGTCTGTGGCGGAGTTGTACAAGTGCGTGTCCAAGGAATTACACAGCTCCATGGAGAAATACACCCCGTTTGATTCTCTGGTACGTGCCTTTGACTAGTTTCTTAGTAGACTATCCTACAACTAACCTACATTACTTCTCAGTTTCACGCTGCAGTTAGCGCTAAGCGGTCAAACATTGTGCATGCTATCAAGAGCTGTGCAGGTATCATTTTCGCATCACTCAAGCTCGACCCTACCCTCTTCTCATCTCAAACGGATGCCCGAAAGCGAGACAACCCTGATCTCCTTCATCTGCTGAAGAAAAACGGCAAGGGAGAGTACATTCGGCTAGCACCCATTCTGTTTGCAAGACCAGATGCCATGGTGGCTGACGAGTTCCTCAAGAATCCGGTGCTAGTACAAGTAAGTACAAGTAAGTACAATTGTAATACAAAAGACGGTGCACTGACAACATTCATTTCAGATCGTTCACCTTGAGATGTATGGGAAGAAAATACTTTCCGGAAAGACTAAGGGTCAGAAGGCTAGGGGACAGCGTTGCAATGCGCAATGCGTCACTGAAGGTTTGATTGCGGGCACTGCTATTATGGTGAGTGAGCACATTGTCTTACATCGACGTTCCATGGTTTATGACCTGATTTCAAAGGCACGTTTTTTGTTGACGCACGATCCTGAGTTCACGGCGACGGGTGCGGAAACAAAGATCAACTATCAAGCAGACTATGATTTTTACTTGGAGCACTTGTTCAAGCGCACTCCATGGGCCCGCAGCGTCATCGACTACTTCAACAAGGCGGTGTTTGACGTCACCAGCTCAAGTCTCACACCAGCTCCCGATTCTTTTTCCATCGCTGCTCAGACCCGAACTTGGGAAGACGATCTCTTGGACGAACTTGATGCTCCTGCTCAAGTTACTTCCGCACTCACATCCCTCCCAGCTAATACCTCAGCAGTCGTCGACGTTGTCTCCAACTACCGCGCTTCCATATCAGTCAACCAAGGCCAATCCGCATCCACAACCACGCAGCTGCAGCTGGGTATCAGTCAGTTGATGCTAGACAACACCATTGAGCCACCTGCATTGGCAACTTGCAGTGTATCTTCTCGCCAACCTCGAGTTCACGCCGCTGCAAGTAAGTTGATTTATGGGCCTGAACCAACTAACACACCAGAGCCCGAAGTTGAGGCCACCAAGCGTGTTACTCGTCATGGTGGCAGCAGCAAGGCAGTTGCTAAACCTAGAGGAAGAGGGAGGAGCAAACACTAATGTGATGTTCTTGCTAATATTAACACTTCATACACTGAGTATTTTGAATGTTGTCCGAATCCATATGTCTTACAGTATTCGTTTTGAATGTTGTCGGAGTCCATATGTCTTATTCATTTTGAATGTTGTCCGAATCCATATGTCTTACAGTATCCTTATAAGGTACTCAAATACACAATATAGCGAAGTAAGTTTCAATGTATTCAAAGGCCTAATAACCTAGTGGTAACTATGCTGGTAAGTACTACGAATTGTAATACCAAATAATACTAATGACGAGTGTTCGAATCCCTCAAGGTGCAATTAAAATATAGCAATAGTAGATTGTAATAGCTAATAGATAATAATAATAGCTAACACTAACAAATAATAGTAGCAAGGACCGTCGCAATGATAGCGTGGTCCTTGGAAACTTATTTTTATCTTTTATTATTGTCCCAACCCTTTTAAGACCTTGCAATGCTTACACAATCTTCCCTATGACGGACTCTATTTTAAGACATCACAATGTGAGAACCATAGCCTTTTAAAGCACCGTAAGATTATCTCCATCATTTTAAAGCCTTATAATACAGTGTGTGAAAATCGGTCCTTAAAATGTATTACAAGACCTTGCAATGGTCCCTAGAAATTTCCGACAAGAGTATTACGCAAAGTGCCAAATCATGTAGATAGAGTTGATAACCAATGGACGCCTGTTTTCTTGCGAGTGCAGCGCATGCAAACACATCCACCTTGCGTGAACGTTTGAACTCTGCATTCCCTTCGCATTTGTGTCGCAACTACACGGATTTCACGACTTTGCATTGCAATCACATTGCACTCGCATCTTCAATTGCACTCAGGTTGTGCACTTCACCCAGGTAAGCACAATTCCGGTGCCTGCTATACTCTGGCTTAGTCGATGCCTACGACTTACTGATCCTTCTTAGTACTAGGCCTTATATCTACTAGGTACATATACTAGCTAATTCAACAAGCCTTTGTTTCTCTCAATGGAATCATTCTTGGTCCGAAACTAGACCTATACTAGTGATACTATGTCCAACTTATATTGGTGTGTCTGTCGACGACACGGAGGGAGACGTGTGCAAGTCGGGCACACTACTTACTACTGACCACCTGCATGAAGCAGAGACCTGACGAGGAACGCGAGCAAATCATTAATGCACAGGATGATCCTGAGGCCATCCAGCTGATTCGTAAATACCTGAGCAAGCGGTGTGCCAGTCCAACTCATGCTCCTCCTGGAAACATGCACTCGCACAGCTAGTCCACATGTATGTATGTTATTTTATTCAATAGCCATAGTACTAATGAAGTTTATGCAGCATCAAAACGACGAGCCTCTTCAGCCTCAAAATGATGAGCCTCCGCATCCACCAAATGATGAGCCTCATCAGCCTCAAAACGACAAGCCTCCATATCCACCAGATGACGAGGACCTGCAGCCTCGAGACAACGAGCCTCCGCATCCACCAAATGATGAGCCTCATCAGCCTCAAAACGACGAACCTCTGCATCCACCAGATGATGAGAACCTGCAGCCTCGAGACAACAAGCCTCATCAGCCTCAAAACGACGAGCCTCCGCATCCACCAAATGACAAGCCTGCTGCAAACCAACCACAGCCACCCAACCCTCCTGGCATTGATATCGATGTGCTTGAGCAGCTCTCTCAACTCCCAAAATTTCACCAAGCTTTCTCATTTATTCAAGCGCTTCGTGCAGCATCTTTTGATGACCCAGTTGCGAAACTTACACCTGAAGCTCTTGAGAAACTGCGAAATCTGCCTCAGCAGCCACCTCGTATCGCAAGTCCAATTATTTGTCATGGTATCCAGATGTACTTTCATCTTGAACATGCAGCTCAGGCTGCATATAAGGGGATTGCCGATTCTGCAGCAAGAAGTTTTCCTGGAGCAGAAGATATCCCATCTTATCGTGGTGTCAAACGCCTCATCGCAGAACTTAGCAATATTGACTCGATCAAACACCACATGTGTTTAAACACTTGTATCACATTCACCGGTCCCTTTTCTGATCTCGACCAGTGCCTGTTACAAGAACATCTAGATGCTTGGGCCCCTACCATTTTTCTCCTAATCCTCCTCGTATCAGCCCTCGCATCATACC